TTACAGCAGATGACAACAGTGAAATCATCCAAACTGAACGTCAGCTGCACGATGAAGAAGCCCAGCGCAGTGAAGAGATGCCAATGCAGAGTCTCCAAAATGATGAGGAAACTGAGCCTTCTAGCAACAAGGAGGAAGCTGGGTCTTCAATGGATAGAGATGAAACGGACCCTGTCGTGATCATCAAAAAGCAGGTGAAGAAATCAGATAAAATAGCAAAGAATGATGTTCTTCCAACGTGGGCTGCAACTAGGTCCTTATTGTTGTCTCAATCCTCTCCCGCTAGCACGCCTACAAACACAGTATTCTAGACATCGCCAACTGATCCCTCGTACTGGACCCTCTAAACTGTTCTTCGGTTATCCCAGGGAATATCTGCGACTGTAGTTGGACCTCACAAAAAGACATTGATAACGCTAGATCTCGATCTTTACTCCCGAGCGTTTAAGATTCAGCAGTCGGTGGGAAACACCAACTTGATCTTAGGAGCTGGAGCTCTCCACATTGCTTTCGCTGCCTTACATGCTCTTGGCAAAACCATCCTAAACGTGCGGAAACAATAGGTGAATATAAAATGTCAGTGTTTCCCCGTTCACTATGTGCTGTCGATGGTTCTTTGTACATCCCAACAGACAAAGCAAGTCTGATGCATGCAGTCGAAGATGCAAAGGCAGAACCTCCCGATGTTGTAAAACAGCCTGACGTCGTGGAGGATAATCATTCAACTTCCCCACAGGTTGAAATGATGCAGGAAGAGGTTCCGGTTACCGTAGAATATGAGATAACGCAGGTTCCTTCTGGAGCAGCCCAACAACCTAACCTCTTGCATGATCTTCCTGTCAAGGTGCTGATAATTGACGTCATGGGTGTACTTCAAGGCATGAAAAAGACACCTGCCATGCAAACGATATCAGACATGCAGAATGCATTCAACAGGCGCATCGAAGGGATGATGGCTAGTTATGATGAAGGTCGAGTTGTGTTTGATCGATATATGGAAGAGTCATTAAAGAACAAGACTCGACAAAAGAGGGCAACTACATCAGTAGAATACGAGATACACCCAGAAATGAAGCTCACAATGTCCATCAAGGAGCTTCTATTTTATTTCATGTTTTGTTGTTTATAACTGGAAAAATGTTTCCAAATAGTTCTTTGATTTAGATAAAGATTGTGTCATGTACAAGTATTTTGGAACAAAGTAGCTCAACTTGTTTCTGTTTTTTTCGGGGGTGTGGGGAGGGGGGGGGGGGACCATATCAACAAAACTAAATGCACATTTACGTATTATTTTGCATTTGAACAAAATATTACATAATAATTCGTCAACTTTCTGATTGACTGATGCAATTACAGTGCCTAGAAGTTGATATTTGAGAATTTTGTTATATTATCATCTGAAGGTGTCTGGCGCCATCTGGTGTTTAAGTAAGTTATTCATTTGATAAAATACTAAAATAGGGTTGATTTTTATATTAACAGCCAAAAGTTTCCAAATAATTCTTTGATTGAGATAAAGATTGTGTCATGTACAAGTATTTTGGAACAAAGTAGCTCAACTTGTTTCTGTTTTTTTCGGGGGTGTGGGGAGGGGGGGGGGGGACCATATCAACAAAACTAAATGCACATTTACGTATTATTTTGCATTTGAACAAAATATTGCATATATAATTGGTCAACTTTCTGATTGACTGATGCAATTACACTGCCTAGAAGTTGATATTTGAGAATTTTGTTATATTATCATCTGAAGGTGTTTGGCGCCATCTGGTGTTTAAGTAAGTTATTCATTTGATAAAATACTAAAATAGGGTTGATTTTTATATTAACAGCCGAAAAATTACAGTGTTAATGACATGTGATATGTTTCGCAATTATTCCAATGTATGATAACACACAATAATGCCATTTCCACTTATTATTTCAAAATTCCAGCCCAAAAGAAAGAAGAAGGGCACAATTTTTATGCAATATTTCCCCATTTTTCACAATTTGTCGCAAATTGCGCCCCCCATAAGGACTAAGTGAAAAAAATTATGACGCAATATCATTGAAAATGAATCCTTATATATCTCAAACAACTTCAAAGTGTAATTGGCGAAAAATTATATGAATTAGGGTGGAAGACATCAAATTTCCCTATTGTGCTTTATATAAGCCATTATGGCGCCCAAAATGGACCCCCTAGGAAGTGAAGGAGGGGTCTGAAAATTTAAACCCCATAATTTTGGCCAATTGGGACCCTTTTGAAGCCAAAACAGCAAACAAATCAACTTTGTCACAAAAATCCTACGGGATTACATACCATACAGCACTATCATGCTGCACATATAACTATATCAACCTTTAGGTCAGTCAGGTACCCCATGACTTTTACGAGCCGATCGACAGTCTGATTATCAAAATATTTATGATTGAAAATCGAAACCAAATTTTGCGTTTTCCTAACGATTTTCATAACACTATAGTCTATTGGGGAAAACGAGTATGGTAAAAACCGGTCACTCAGAAAACGTTACATAATCAAGTAATGACATCGTAACCAATGGAAGACCGGGGACATGCATACACAAGTTATCTCAATAACTATGGTATAACACTTATGTGCCGATTTCAGTGTTTGCTAAGCAAACAAATATAGAAATCAAATGTACAGGTTTAAAATACTTGGTAACTAATCCGGCAACTCTTCAATACAGCGCACAACAATGTGTACTGGTCTGTGTGTGTTAAGATAATAATTACGATCGTACGGGAAATATTCAGGTACATGTATCAACAATATTGAAAGACTGAATCGCTCGGATGACTTGTGCATATAAATGAATAATTAGTTAGTCGTTGAAGTATTTTGCAGCGCTGAGAGAAGGTTACGCTTTGGTGCATGTGCAAGCATGAAATTCGAACCAGGTGACACTGGACATGCATGGATGCTGTATATAACAAAGGCTGGGGAATAGTTCTCGGGTGACTCAGAGCAAAGCATGGCTCATACAGTAACAAACAAGAGGAACATTTGAAATAAAAATGCGAAATCACATTTAAAACAACGAATTTCATGAGAATGGGCGACACCGTCTGTCCATTGGCTCGCAGAAAACACAAATCTAAATATTAAAAAACATTGATATAAATCGTTCGCTAATTTCGAATTATGACTAATATATCTTCAATTCTATGTAACTGACTTTTCGTGATGTCAATCAGAAACTGAAATAAAATGACAAAAGTGAAATGTCTAGTATAATCATGAAATCACAAGCCTTAGAGTCCATTTGGAAGATTTCGTTTCTTTCCACTAAAGGTGCACGGTGGTATTTTTCAGGAAGATCTTTGTAGATAGGCCCTTTTCTTTTCTCAGCTTGTAAGCAGCGTTGGCGAGAAGACCGCGTCCGGCCTTGAGGGCTGGGGGGGGGGGGGGGGGTCAGTGCGGACTGAGATTCTGGGCTCCGGAATCGATGTCAACCTTCTCAGGCATGAGGGTGAGGCGGTTATCAATAATTCAACATGCAACACTGCGGCGAGGGCTCCTGTCCTTTCCAGACTAGACTATACTGCAACAGTCTCTTCAGTGTTCTCAGCCAGAGGGACCTTTATCGCCTTCAGAGACTCCAAAACTCAGCGGCAAGGCTTGTTTTTTCTGCTCCTCTTCGGACTCACATACAACCTATTCGACTTGAACTCCATTGGCTGCCTGTACGACAGAGAACAGCTTTCAAGATCCCTACTGCTGTGCAGATGGCCTCATCTGTTGACCAGTTCAAGAAACTACTCAAGTCACATATATTCTGCTAGAAATTACTTTATTACCAGCTGACATATACTTGACTGATCTCTGAGAAGTGTCTAACTTTTGTTTTTAAGTGGCCCAAACATTGTGGAGCGTGTGTGCAGCGCTTTGTAACTGCAAGGAAAATGCGCTATATCAAATATCTTTTAGATTGGATTGGATAAAAGCAAAGAGTAACATACGGAAAAGTAGAACGAGAAGAAGATGAAAGGATAATAACGAATATTACCATAAGGAAAGGTAAAAAGTATAGAAGATAGAATGAACATAAAATAATTATGATAAGGAGATAATTCTTTCATTCCTGATGTTATGTTGTAGATAGAAACAGCAAATGAAAGAAGAATAAAAACAAAGAATAATCTAACATAAGGAATAATAGAAGGAGAAGAAGATAGAAGGAAAAACACAGAATAAGGAAATAAAGATAGAAAGAGGAAATAATAGAAGAATAAAAAGAAAGAATAACATAAGGTAAGATAGAAATATCTGGCGGCCGCCAAATAATCTAGCTATCTTTCTTTATGTTCTGCTGTAGATAGAAAGAGGAAACGATAGAAAAAATAAAAACAAAGAATAACAAAACAAGAGATAGAAAGAGAAGATAGAAGGATAAACACAAAGAACAATAAAACGAAAGATAGACAGAACAGAAGCTAGAAGGGAAAACAAAGAATTAAAAAGTGAAGAGAAAAGGAGGAAATGATAGAAGGATAAAAGCAAATAGTACCATACGGAAAAGTAGAGAAAAAAAAGAAGACGAAAGACTTCATGCAATCTTGAACGTCAACGAAACGGAGTTAACTTTTGTCGACTCTGTTTGTTGCTACGGTAGGCAGCCAGTGAAAACGAATTCGTTTAATCAAATTATGAAAATGCAAGCATTACTTTAAACAAACAGAAATTTGTCCTGGCTCATTTTTCCTTATTGAGGTGTGATATGAAAGGGCAGAAAATGAACTTTTTAGAAATGTGATTTTCTCTTTGAAATTCAGATACCGTTCGCCAAATGCATTCTATAAATTATAGGATGCTTTCATATAATCACGCTTGATTGCTCCTTCAGGATATACCAAATATCATCGCTACTAAAGCGTACGGGCTAATTTACACAGTAGTTCAGTGTCACACTACAATAACTAACATTGTGTTTTGAGAGCACGTAAATATCATAATTAGAAAAACGTTGTGGGTGTGAATCACGTTTAACATGGCGCTGTTTTCAGCAGCAGCAAAAGGAGACTTCCTGAAGATACAATCATTAATCGACTCGGAGGACAAGTCAGAGGATTCGGGAGGAGTTGATGTAAACTGCACGGATGCATCCGGCAAGACGGCCCTCCACATTGCTTCGGAAAACGGACATTTGCAAACGGTTAAATGCCTTACCAATCATGGAGCAAAGGTGAATGTGGTCGATGCTAACCTACAGACATCGGTTCACTTATGCTCAAAGAAAGGCCATCGTCGTGTGGTAGAGCTGTTAGTGAACGGAGGAGCAGATATTGATATTGGTGACAAAGATGGGTTTACAGCTCTGCACATAGCATCATTGGAGGGTCGTCTTGATATTGTCAAATACCTCGTTAGTAAAGGGGCAGACCTGGGAAGACTTGCTATTAATTACTGGACACCTCTACTCATTGCTTTAGACGGTGGACATCTTGACATTGCAGAGTACCTTTTGACAGAAGGAGCCAACATTAACACATATGGTAAAGGTGGATATACAGCTCTACATATTGCTTCAAAAACTGGTAATATTGATGGGGTGAAATATCTAACCAGTCAAGGAGCAGAGCTGGATAGGAGCAATGACGATGGGTTGGCAGCTCTGCACATTGCATCATTCGAGGGTCATCTTGATATTGTCAAACACCTTGTTAGTAAAGGGGCACAGCTTGACAAATGTGACAAAGACGACATGACACCCTTGTATTATGCGTCTCAAGAAGGCCATCTTGAAGTCGTCGAGTATATCGTGGACAAAGGAGCAGGCATTGAAATTGGTGATAAAGATGGGTTGACAGCTATCCACATTGCATCATTCGGGGGTCATCTTGACATTGTCAAATACCTTGCTAGTAAAAGGGCGCAGCTAGATAGATGTGACAAAAACGGCAGGACACCCTTGTTCTGTGCTTCCCAAAAAGGCCATCTTGAAGTCGTCGAGTATATCGTGAACAAAGGAGCAGGCATTGATATTGGTAATAAAGATGGCTTGGCAGCTCTGCACATTGCATCATTCAGGGGTCATCTTGATATTGTCAAGTACCTCGTTAGTAAAGGGGCAGAGCTTGACAAATGTGACAAAAATGACAGGACACCCTTGTACTGTGCTTCCCAAAAAGGTCATCTTGAAGTCGCCGAGTATATCGTGAACAAAGGAGCAGGCATTGATATTGGTGATAAAGATGGGTTGACATCTTTTCACATAGCGTCATTGAAGGGTCATATAGAGATGGTCAAATACCTCGTTAGTAAAGGGGCAGACCTAGAGAGACTTACTAATGATTACGGGACACCTATACACCTTGCTTTAGACGGTGGCCATTTTGACATTGCAGAGTACCTTTTGAAAGAAGGAGCCAACATTAACACGTGTGGTAAAGGTGGATGTACAGCACTACATGCTTCATCACAAACTGGTAATATTGATGGGGTGGAATTTCTAATCAGTCAAGGCGTAGAGCTGGATAGGACCAATGACGATGGTTGGACCGCACTTAGTTTGGCTTCATTTGGGGGACACCTTGACATTGTCAAAGTTCTCGTTAACGAAGGGGTAGAGGTTGACAAAGCACCCAGAAGCGGGATGACACCCTTGTGTCTTGCAACAGGAGGAGGCCATCTTGGTATTGTTGAGGTCTTACTGAACGTAGGAGCAAGTATTGATAACTGTAATCGAGACGGTTTAACAGCACTCCACATTGCATCGTCCAATGGACACGTTGCAATAGTTCATCATCTTGTTAGGACAGGGGCACACCTTGACAGATGTGACAAAAACAACAGGACACCCTTGTCTTATGCTTCTCAAGAAGGCCATCTTGAAGTCGTCGAGTATATCGTGAACAATGGAGCAGGCATTGAAATTTGTAATAAAGATGGGTTGACAGCTCTGCACATTGCATCATTCGGGGGTCATCTTGATATTTCCAAATACCTCGTTAGTAAAGGGGCAGACCTGGAGAGACTAACTAATGATTACTGGACACCTATACACCTTGCTTTAGAAGGTGGCCAACTTGACATTGCAGAGTACCTTTTGACAGAAGGAGCCAACATCAACACATGTGGCAAAGGTGGATATACAGCACTACATGATGCATCACAAACTGGTAATATTGGTGGGGTGGAATTTCTAACCAGTCAAGGAGCAGAGCTGGATAGAAGCAATGACGATGGTTGGTCCGCACTTAGTTTGGCTTCATTTGGTGGACGCCTAGACATTGTCAAAGTTCTCGTTAACGAAGGGGCACAGCTTGACAAATGTGACGATACCGACCGGACACCCTTGTCTTGTGCTTCTCAAGAAGGCCATCTTGAAGTCGTCGAGTATATCATGAACAAAGGAGCAGACATTGAAATTGGTGATAAAGATGGGTTGACAGCTCTGCACATTGCATCATTCGGGGGTCATCTTGATATTGTCAAACACCTTGCTAGTAAAGGGGCACAGCTTGACAAATGTGACAAAGACGACAGGACACCCTTGTCTTATGCTTCTCAAGAAGGCCATCTTAAAGTCGTCGAGTATATCGTGAACAAAGGAGCAGGCATTAAAATTGGTGATAAAGATGGGTTGACAGCTCTCCACATTGCATCATTGGGGGGTCATCTTGATATTGTCAAATACCTTGCTAGTAAAGGGGCGCAGCTAGACAGATGTGACAAAAACGGCAGGACACCCTTGTACTGTGCTTCTCAAAAAGGCCATCTTGAAGTCGTAGAGTATATCGTGAACAAAGAAGCAGGCATTGATATTGGTAATAAAGATGGTTTGGCAGCTCTGCACATTGCATCATTCAGGGGTCATCTTGATATTGTCAAGTACCTCGTTAGTAAAGGGGCAGAGCTTGACAAATGTGACAAAAATGACAGGACACCCTTGTACTGTGCTTCCCAAAAAGGTCATCTTGAAGTCGCCGAGTATATCGTGAACAAAGGAGCAGGCATTGATATTGGTGATAAAGATGGGTTGACATCTTTTCACATAGCGTCATTGAAGGGTCATATAGAGATGGTCAAATACCTCGTTAGTAAAGGGGCAGACCTAGAGAGACTTACTAATGATTACGGGACACCTATACACCTTGCTTTAGACGGTGGCCATTTTGACATTGCAGAGTACCTTTTGAAAGAAGGAGCCAACATTAACACGTGTGGTAAAGGTGGATGTACAGCACTACATGCTTCATCACAAACTGGTAATATTGATAGGGTGAAATTTCTAACCAGTCAAGGAGCAGAGCTTGATAGGAGCACTGACGATGGTTGGACCGCACTTAGTTTGGCTTCATTTGGGGGACACCTCGACATTGTCAAAGTTCTCGTTAACGAAGGGGTAGAGGTTGACAAAGCACCCAGAAGCGGGATGACACCCTTGTGTCTTGCAACAGGAGGAGGCCATCTTGGTATTGTCGAGGTCTTACTGAACGTAGGAGCAAGTATTGATAACTGTAATCGAGACGGTTTAACAGCACTCCACATTGCATCGTCTAATGGACACGTTGAAATTGTTAATCATCTTGTTAGGAAAGGGGCACAGCTTGACAGGTGTGACAAAAACGAAAGGACAGCTTTGTCTTATGCTTCTCAAGAAGGTTATCTTGAAGTCGTCGAGTATATCGTGAACAAAGGAGCAGGCATTGATATTGGTGATAAAGATGGGTTGACAGCTCTGCACATTGCATCTTTCGGAGGTCATCTTGATATTGCCAAATACCTTGCTAGTAAAGGGGCACAGCTTGACAAATGTGACAAAAACGACAGGACACCCTTGTCTTATGCTTCTCAAGAAGGCCATCTTGAAGTCGTCGAGTTTATCGTGAACAAAGGAGCAGGCATTGAAATTGGTGATAAAGATGGGTTGACAGCTCTCCACATTGCATCATTCGGAGGTCATCTTGATATTGTCGAATACCTTTTTAGTAAAGGGGCACAGCTTGACAAATGTGACAAAAACGACAGGACACCCTTGTCTTTTGCTTCTCAAAAAGGCCATCTTGAAGTCGTCGAGTATATCGTGAACAAAGGAGCAGGCATTGATATTGGTGATAAAGATGGGTATACAGCTCTCCATATTGCATCATTCGGGGATCGTCTAGATATTGTCAAGGTACTTGTTAGTAAAGGGGCACAGCTTGACAAATGTGACAAAAACGACAGGACACCCTTGTCTTATGCTTCTCAAGAAGGCCATCTTGAAGTCGTCGAGTATATCGTGAACAAAGGAGCAGACATTGAATTTGGTGATGAAGATGGGTTTACAGCTCTTCACAGAGCATCATGGGAGGGTCATTTCGATATTGTCAAATATCTCGTTAGTAAAGGGGCAGACCTGGGGAGACTTGCTATTGATTACTGGACACCTCTACTCCTGGCTTTAGATGGTGGCCATCTGGGTATACATGACTATCTTTTGAAAAGAGAAGCAACAAAGATCGTTAAGCCATTCATTGGGTTTGAAGAGGAGTACTCTGACTACCTTCGCAGTACTTTTGGTGGTGATGCTTTCCCTAGCTATATGCCCCAATCCTCGCGACCATACGATCCATATCTTACCAATCCACGAGACAGCTCTATCTCCACGAGAAAGAGCATCAAAGAAAAGACAATGATTATAAGTCTCGACGAGTACAGCATCAAGGTTTTACTTTCACCCGAAGATCTGGACAAAGCCAAATATATCACAGCAGAAGCATTGCCAAGGATTCCACCTGACTTAAAGCTGGAAAAAGACGAAGTTGTCATCTCAGTTGGGCTTAAGCTTTCCCCTCCTGGTCTTCAGTTTAAAACTCCGGTGGAAGTCACGGTCTCACATAGCGCTATTTTCAGCAACCCAGACAAGGCAGAAATTGTGCTATACACCCGAAGGACTGGTAAGATCTCCCTTTTACCATAGATCCCATATTCTCATATAAATTCCTTTTCCTTCCGTTCCTTTTATTTCCCTCTCTTCGTCGAATCTTCTTTAATTCGCTTTTATATTTATATTGAATTAAAGACGTACCGATAAACCCAAGAAAAGCTTATCCTATATTAAAGTTGCCTTCTTCTTTGCGCACAAACTGTTGAGATATGGTGGTCTCGTGGATACGTCACCGGACTGTGGATCACAGAATTCACGTTTTGCGGCACCAATATCTGTGGCAAGACATAAGTCTTAATTCGCACTCTCCACCAAGGTGTTATATGGGTACCCGGCAAAGGTATGTACCACATGGTACGTTCCAACCATCACGTCACTTACGTGCATTACATCGCGTCTGAACTTTGAACAAAACGAGATATGCGTAGATCAAGACTACTCCACAGAGCTTGCATAGCTTCCGCACAAGAATAGCACAGCCGGGCGTGATGGAAAACATTAAATCACAAACACGTGACTTGAATAAAGGTTTGCCATAGGCTACATTCTTGAACCCGTTTTAGTATATTATAGATTTTGCCCTTGGATTTCTCGAAGGACTTTGTGATCTTGTTTGATAAGAAAATATTTTTTTGATAGTAACAGTTTCAAATCTGATCTCCGTTATGAATAACGGACAAACATCACAAAGTTTAACACCGATTTCTCAATTCTGCATAAGAATTCATCATCACTTTAGAACCGGCAGTCATACAGTTTTGACTTTACAGATCACAACATTTTGTTCTTACATCATCACCGACCATTTCAGGATCATCATCATAATCATAACTATCATCCCCTTAACATTTCTTCCACAAAATGAGAGAAGAAAAAAAAAACATTGCCAGGATCAACCTTTTTTGATTAACCTTTATTAAACTTCATTATCAACATGATTTGATAATCATCTTTTCAAATGGAACATAAAATTATGATGAAATCAACAAATGGGGCTGGCTAGGATTAGGAAGCTAAGGAGAAACTATGTTGAATATGGACTTGGATCACTGTGACTCAACGCTCAGTCAGAGTCCTCATGCCACTACTGCAATAGTGGATTAAAACCAAGTATAGACATTTTCCATGCTATCCAATGAGCATGGCATAATTCATAATTGCGCATTAGGTTAGAGGTCTATAACATGAACAGTTGGGTGTAGAGTGTATTCAATCGGTTAATATTCTGTGGTTAAACAAAAGAAATGAGGATGGGATAGGGGAAAATTTGATGTCAGAGTGCAGATAGCCCCTGACTGCCACGACGAACCCATCACAATTATGACAGAGATCTGCACACAAAATACATCTTTTCTTACTATTCTTGGTATCATATTATGGCCTCACTTCGATATTAATGTTCATCTGAGAATTTTCTACTTCACTGAGTTTTACTTGATAAACTTATATTGGAATAAAAATTCACTTAAAAGCAAAAGTTTCGTCTTTGTGTTTGAATAACGCATAAATCGCATAGTTCATAGAGCCGCCATTTTCAGATTCTTGTGGAAAGATCGTGGGGAATTGTGGGAATGAAAAAAGTGTTATGCATGATGTAATACTTTAAACAATTTGTTAATAGCCAATCACCAAACAGCAATTGACATTTTTGTGTACGAAATTGCTCACGAATAAACAATGTCCCCTTATTAAAGAAACCTACCTTACCAAAAAAATTACCTTATTTTTGTTTTTGTGAAAGTAAATCCCAGAGCATTGACAGCTTACTGCGTTACACAATTAACACGGTCCCCTCTGTTTGTGTCTTGTCGAAAGGATCTGATGAATTTTCAAGGATAGTTCCTGCTTCTGACAAAGCTGCTCGGTGTGTAGTCGCAAAGAATCACCTTACTCTGTACATAGACCATTTCTCAGAATGGTGGATTATCTCCTTAATCAGGAGATACTTCATCGGTAAGCGGCTCATCTGTACGCCATACGCTCCCCTGTCAACATCTAGAGACATCATGAACAGCATCTTGCTCATCATTAAAGACGACTTCTGTGGAGTGAAAGAGGTAGTTTTATTATGAATTATTAGTTGGTTAAATTTCTGGTGCCTGTTATGGGTAATGACCTTTTTTCCTTCTCATTTCTCTAGAGTCAGATCGCGTACGTCATCCTTTGCTGCAAACGGACAATTGCATGAATCGATTTTGTCAGTCTGCAACCGATTTTTGTCAAAGCATCATTTAAATGCATACCTCGTCTGTTATAAGGTCTTGTCTATGCGACACATTTGAATGAAATTATTTGGAATTGATTACACAAAGACGAATTTAGACCGTACTGTGAGACGAGTTTGAATGAAGTCTGACAATAATAAATGGACAAGCGTTGATATTGATCGAATTTGGATTAAATAAACATTAAAATGGACAGGAATCCTAAATAATAGCAAGTTCATACAACTAACACTGTATATGTGTTTGTTTATCAAACACTGGTATTGGGACACAAAGTTTAATACCATAGTTATTGATATAACTTGTGTATGTCCCCGGTCTTCCAGTGGTTCCAATGTCAATACTTGATTGTGTAACGTTATCTGAGTAGAGGGGTCCGTGCACGGAGGGGTAGGGGGTGTGGGGGTGGGGGTGTGAGGGAGGGGTCATAACCAATTAACAAAATCACAGCTTTAATAATTCTACCCTGATAACCGTTTCACATCTTGAAGTAATAATCATCACCCGTTTTTGTGGAGGTGTCGTGGTATAGTCGTTCATTCACTTCACTCTGAATCCAAGGGTTGAGGGTTCGAATGCTTGCCCGGTGCTAACGTTCTTTGGCAAGACATTAATCCGTATTTGCCACCCATGTGTATCTGAGTACCTTGTAATTGCTGGAGTATATTACAGTGCCATCTCAAAAGACAGCATAAGTGCAATTATTGAAATTATTATTATCATTCTGCCAATATTGTTCATATATGTTCAACCTTTTGCAGGATATCATACCAGACTTCAAGGTAGCCTTTCAAAGTGGGCAGTACAGTTACTGCGTATATTGGGGACACGGACCCCTACTAGTCAGACATCTGGAAAACAAAGACGAAGTTTCGACACTGGTAAGAATCTTAGCATAAATAATATGTGGTGTTCCGCAGGGAACAGAATTAGGCCCGTTGATGTTCCTAGCTCTGGTGAATAATGCCGCACATGATATCGAGCATCATTTGAAATATGTTTACGACCTAAGCCTTCTCGAGATTCGCACAAAATCGGCATCTCCGAAACTACAGGACCATCGTGACGAATTAGAAAATTGGAGTAAAGACAATGACATGAAATTCAATACCGCGTACAGCAATGCCATGACTGTGAATCTCATGGGACGTTCCATCAAAACTCCATGTTTGCGTCTCAATGATGAGCCTCTGAAAATAACGTAATTTTAAAATTTGCCCGATCGATATTTCGTTCCGTTGGGTGGGGGGGGGGGGGGGGGGGGGGGGGGAGGGGGAGGGGGGGGGGGGGGGTAAGGTCACTTTTTGGGGGTAATGAGGGGGAGGAGGGTTCTTCAAAACACACCAACAAAAATTGAGGGAGGTTCGACCCCCCCCCCCCAAACCACCCCCTGCGTACGCGCCCGCATGGGCCATAATTCATGGTGTCAGTTTTAGATCAGAATGAATCATGGAGTAGTTCTTATAACTTCATAGGTTGTTATTTGATGGTATTTCTGATTTCCCTAGGAACTTGAAGAATGTGCTTTCTTTGACATGAACACCCACATGATGCCGTTCATTCTTCAGCCACGTGAAAAAACAGTTCCCGGAGTTCTCGTCACTCTCATCTTGAAGCAAAAAATCACGAAGCATATCGCCTTCCAAGTACTATACAACGGTTAGTTCAAGGGCATGATTTCTTTGGGGGACGGGGTGTTAAAAGTGGCCTAAAGACTTTCACTATCAGTGGTGGCAGAGAAAATCTTATTTTTTGCAGTTTCAGGATTGGTTAGTTGCCTGAGCTTCGGACAAGCTGTTACACATCAGATTTAACAATTACATTCCACAAACATGCTTTCCTTCTTTTCGGGCGTTTTTAACGTCTTGTGTGATAAAGACATGAGATTATACGAATTTTTTAAACCCCTTTTTTTATTGATTCTGGACATAATGCTCCCGAAAACAATTTTTTTTTTTTTACTAGTGTTGACGATCTTGGTATAATTTTTCATGTGAAAATATTATACTACTGCTGGTACAAGTGAATTTGACCTAACATCATTTGACCACCCTGTTTATGTATATACATATAAATAATAATTAGACAATTGGGATAAAAATGAAACCGGTCATAGTGAAGGAGAGAACTCTAAAGACTTTAATTTCAATCGTTTTAATTATTATTTCTATATCGCCGTGAGGGAGGATTATCAACACGAATTATTTGTTCCCTATATACATACATGTATATTATATTATATTATATAGGCCTACACATTATTTTTATGTGCAATACGGTGTAGCAAAACCACCATGGCAAGTGACTCAAATTTGGAAAAGTTATCATTTTAGGCTAATCACTTCTCATCACGTTGATATCATATATTCACAATTTAGATGTGCCCATGTGAATCCAATAGCCCAATCAAAGCCGATGGGATCTGCATCGTCCAAAGGCAAAGCTGAACCAACTGATGTTGGACGAGGAACATCCAAATGTAAGATTTAAAAATAATATATATATTAATACTATTTTTCCTTTCGGTATGCAGGGCATCGTATCACCGTCATGGGTACAAATGTAAAACGTGTGTACAAATTAACACGCATTCAATGGGATGTCGACGAGCTTGATATATGAAACAATTTTCTTATTGTAAAGTGACGATTTGAAGAAAGTCGAACAAATTTACATTATATGTGTGCAATTGAGACTTGATTCTGATTTGATTTTCATTGATTATTGCATTTTCAGCATCTCAGTTCTCCGAAGAGCTGACGAGAAGCGAGCATCATCTTGAAACGATAGTTCCAACATCACCTGAGCCTGCAGACACAAAGGGTAAGACTATATCAGGAGCGGTTCTGGAGGAATACATGTATAAATATTGTGTTATTTTTTGGTTGGCGCAGGGCGATGCAGTGATGAGGTCTTCTAGCAATCGTTTTCTACATAATGTGCTTTTTGGGGGGAGGAGGAGAGAGAGGGGGGGGGGGGGGACTAGAACTGCTACTGCGGACTATGTTCTTGTAATTGGCCTTTGTTCTAAATATCATGTAATATATTATCAATGTATTTTTTATACCGTATAATATTTAACAACTCTTCGCTACATGTTCCATGATTTTATCTCAAACATGTCAATAAAGCAAAGTAATACAATATACTTCGACGGTCGACATGCAATAGATAACGGATCAGTCATAATTCTTTACAGAACAGGTCGGAGTTTGGTTTAATCATTTTCTAAAAGCTTTTTTTTTTTTTACGTTGCTTTATTTTAGACGGAAGTCATACTGATGTCCTTACAATACCTAGGCCATTGACTCCACCATCGACAGAGTCACCGTCATGTGAACATGCCTACCAAGTCATAGATGATTTGGTAACGGAGACAGTAGCAATTGGTAAGGAGCTGAGAGATAAAGTCGTGTTCTGGGCTCTGTAACATTAAAAAAAAAAATCAATTTGATCTCCCCCAAAAATAATCTTATCTCCTCAATCAATCGTAACTTTAAGGTGAGTAGTTACTGACATTTAATTTTATGTTACAGATAGTAAAGAACGAAATACTTTGGCAAAACATTAATATATATATATATTATGCTACACTCAATCCATGTGTAATACGTGGGCAGGCTACCTTAAACGGTTGCTGGAACTTAACCGGGGTAATAATATCTAAAGTCCTGTGGAAGCGCATATTATGTATTGTGATATACGCTTATTTCCTTTACATGCTCCTTGTAAATATGAACGATGTAATAATTTTGTTCATTTCGATTTAAGCTCCATCGACATCATCGACAGTGCCCGTCCCTTCATTAGAGTCTGTAGCAGAGGGGACAATGGGAGACTTAGCCCCACCACCAATTGTGACAAACATTGTCCAAGAATTCATTCCAGGACTTTCAGCAGACCAAATACCCCAGCGTTCTGGGAACGTCTATATCAACGTCCAAGAGATGGTCATCAACAATCCCCAAGGGAATAATCCTCAAGGAAATAATCCCCAAGGAAATACTGTTGCCCCTACTCTTTTGAAGAGAGGAGCAAAACAGATCATTAAGCCATTCATTGGGCGTGAAGAGGACCACTATGACTACCTTCGCAGCTCTTTTGGTGGTGATGCTTTCCCTAGCTATATGCCCCAATCCTCGCGACCATACGATCCATATCTTACCAATCCACGAGACAGCTCTATCTCCACGAGAAAGAGCATCAAAGAAAAGACAATGATTATAAGTCTCGACGAGTACAGCATCAAGGTTTTACTTTCACCCGAAGATCTGGACAAAGCCACATATATCACAGCAGAAGCATTGCCAAGTATTCCACCTGACTTAAACCTGGAAAAAGACGAAGTTGTCATCTCAGTTGGGCTTAAGCTTTCCCCTCCTGGTCTTCAGTTTAAAACCCCGGTGGAAGTCACGGTCTCACATAGCGCTATTTTCAGCAACCCAGACAAGGCAGAAATTGTGCTCTACACCCGAAAGACTGGTAAGATCTTCCTTTTACCATAGATCCCATATTCCCATATAAATTCCTTTCCCTTCTCTGACAAGACATAAATCTTAATTTGCACTCTCCACCAAGGTGTTTTATGGATACCCGGCAAAGGTATGTACCACATGGTACGTTCCAACCATCACGTCTCTTGTAATTACGTCCATTACATCGCGTCTGAACTTTGAACACAACGAGATATGCGTAGATCAAGAATACTTCACAGAGCTTGCATAGATTCCGAACAAGAATAGCACAGCCGGGCGTGATGGAAAAAACTAAATCGTAAACTCGTGACTTGCATACAGGTTTGCCATAGGCTACATTCTTGAACAAGTCTTATATCATAGATTCTTGACATTGCCCTTGAGTTGATTTCTCGAAGGCCTTTGTGATCTTGTTTGATAAGAAAATAATTTGTTGACAGAAACAGTTTCAAATCAGATGTCCGTTATGAATAACGGACAAACATCACAAAGTTAAACACCAATTACTCAATTCTGTATAAGACTGCATTATCACTTTTGAACCGTCAGTCATACAGTGTTGACGTTACAGATCACAACATTTTGTTCTTAAATCATCACCGGTCATTTCAGGATCAACATCATAATCATAACCATCATCTCCTTAAAATTTCTTCCACAAAATGAGAGAAGAAAAAAAAACATTGTCAGTATCAACCTTGTTTAAATAACGTATAGGCCTAAGTCGCATAGTTCATACAGCCGCCACTGTCCAGATTCCTGTGGAAAGATCGTGGGCAATTTTGGGAATGAAAAAAGTGTTATGCATGATCTAATACTTTAAACAGTTTGTTACTAGCCAATCACCAAACAGCAATTGACATTTTATTTGTACGAAATTGCTCACGAATAAATAATGACCCCTTATTAAAGAAACCTACCTTTAATACCAACAAATTTACATTATTTTTGTTTTTATGAAAGTAAATCCCAGAGCATTGACAGCTCACTGCGTTACAAATTAACACGATCCTCTCTGTTTTGTGTGTGTCCTGTCGAAAGGGTCTGATGAATTTTCAAGGATAGTTCCTGCTTCTGACAAAGCTGCTCGGTGTGTAGTCGCAAAGAATCACCTTACTCTGTACATAGACCATTTCTCGGAATGGTGGATTATCTCCTTAATCAGGAGATACTTCATCGGTAAGCGGCTCATCTGTACGCCATACGCTCCCCTGTCAACATCTAGAGACATGATGAACAGAATCTTGCTCATCATTAAAGACGACTTCTGGGGAGTGAAAGAGGTAGTTTTATTATGAATTATTAGTTGGTTTAATTTCTGGTGCCTGTTATAGGTAATGACCTTTTTTCCTTCTCATTTCTCTAGAGTCAGATCGCGTTCGTCATCCTTTGCTGCGATTTTGTCAGATTTCAACTGACTTTGTCAAAGCATCATTTAAATGAATACCTCGTGTGTTCTAAGGTCTTGTCTATGCGACACATTTTAATGAAATTATGTTGGAATTGATTACACAAAAACGAATTTAGACCGTACTGTGAGACGAATTCGAATGAAGTCTGACAATAATAAATGGACAAGCGTTGATATTGATTGAATTTGGATTAAATAAACATTAAAATGGACAGGAATCCTAAATAATAGCAAGTTCATACAACTAACACTGTATTTTTGTTTCCTTATCAAACACTGGTATTGGGACAAAAAGTTTAATACCATAGTTATTGAGATAACTTGTGTATGTCCCCGGTCTTCCAGTGGTTCCGATGTCAATACTTGATTGTGTAACGTTTTTTTATGTACAGGGGTCCGTGCACGGAGGGGGGAGGGGGTGGGGATCATAACCAATTCATACAAATGACAGCTGTAATAATGAACCATTTCGCATCTTGGAGTACTAATCAGTTCGAGACTCACAAAATATTCATCAACCATTTTCATGTAGGTGTCGTGGATTTAGACCGTACTTTGAGACGAATTCTAATGAAATCTGACGAGAAGGAATGGACAAGCGTTGATATGGATTGACCTTTGGCTAACTTGGATGACATAATGAATAAATTGAATTTGACATGTGCACGATCACGGACTCCTAGGGTAAACTTAAAGTGTACAAAGATGAATTTGAATTAAATAGATATAAAAATGGACAGGAATCCTAAATAATAGTAAGTCCATACAACTTACACTGTATTTTTGTTTGTTTAGCAAACACTGGAATCCGGACAAAAGTGTTATACCATGGTTATTAAAATAACTTGTGTATGTCCCCGGTCTTCATTTGGTTACGATGTCAATACTTGATTGTGTTACGTTTTCTGAGTAGAGGGGTCCGTGCACGGAGGGCGGGGGTGGGTGTTGGGGGTGTGGGGGAGGGGTCATAACCAATTAACAAAATCACAGCTATAATAATTCTAACCTGATAATCGTTTCACATCGTGGTGTCGTGGTACAGTCGTTCATTCATTTGACTCTGAATCCAGTGGTTGAGGGTTCGAATGCTAGCCCGTTGCTAACGTTCTTTGGCAAGACATTAATCCGTATTTGCCATCCAGGTGTATCTGAGTACCTTGTAAATGCAGTGCCATCTCAAAGGACAGCATTAGCGCAATTATTATTATCATTGTCATTATCATTCTGTCAATATTGTTCATGTATGTTCAATCTTCGCAGGATACCAGACTAAACTTCAAGGTAGCCTTTCAAAGTGAGCAGTACTGCGTATATTGGGGACACGGACCCCTACTTGTCAGACATCTGGAAAACAAAGACGAAGTTTCGACACAGGTAAGAATCTTAGCATAAATAATATGCGGTGTTCCGCAGGGAACAAAACTAGGCCCGTTGATGTTCCTAGCTCTGGTGACTGGAATGATGCCGCACATGATATCGAGCATCATTGGAAATATGTTTACGACCTAAGCCTTCTCGAGGATCGCACGACTTCGGCATCTCCGAAACTACAGGACCATTTTGTCGAATTGGAATATAGGAGTAAAGACAATTACAAGAAATTCAATACCACCAAGAGCAATGCCATGTCTGTCAACTTCATGAAATGTACCATAAAAATTCCTTGTTTGCGTCTCAATGATGAGCCTCTGAAAATAACGGAATCCCAGAAAATACTGGGCGTGCACTTACAATCCGATCTCAAGTGGGACAAACAAGTTAGTGATATTGTAACAAGAGCGGGTAATGGAGTATTTATGATAAGTCGTCTTTGCAAGGCATCTGTCCCAAGTTGTGACCTATTCAACATCTATTCATCTTACATACGTCCTATTTTGGAGTATTCATCTCCCCGTTGGTCTCGTGCAAGCATGACTGCAAATCAGTACAATGACATTGAGAAAATCCAGAAAACACACCAAAAGTGTTTGCCGCATCATTATGAAGGACATCTCCGTCTGCCGTATTTCGAAGCGGCATGAACAATTACTGGATTCCTTTGCTCGTAGTCTGTTGAAATCTCCCCGGCACCGGGATCTTCTCCCTCCCTTAAGCTATGATCACAACTCAGAGCGGCGACCGACCGATTAGCTGCTCAGTCTCCGCTGGAAATTCGGCATCGCCCAACAATTTTTGGAGAATTCGAGCAGGCTGTAGAGCCCCAGTGATGCCTGGGCGGTGCCCTGTCGATTTCCCGTCAATCGCCGGTCGATTTTAGGTCAAAACTTGGCAAAATCGGGGAGCTTCTCTGGGCGGCGTCCCGACAGTAATCTATTGATGACCCACCGATTCCCAAGCGGTCTCCCACCGGTCACCGGCTGATTTGAAAGAATAAGCCCGGCGGGGCACCAAAATCCATTCGGTGCCCGCGGGCGGTCGAGTCTATTTACATGCAAAATTACAATAAAATAGGAAGCGTTTGATGATTTGAGCTAAAAAATAGTAAGTGAGATAATTGGACTATTCCTGTATATAATAAACAAGTCCAAATCGTTTTCGTTCAATATATGCTAACGTCATGCGAGAATACGTTCGCAATTGGACGCTACCATTTCGGTAGAGAACTCCAGTCGGAAAGAAAGGTTAAGATAAGAAGTCCAGACCAGATTACCAAAGTCCTTTTGGCTGACGCCACTCGGTATCGTGTTCACTCAGGTTTCCGCGATTAGTCTCGTTTAGTCGCTCGGCGTCAGATATAAATATCGTTATTAGACACGAAGCCTTGTCTAAAGGCTAGGCTGTTGGTGGAAAGCATCACATGCCAGCTAGCACCCCCCACCTATGCCGGAGTGACCTAGGTTAAAACCGAAAGTCTGCGAAATGTACCTCAAAGACTGGTAAGATGGTATTTTGACAAGGGTGAGGGTGAGTGCAAAGTACACATGTACATACATAGGTAATATTTGAGCGCACACGTGCGCGTAAACACAAGTACGTACAACTTGCCAGGCCGTCTCTTTCCAAAATTATTAATTTATTAAATTTTCTCCAAAAAAGCAACAAAAAGAAAAGAATATAAAGGAAAATAAGCAGAAGGAAAGGGGATGGAAAGAGAAAGAATCCTAAAAATAGTCATTTATGACATAAAATTGTACATATGTATATATATATATATATATATATATAAATAATTCATAAAATAGTGTGTGGCAAAAATAGTCAACTGTGACTGATTGCCAAACAAAATCAAATCAAGAAGAAGAAAAAGGGAGCTGTGCGGTCTCGGAGGGGGATAAAGGGGAATATGGTAGGGGGAACAAAAGACGCGCGGTTCCACGGATGGCTTCCAAGGGGCCTCTTGGACGGTATCTCCATCCATGACTCTCTCCCTGGTTCTCGTTATAACATTATTTTTAGGAAACTCGATTTAAACATGGGCCATAATTCATGGTGTCATTTTTAGATTAGATTGAACCATGGAGTAGTTCCTATAACTTCATAGGGTGTTAATCGATGGTTATCACTGATTTTTCTAGGAACTTGAAGAATGTGCTTTCTTTGACATGAACACCCACACGATGCCGTTCATTCTTCAGCCATATGAAAAAGGAGTTCCCGGAATTCTCGTCACTCTCATCTTGAAGCAAAAAATCACGAAGCGTATCGCCTTCCAAGTACTGTACAACGGTTAGTTCAAGGGCATGATATCTTAGGGGGAGTGGGGGGTGGTGTTGAAAGTGGCTTAAAGACTTCCACTATCAGTGGTGGCAGAGGAAATATTATATTTTGCAGTTTCAGGATTGGTTATGTGCCTGAGCTTCGGACAAGCTGTGACAAAACATCAGATTTAACACAAACATATTAAATTCCACTCACATGTTTCCTTTCTTTTGAGGCGTTTTTAACGTCTTGTGTGATAACGACATGAGATTATACGAATTTTTAAAACGCATTATTGATTATGGACATAATGCTCCCGAAAACAAAATTAAAATTTTTACTAGTTTTGACGATCTTGGTATCATTTTTCATGTGAAAAGATTATACTACTTTTGATACCAGTGAATTTGACCTAACAACATTGTGCCACCCTGTTTATATATATCTATATATATATATACATATAAATAATAATTAAGACAATTTGAATAAAAATGAAACCGGTCATAGTCAAGGAGAGAACTCTAAGGACTTTTATTTCATTCGTTTTAATTATTATTTCTATATCGCCGTGACGAAGGATTATCAACATTAATTATTTGGGTTTTTTTATATATAGATATATATTCTATGTACATTAGTTTAGGCTCATCACTTCTCATCACGTTGATATCAAATATTCACAATTTAGATGTGCCCCATGAGAATCCAATTGCCCAATCAAAGCTGATAGGATCTGCATCGTCCAAAGGCAAAGCTGAACCAACTGATGTTGGACGAGGAACATCCAAATGTAAGATTTAAAAATAATATATATATTAATACTATTTTTCCTTTCGGTATGCAGGGCATCGTATCACCGTCATGGGTACAAACGTAAAACGTGTGTACAAATTAACACGCATTCAATGGGATGTCGACGAGCTTGTTATATAAAATAATGTCTTTATTGTAAAGAGACGATTTGAACTGAGTCGAACAAATTAACATTATATATGTGCAATAGTGACTTGATTCTGATTTGATATTGAATGATTATTGCATTTTCAGCATCTCAGCTTTCCGAAGAGCTGACGAGAATTGAGCATCATCTTGAAACGATAGTTCCAACATCACCTGAGCCTGCAGACACAAAGGGTAAGACTATATCAGGAGCGGTTCTGGAGGAATACATGTATAAATATTGTGTTATTTTTTGGTTGGCGCAGGGCGATGCAGTGATGAGGTCTTCTAGCAATCGTTTTCTACATAATGTGCTTTTTGGGGGGAGGAGGAGAGAGAGAGAGGGGGGGACTAGAACTGCTACTGCGGCCTATGTTCTTGTAATTGGCCTTTGTTCTAAATATCATGTAATGTATTATCAATGTATTTTTATACCGTATAATATTTAACAACTCTTCGCTACATGTTCCATGATTTTATCTCAAACATGTCAATAAACCAAAGTAATACAATATAATTCGACGGTCGACATGCAATAGATAACGGATCAGTCATAATTCTTTACAGAACAGGTCGGAGTTTGGTTTAATCATTTTCTAAAAGCTTTTTTTTTTTTTACGTTGCTTTATTTCAGACGGAAGTCATACTGATGTCCTTACAATACCTAGGCCATTGACTCCACCATCGACAGAGTCACCGTCATGTGAACATGCCTACCAAGTCATAGATGATTTGGTAACGGAGACAGTAGCAATTGGTAAGGAGCTGAGAGATAGTCGTGTTCTGGGCTCTGTAACATTAAAAAAAAAATCAATTTGATCTCCCCCAACAATACAGATAGTAAAGAACGAAATACGTTGGCAAAACATTAATCTATCTATATCTATATATATATATATATATATAAATATATATATATATATATTATGCTACACTCAATCCATGTGTAATACGTGGGCAGGCTACCTTAAACGGTTGCTGGAACTTAACCGGGGTAATGATATCTGAAGTCCTGTGGAAGCGCATATTATGTATTGTGATATACGCTTATTTCCTTTACATGCTCTTTGTAAATATGAACGATGAAATATTTTTGTTCATTTTGTTTTAAGCTCCATCGACATCATCGACAGTGCCCGTCCGTTCATTAGAGTCTGTAGCAGAGGGGACAATGGGAGACTTAGCCCCACCACCAATTGTGACAAACATTGTCCAAGAATTCATTCCAGGACTTTCAGCAGACCAAATACCCCAGCGTTCTGGAAACGTCAATATCTACGTCCGAGAGATGGTCATCAACAATCCCCAAGGGAATAATCCTCAAGGAAATAATCCCCAAGGAAATACTGTTGCCCCTACCCCTGTTCCTATGGCTTCCATAGTACCTCCTAGGCTTCAGCATGAACTGCGTTGTCGGTTGAACAGAGAAAGCCCAGTTTACGATGACTGGAGGGGTCTTGCCAATCAGCTTGGACTTGAAGAATACATACAATCACTCGAACAGTGCAAGAATCCGACTGAAGAACTACTCGTACTTGCTGAGAGTCAAAAGAAGATTCAGAACCTTGGGGACTTGGCCAAGGCGTTCGAACGCATGAATCGTGGGGATTGCCAAGAGCTCTGCGAGAACTATGCGTTTGAGGGAACAAAGTCAGCTGGTCCTCGGAAGGATCAAATGGAAGATGATGACATAGACAGTAGTGATTACTGGTAGGGAACAGGCTCAATCTGTTCCATATCAATGATGGGCCTCTGAAAAAAACGGAATCCCAGAAAATACTGGGTGTGCACTTAAAATCCGATCTCAAGTGGGACATTAATTATAACTGTGATTAAGTTATGATAAAACATCGATAATTCTCGGTTTCGTTTTTTCTGGGACGCACTGTATATTCGCTGCATTTAAATAGGATTATTACATTGGTTGCTTTTACAGGAACGAAGTGAGATTCTCTCTAGGTATATTCATCGATTTTAAGAAAGTAATTTTGACACCATTAATCTTAATATACTACTATCTCTAATCTCTATCATCATGGCATTCGAGTTTAACCTTTTGCATGGTTTAAGGACTATCTTAGTAACAGACCCAGATTGTTCAATGTGGTCTAACGTTATCTATAAGGAATAATATAAGATGTGGTGTTCAACAAGGATTAGTACTAGGGCCAACTCTGATTTTATCTAAATAAATGATCTACCATCAGTAACTGATTGTTTCGATTTGCGGCTGTTTTCCAATGATTCTAACATAGTTCATACTTTTCCAGCTGATCAGGGCAAAATTAATATGGATGAAGTTTTTTAAAACACACAGATAAATTGGTGCATTACAGGTAATTATCAGTATGTTATATGTCATGTATTTCAGCAATATAATTATGTGCAATATTAACTGTCATGATGATTGGCACAGCAGGTTCTTTCATTCATTAATATTTTGATATTGCATGTACTGTTATCCTACCTCTCACTCTCCCATCCCTTTTCTCTATTTGAACTTGCTACTTTTCAAATTTCCTTTTCTCTTCTTCAGTTTTAGTCTTTCCTCTCTATTTCTATTTCACTCCCTCCCCTCTCTCTCAGCTCTCTATCTGTTTTTTTTTCTCTCTCTCTCTCTCTCTGCCTCTTCTTCTTTCTCCCTTCGTCTCTCCTTCCTCCTCTCTGTTTCTCTCTCTCTCTCTCACTTTCTGTCTCTCCCTCCTCCTCTCCACCTCTTTCTCTTCTGATGATGTTTTACAGTGCAGCATTGTTTAATTATCTGCTATTCTTACTGTGACCAATAATACCTAAGGACTTTCATTTTTTTCATGTGCAATATGTTTATACATCATGTCACACTTGTGATTAGCACACAGCCAAACCTCCATTCTTAATACTAGTACTCTTTGATATTCATTATACCTTCTGAATGGAATTTGTATTGCATTTTATCGCAGTTGTTCCTATGTTACAGTTAATTGAATACACGTATCTGGATACATTGTATTTGTTTTGATGTAAACATTTATTCATTTTTATATATTTGTTTTCATTTGTTATGTTTTCTTTATATATATATCTATATGTTTTTTGAATGCAATGCAATGTTTTTTTTAAAATGATTGTATGTTTAATGTAAACTTGCATTTTTAGTCTTTGGACTTTTTGACAAGTCTTGAATAAAACCTCATTTGAATTGAATTGAATTGAATATTGCTAACAACTAATTCAATGAAAACCTATTTCATGTTGAAAAATAGGAGTAACAAAAAAAGTATTAAATGGTAAACTGGAAACAGTTGGAGAGGAAGTCAAAGAGGTTGATGTTGCCACTTATGATAGACATCTGTCATGTAATAGTCATATTCGTTATGTAAATCAGTGTGTTAGGAAGGGAGATAGATTGTTTTTTGTTTAGATTGCGACATTTTGTTCCTAGGCATACTCGACATTATCATATAAAACGTGGATAAAACCACACATAACCTGCGGAATATAGGTGTGGGGACGCAATAATAAGGAAGCATAATTATTGTATTCACAGAAAATTGCAGTTTGTGTTTTTTATTTTGCATTTAGAGATGGGAGAACTCCTACAGCTCCAATACTTAAAAGATTGCGAATCCTAACTTTGTATAATTAGGATGATTCATCAATCTCTAACTTCATGTCTGATCTGTTTAATAAACATTTGCCTCATTGCCTTGATAGATTATTGTGCCATTCTAGAGTATAGCTACTCTACAAGGCAAACTGAAGGTGGACAGTTACGTCTCCCATAATGTAGAACGACACGAGGTCGATTTTGATTGTCTTTTGAATTTTGTAATATAGATTACCTATTAATGTCAGAGTCTGTAACCACACATGTGTTAAACGAATCATGAATTAAAAATCCATGCAAATAGTCTGTATTTGTACGATATTTCATATTATAAGTTTGTATCTTGTAAGACATTGATAAACTGTAGTCTATTTTATAATATCGATTGTAATGGTAAATTTTTTTTTCTCCTGAAGGTTACTTGTACAAAATACATTATTTAGCTGTAAGGCGTAAGGATCGACTAGCACATACATTGTATGTTATTATCTGGCCCCTTTTACCAACCAATACTTTGTCTTCTTAACATGTACATATGGTGGTATGAAATGCATGGCTATTATTTTCTGTTGATAAAATAAAGTTGATGTGTTTTTATGTTACATATTGTATATCTTGTTTTCTCAAAGGGTTGTCCTCTTACAAGGTTTGTTTCCTTTTGGCCACTGCCTTCCTCACTTTTTATAATCCTTTGTCATGTATTGTCATCCATTTGTCTGTTTATATATGTAGTTTTATCTGTTGATCTCTTGAGGAGAAATAAATGAAACTGAACCAAATAAACAATTCTAATACAAAATCTATACATCAACAGGATTGTAGCTATAAAAGTGATGTACATGTATATGGAAATAAATTAACATCAACTCAAATCAGTCAAATGAAATGAATTCAACTTTGAAAGCATCCAGAAGGAATTACCTTTGAAAAAAATTGCTGCTCCTTACCCAGAAAAGAATGGGGAGCTGGTACGATGATGAAAGCCTTTATGATAGCAACCTGCCATTATGCGCGCAGGGTGACCATAATTATGATAGAATACTTCTCAGGGAGTAGAGATGGTGCACATTGTGTGCGTGAATGGATTCGATGACTGGAGTAATAATTCTATAACAACAGTGCTTAGAGAAGGTATTCCGTATCAGGTACTGAATAAACCCAAATTATTCTTAATAAATTAATGTTTTATAATGCTGGAATATTAAACATACACACCAAATAGTACTAGGTTCTAACGAACCGTTCCCTCTCAAAATAGGTATCATGTTCAGTAGGTTCGTTTAATTTTCCAAGCTTTCCTTGGTTAAACAACAAACTATACTGTAACAAATTGCACAAAAATGACACAGAGTAAATGCATTTCGCTTTGTTTAATGAAACAATTGCCTACAGTACCGTAAAACAATGTAAATGAAAGGAAAATGTGCGATCCCCTGTTTATTGAACCATTACAAAATATTCCCCAAAAATCGTATCAAAATAATTAGTAAGAGTTACTCTACCTAACCATGTCACATTATCACATACAGTTGCATTTTGATTGACTCCATGGTAGGCAATATCTTGCTATGAGATGTGCTCCCCTTAAAGGTAATACAAAGTTTTGGGAAATTTTGAAAATTGGGTGGATAGTGATTCTTTACAATTTTGAAACATTTGGATGCCCCTGTGGATGTATTATGAGCACTAGAAAATTTAGCCCCTGATCATCCACGCTGGCACCAATAACATCTCTGAGGGTGCTGGTGAAGTTTGCCACCAAATCACAGACCTCGGCAAGTCTGTTGCTGCCGAGGGGTTTAACGTCTCAGTCTCTACGATCATCCATCGTAGAGGGGAGAGTGAAGCGGACAAGAAGCGGGTTGATGAGATCAACTATCTGATGGAGTTGGCAGCCAGCGAGAACAGATGGGGCCTCATCATCAACAATGATATCAGCGAGCAGCATCTCGGGCGTGATGGCGTTCACCTCAACAGAGCCGGTCAACGAATCTTGGCAGGCAACCTGAAACGCCTCATCAACAGTGCTGACCAACCGACAACACGAGGCCATGGCTGGACTCAACGGTCGTCCGATCAAGTTACAGGCAGTGAACCTGGAGCAAGGCGGCATCAAGCCATCTACCGAGAAAACCAGAGTCTTCATTCTGATGAGGAGAAAAGCAGCCCCGTAAAGTCCTACGCCGAATCTGTTTCTGGGAGATCTTTGGATTTCAGTGCAGTCAAACAGAGGTCACGACTGAAACCAGCCTTCAGACCATCCAAGGTGGACATGAAAGACTGGGCGAAATATCTTCAATTTGTAAGAAGGGTATTGAATTAAGTGAAAGTTTGACAAAATCTAGTGATGATCCGAAAATTATAGTTGACGGTCGAAAATATAAGTTCCCTTGTGGGAACTGTGATAAGCCAGTCAAATGTAATCAACACGGCCTTCTGTGTTCTTATTGTAAAAAATGGTTTCACACTAATTGTCAAGCTATCAGTTTTTCAGAGTACCGCAGGTTATATTATGAATGCCCTGATGAGAAGTGGAATTGTTTAACATGTTGTCTGCCATCTTTTTGTGACTCATTATTTAACGACGATTGTTTAGAGAAAGAAAGCCAAAACGAGTATAGACTAAAAGAAAACTATTTTAAGATAACGCGCGTTACACCTGAAAAGCAAGCGATAGCAAGAGTAATTCAGCCAAACCTCAGAGATGAAAACACTTCTCTTTATCAAGAATTTGAAGAAAAGTTTAAAGTTAAAGGTCTTCATTTTTTACACCTTAATGTGAGGTCTATTCTAAACAAGATATCGGAACTTAGAATTCTTTTTAAAAGAAAAAGGCTGTCTATTATTGCTTTCACTGAAACATGGTTAAACAATTCCATAAATGATGAAGAAATTGAAATAGACGGATATAAAATCATACGCCATGATCGATCCTCTGGCTCTGGAGGTGGTGTATGTTTCTATATCAGAAATGATATTGCATTTAATATTATGGATGCTATAAGTACTGGAGATACGGAATCCCTGTGGATAAATTTGCTTATACCAAGATCAAAACCAATTGTTGTTGGTGTTCTGTATCGACCTCCGAAAAACAATTTGTTTATCGAGAAATTGTCCAATATTCTTGATACATTAAAGAAGGATGACGAAATAATTCTTTTAGGAGACATGAATATTTGTCTTCTTCGCAAATCGCCACTGGCTAAAAAATATATTGACTTGTTGAGTCTTCATGGGTTTAGTCAACTCATTAAAGAGGCAACACGCGTTACACCTACATGTTCTTCTCTATTGGATCATGTTGGTTGTACCAAAGAAAATAAAATAAGTCAAAGTGGTGTCATTGATCTAGGTATTAGCGACCATTATTTTACTTTCTGTACACGGAAAAATGTTAGACTGGCTATAGGTCATCACAGGACTAATGATATCAGATCCATGAAAAAATATACAGAAGAGTCTTTCAATCTTCAACTATCTGTTGTTGATTGGTCACGAATAACTGACTGTACAGATGTAAATGAGGCATGGTCAATATTTCAACATGTTTTTATCTCAAATTTGAATATGATAGCGCCACTGAAACGGATAAGAATAAAACAAAGATCAGAAACTTGGGTGACTAAAGATATTCTTTCCCTAATTCAAGAGAGAAATATAGTATACAAAAAATGGAGGAAAAGAGCAAAAGATGAGAAGCTCTATAAAAGATACAGAGTATTAAGAAATATGGTCCAAAGAGAGGTGAAAAAGGCTAAACTCGATTACTTACAAAACAAGATAGAAGAAAATAAACAAGATTCGAAAAAACTTTGGCAGAATCTAAAAAGCTTAGGTTTGAAAATAAGAAGCGAAAAGAACAAGAATCTGTCATTAAAATTGATGGGGAATTATGTCATGATAAGATGGCCATCGCTGATGAATTCAATTCTCATTTCACAAATGTGGCTGCCAAATTAGTAGACAAACTCCCCCCTTCCAAAGACTTTTTCAGCGCAGACAATGATTGTATTCGTGACTTTTACGAAAGAAAAGGTGTACGTGAAAACAGCTTCGAGTTATTACCAATCAGTGAACAATTTGTTTTCAAAGAGTTACGTAAGTTGAATGTATCAAAAAGTACTGGGTTAGACTTGATTCCAGCTAAATTTCTAAAAGATGGTGCGAAGGTTTTATTTAAGCCTCTAAGTTACTTAATGAACCTATCTATCTTGACGAGTACTTTTCCAGAAGATATGAAAATAGCAAAAGTGACTCCACTTTATAAAAAGAAAGATAAAACTGATGTTAGCAACTATAGACCTATTAGTGTTTTAAGCGTAGCATCAAAGATTCTAGAAAAATCGGTCTGTGTTCAAATTGAAAGATACTTCAAAGAAAATGATATAATTTATGAATTTCAATCTGGTTTTCGACATGATTATTCGACTGAAACATGTCTAATTCATTTGACTGATTATTTGAGGAGAGAAACTTCCCAAGGACGCTTTGTTGGTATGGTGCTCCTTGATCTGCAAAAAGCTTTTGATACAGTTAATCATTGCGTCTTATTGAAGAAGTTACAACTAATGGGTTTTGATAAGGCAAGTTTAGATTGGTTCAGATCCTACTTATCTAATCGGCACCAAGTAGTGGCCATTCATGATATTCGTTCCAAACTAATGCCTATAACATGCGGTGTTCCTCAGGGAAGTATTTTAGGCCCAATTCTATTTTCAAGTTATATAAATGATATGTGTATTTGTATAAAAGACTTCAAACTATTATTGTACGCAGATGACAGCGTACTACTCTATTCAAATCCTGATCCTAAATATATTGAGGAAAAGCTCAGTGAACAGCTGTCTACGTGTGTCGATTGGATGACTGATAATAAGCTTTCTTTACACTTGGGAAAAACAGAAAGCATTTTATTTTGTTCTAAAAGTAGTTCTAAAAAGTCATTTGAATTCAAAGTGACACACAATAATCAAGCAATCAAGAGAAAAGAGTCTGTGAAGTATTTAGGCATTGAGTTGGCTAGCGCAATTTCATTTTCATCTTTAGTAGAATCAGTTGTAAAAAAAGCAAATTCTCGTCTGAAATTTTTGTACAGATATCAAAGTTGTATGGATTTAAAAGCAAGACGTACACTCTGTTTTGCTCTTATTCAATGTTTATTTGACTATGCTAACCCTGCATGGTACAGTAACATAAACAAGTCAGATCAAAAGAAGTTGAAGATTATACAGAACAAAATGGTGAGATTTATCAACTGTTCTGGTCCAAGAACTCATGTTGGCTATAGCGAACTTTCTAAAGCTGGTTTTCTTGAAGTCGACCAAAGATCAAAACAACTCGCATTGCATCACGTGCATAAAATATATCATACTAGGGCGAATCATTATATTCGATCCAACTTCGATCTTGTTACTGACGTACATGATTATAATACAAGAAATAGACGATTCAACTTTAACTTACCAGAAAGAGTAGGTAGTATTGGAAATTCGTTTTATTACAATGCCATAAAACATTGGAATTCCCTTCCCAATGGTGTAAAAGAAATAGGAAACTATGATCATTTTAAGAGGAAATTAAAGGAATACCTAATACTTGACAGTCAGAGAAGAGAAGTGAATGACATGTTATATGATTGAAATTGTTATTCTTCTGTCGGTTCATACTTTTTCATGTTGTATATACTTATGTTTTCGTACGTTATAGAAATTCTACAAATTCATCATTATTTTCCTCTTCTTCCTTCTCCTCTTTTTCTTCTTCTCCTTCTTCTTTTTCTTCTTGTACTTAATATCATTTCTATCATCAGTTTAATGTTGTTATTATTATCTTTAATAAGTAGTTCTTTTAATTTTCTTATCTGTCTGTAAATATTACTATTTTAATTTATTAATTGTATACATGTCTGTAAGGGACCCCACTGGAAATAAGCTCTCGAGCTTTCGTGGGTTATCCTGCTCAAGCTGACTTATTTTTGATCTGTTATTATTGTATATTGTTGTATATTGGAAGCTTGTCGAATAAAAATCAATCAATCAATCAATCCTATAAAACACTTCGAGAAAAATTGAATATAAAAATTTTCCGGTGCTCCCGGTAAATTTTTGATAAATTTCAAATAGCGCCTACGGCCGTACAATGGTAGCTGGCTAGCTGCGACCATGAAAATCTCAGAGTATGTATAGTAGTGATATAATATAATTTCGAAACCAGAATAGCTAATCGGTCGATTTTAGCTAAGAAACATTGTTTTATAGCTTAATTAATATCTTGACCTTGAAAGGGAGCTATACAACATAAAGAGTTTATTATTTACAATTTCATAACTTTAAACTCGTTTTCAACCGCGACAAAGATCACTGAATATCGGATCGCATATGCTTCCAATATGTTCATTTGAACCAAATTCATGACCCCATACCAAAACTTTGTATTACATTTAACCCTCGGTGCGGCATGCAAGTCTAATAGCAGGTGTCGTGCTATAGTGGTTCATTCACTTGACTCTCAACCAGAAGGTTGAGGGTTCGAATTCCAGCATGGCATTAACGTCCTTTTTGAAAGACATTAATCCAATTTTACCACTCTCCACCCTGGTGGGCCGGTACCCCGGTAGATGCGAAAGTACAGAGCTAGTCAGTTAATTGTTCAATCAAGAAACGAAGATCAATCAAGAAACCCAGAACAGATTAAGAGTCCAACTCCTCCAATTAAAGTATCCATATACCACCACCTCCCTAATTAGTGACAACCCCCCCACCCCCACGCCCATCATTATCATCACACATCACATCAATGACCCCGTTATTCTGGTATTCAATATGGCGCAGACTGGTGTACTTCCGTTTGTGAGGGGTGTGGATCTCAGCCGCAATGATTTTCGGGTTCGTTAATGTTACATGTTAATTTATGTATTGTGAAATGTTTGAAATTGGTTGTTGATGTAGTATTCCGCCAGAGTGAAAAGGTTTTAGTTGTTTGTTGGGTGCAGTAAAGGAAAACATACCGGTAGCCGTATGCCAAATTGTGTGTGTGGTCCCATATGTTTAAATCTTCGTTTGTAAAAACGCTGCGCATAAAATAAAAGGCAGCGGCAGCCACACAATGCATAGCTGCATTACTACCCTGGCCTGGCTGTGTATTAAAAGCTGTGCTATTGATTCTCAACATTTCAAACACTACTGTACAAAAAACTCAACTGATTTCACTAAAAATCGGTACTCTAGAGGTCTAGTGACAATTGATGACACCTAAATTAGTAGTAAAATAGGTCTAGATCTAGTTTACCATTTATTTTAACTTACCGATGTTAGAAAGAATAATTTAAATATTCAAATTGTAAGTCTGTTGTCATACTTACCGATCTAGCCTTAAGGGCTCCCTTGAAATTTTTTTAATGATATTATTCAAGGGGGCCTTAATTTGCTCCCATAGGGTCCTGTGGAGAGGTAGGTAAACAACATCGCAAATGGGTCCAAAATCACACTTTCCCGCACCCGACCAATATTGGACAGTGCTCCGTGAGGTCACCTTTTTAGGTCAGCCATTGGCATGTTTTATTTTTTATTTTTATTTTGTTTAAATAAAATAACAAAATAATTATAATTTTTTTGGGGGGCTGGGGGGGGGGGGGGGGCAAGTCCCTGTTTTTCAATACATTTTGGGCGAATTTAGGGCTGATTTTAACATATTTTTTTTGGCGGGGGGGGGGGGGGGGGGGGGTCACGTGCCATCTCTGCTCCCCCCCCCCCCTGGATCCGCCACTGAATATTGTGTGGTGTGTATATTTGTGTATGGGTCTAATAATACCTTCCTCACAGCAAGCATGCAGTGCTAGAGGTCAATACGCATTAGCATTGACTATGCTTTGCTGAAGCTTTCGGTCTAATATCATCTATGCTATGGTCACTCCAGCAAAGCATAGAGAGTCAATGCTATTGCGTATTGATCTCTAGCACTGCATGTATGTGCAGAGACGCCAAGTTCAAAGATCGGCAATACGTGACATTTTAATTTTTCGGCGCACAAGCGCGCGTGCGAGGGTATAACACACGTATAAGGTATAGCCTTTTTTCTAAATCTAGCACGCGCGCCGTGCGTGAGAGCATTTCCAGACCCTCCAAATGCGTGATGTCATGCCTAATGCGTGACACTTGGTAGCTCTGTATGTGTGAGGCAAGGAATGGACTTTTTGAACTTTTTTGCCTGTAAAATACTCAACAAATACAACATAACATAGGTTGTGTTATATTCGTCTTACATTTTATGGTATTAAACTACATTATTTTAATGTTAGAATAGAAAAAAATTGTGTAAACTTACTTTTAAGGCACCTTTTCTCTCCCTGGTCCAGAGTCTTTGCACATTCGTTACCTCAGCCATAACGTAGCGGTCGCAATGTGCTATTTTTCTATGGCGCGCCATGTTCCCAATAATTCAGATACCGGTAAACACTATTTATCACTGATAAACATCGTTTATCGCCGATTAAACACCATTTATCGCCGAGCGATAAACTATTTTTATCGACAGATAAACAGTGTTTATTGGGGAAAACTTTTTTCACTCAATAAACACAGTTCATATTGATAAACACTATTTATCGCCGATAAACAGAGTTAATCCAGATAAACACTGCTTATCGAGTGATAAACATTTTTCAATCAAAAACGGTGTTTAAAAAAAAAAAAGACAAAAAAAAAAGCGAACGGACAAAACTAAATAATCGTAATTTTCTTATAAAACACTATCCGGTGACAGCGACAGCGACAGCGGCCGCGTGAACATCAAAAACTTAACCTAGGGTTAAGTTTTTGAATTTTTGATATAATTTTAAAAGTATATGTTCTTAGTCAATGAAACTTGGACTATAGGGTAATCAAGTCTCCCCAATCATGTGAGTAGTATTTCAGGTCACTAAGTTAAGGTCAAAGGTCATTTTAGGTCAACAAACTTAGACTTTGTTGTTGCATCAACATCCAGATTTTGAATTTTTAGCATATTTTCAAAATTGATTGTTCAAATTCTATGAAACTTGTACCCAAGGGTTATCAAGTATCCCAAATCACATGACACAAATTCCATGTCATAAGGTCAAAGGTCATTTTAGGTCAGTAGTTTTGAATTATGTTTTCACAACTTAATATAAGAATTAATCAATCAATTTTTTTGTATTAATTTGTTCATATTTTATTCAAGTTATCGATCGTGGTACAATTAATAGTAAATAATTCTTCTGATGATTCTTAGTCAACATTCTCTTCAAGATATGTCCTGTACCATAGTGGTATAGTTATTGTACCGTTCGTAGCCCCATATGTGCAAATCATGCTGGTTTTGACTTGAGTTTTTTTTTTCTTTTTACTCTTTCGCCGTAAAGGCCGCACCCCGACTTTTTGATATTTTCTCTTTCAAAAATACTGCGGCCTTTACGCCAGCAAATACGGTTGTCGATAAACATAGTTATCGGCGATATACACTGTTTACGGGCGATATTAGTGTTCATGTGAATTATTGGGCCAATGGGTCGCCATAGAGCGTGCATATAATTAACGTATGAGAGTGCTGCCGGGCCACTTATTATAAGACGTACGTAACATTAGAAAATGGAGGTACCGGTACAGAGTTGAGAACGATGGACCAAATCGGCAGAAGTCTTGCTAGAATTACTGGAAACTCAAGTAAAATTCTTAAACGAAACTGGTAAATTTGATTTATTTGTTATTTGTCATCAATATTGAGTGGTTAATATGTATGATAACAGTTTAGAAGGGTAGCTGCAGCAGGTTTTATGTACTGTACTGCAGTACAGTGTTGCCTCTTTTACTACACAGCCAGGATAATGATGCAGCTATGTGTGCCTATGGTATACTATATTTACCAATGTTATGTTTGCAGGGAGATGTCTTTCCGAATGCTGTGGCTGACATGTCTGGCCTTCGCTGGCTACGACTCAACCAGACCAACCTGGAGATGCTACCAGATGAACTTTCACAACTCAATAAACTGGTATGTATAGCCTGGTTTTCCCACTAAAGGAAGCATTAGTTTGCTTTTTGTGTAAAAGAAACCTGTTAAGATGACCTTTATCAATTGATTTTCAAATACCACTGTACAATATTCACCAGAATTCACTCAAAATAGACTCTTTTAGTGACAGCTGATGACATCTTAATGGTAATAAAATTCAATCAATTCAACTCGCTGATGTTGGAAAAATACTTCATGCATTGTAGAAGTGGACTTCCCATAATATACATGTACAGTACCAAAGACTGATAAATATGTTGATGTAATCATTCAAGCTTTAAAAATAAGCTTTTGTTGTCCTAAAATATTTCTTCTATAGACTTTTTTTTTCAAAGCCAGTTTACTTATGAGGTTTGTCGCAGGTACGGTGACGACATAATTTGCGGACCCAATCAGCTCGTCTATATAGCTGAGGCAATGAGCCATGTGCTCAATTAATGCAAAGTCATTGTGAATATAATAATAATAATAATAATAATAATAAAAACGTTACTTATAAAGCGCTTACCACCGAAGTCTCTAAGCGCTATACACACAAAATAGAATGATATACAATTACATCTTATACAAAACTAAAAATGCAAATAGACATACAAATTACAATACATATGGAATACACGTCAAAGTGAACAGAGTTAATTAAACGCAATTTTGAATAAATGTGTCTTGAGACTAGTTTTGAATAGGTTAACAGTTTGACAGTTTTACATTTAAAGGTAATCTGTTCCAAAGTTCAGCAGAAGCTTTGCGAAAGGAGCGATTACCATAAGAAAGAGTTGACACAGAAGTAGATAAGAGGTTTAATTGTGAAGATGACCGTAAACTGCGTGAGGGTTTGTATTCCTCGATTAATTCTTGCAGATAAATTGGTGCCAATTCATGAATGCATTTATAAGTTAAAACTAAGATTTTGTACATAATGCAGTACCTCACCGGCAACCAATGCAATTCGCGAAGTACTGGGGTGATGTGTTCACAAGAACGCATGCGTGTTACAAGCCTGGCAGCAGAGTTTTGGATTCTCTGGAGTCTTGCAATGTGCGAGTCCGGAAGGCCATAAAGAAGGCTATTGCATTGATCAAGACGGCATGTAATAAATGCATGTATAAGCGTTTCGGTAGATTTTTGATCAAGAAAATTTCTAATACGACCTATCTTGTACAAGGCATATGAAGCTGAGCGACAAATATTTTTTATATAATCATCCATCCTAAGACCATTTTCATTTTTTTTTTGTGCATTTATGCATACTATACATAAGATGATGTCATCAAAGCTTTTTTGATTTAGAGTTTTCAGAGAGCTGTTACTCTGACAGACACTAAAATATCATATAATTGTTATTAATGTAATCTATCATGGCTTATAAGGTTTCTGTTGGTATATAATTCATCTATTCGATTTTTCACTTCAGGCAGTCTACTATTAAACAACTATTCAACAAGAACCTTGTACACATTTATGTGTCAGAGATCAAGTCAAGGGTTCAGTGACACAAAGACGTAACTCCATATTTTGCCGAAATGAGTATTTGATATCAAAATATTCAGAAAAATTTGGGCTTTCCAGGAAACGCAAATACTTAACTCCACCCAACGCAATGGCTTGTGAAAGATAGACTTAACTCCTTAAGGCCCAAGTGCTCAGTGACACATTAACAAATTTTTCTCAAAATGGCCAAAATGAGTTACGTCTTTGTATCACTGACCCCTCGAAGTGTTGTCCATCGATCAATGTGTATTTATTTGTGAAGTCATAATTTGTGTTCTTGTGTTATTTATACCTTGCATCCCATTTCCTTACCCACACTCTATTAAAACAGGAGCACCTCCACATGTCGAGGAATAACCTCATCCAGATCCATGGTGACCTTCCCACAATGCAGTGCCTGCGCACCTTGAACCTGCGGCACAACAAGATCCGTAACTCCGGGATTCCCAACGATATCTTCATCCTGGAAGACATGACCGTTGTTGTAAGAGTTTCATCTTCATCTACATTTTATTATTCAAGAGATACATGTACTGTTACAGTAGATGTATATCATTCATGACGTGAAGTGAGAATCAAATATGCTTACAAAATTATGAAATTCCTTTAATTTGAAGAAAAAAATGAGGGGGGGGGGGATGGAATTTCATGAGAACAGTCATCATGAAGAAACTTGTTTTTGTCCATGGTAATGCTGAAATACTGAGAGAGAAGGGAGCTGTTGCTTTTGTAGTAATGGTTGGATTTAAAAAGCACTTGAGGACCTAAAGTGCTGAATCCTATTAATGTCAGTTTTAGCTAAGCTTCTATAATTAGACTTAAAGATATTACCACAAGTACCCATACTGTACTTCATGCAGGTTAAGCATGCCAAATGTATATGTACAGCTATATGAAAATTAAATATTATTATTATTATTTACCATCATCATCTTAAAGTTTGTAAGAAATGTATGTCAGCCTTCAGAAGCTGCTCTGCTGGTAATCTAGATAATCATTCCTTCTTTGCAGGATTTTAGCCACAATCAGTTATCGGCTATACCAGAGGACATGGAGAAAGCCAAGTCTCTTCTCGTCCTCAACCTCAGCTTCAACAAGTAAGTATTAAAGCCCCACTGTACTATATGTACTTATAACTAATTGCGCCCTCTATATAGCAAACAATACCTAATTGGTGCCTGTTGGTCCCCCATGATCCTCTTTTTCTTTTGTTAATTGAGAGCTGATTTGATGAGATAACCACCTGTCAGTGACCTTGCAGGGAGGTCTAATCCCCCTGGCCAAACTAGTACAGACTGGCTTAAATGGTTACATGCCATGGGTGGTAGTTGTGTAAGTAATGATCTCAATTGCATACCATGTTGCTACATTGTAAATATTGTTACTTTTCCCTGAAACCTGGACAAAAAAACAAAAATATGTCCATATATTCATGTAGTGAAATTTAAAACCCAAAAAATGTTAGTAAACTTTATGGTACAGTAGGTGGTTAAACATAGAGTTTGTTGTTTACTCTTAGGTATTTTTTCTTTCTGTCAAAGGAAGAGAGAGGAGAGAGAGAAGAAGAGAGAAAGACAGACAGAAGAAGAACGGGAGATGTGTAGAAAGAGAGATTAGATAGAGAAAACATGAGAAGAGATGAAAGAGGAGTGAGAAAAGAAAAGGAGATGCGAAGAAAGAGAGATAAGAGAGAGAAAAACTGAGAAGAGAAGAGAGAAAGACAAACATAAGAAGATGAGATGTGAAGAAAGAGAAATATGAGAGAGATGAAAGAGGAGAGAGAGAAGAAGAGAGAAAGACAGATAGAAGAAGAGGAGATTGAAGAAAGAGATTAGAGAGAAAAAATAAGAAAAGATTAAAGAAGAGAGAGAGAAAAGAATAAAGACAGTTACGAAGAAGAGATGAAAAATGTAGAAGTTGAATAGAAGAAGAGAAAAGAGAGATGAGGAAGAGAGACAGAGAAAGCGAGAGAGATGAAAGATAAAGAGAGAATGAGAGGGCAAGGTTCAGATGTGGGCATTTTAATACACTCTTACGAATACACATGTGAAAAAGGGGACTTTCCCCATCAATCCTATGTAGGTGAAAGTACCCTGACTGATCTCTGTAGCACTCATTCTTACTTTCACTCCGCAGCATCAAGGAAATCCCATCGCAGTTGTTTATGAACCTCACTGACCTCATCTACATCAACTTCAGTGACAACAAACTAGGTGAGTTAAAGAGCAGGTTCACTTCTTGGAAAGGTGAAAAATAATTTGTGATTTTAAAAGTTTTTTTTATGTTAGTGTGAAAAATATCCTTGCAAAAATGTCTCTTGAAAGTTGAAAATGATAGCTCTTTGAATGACAAGAAGAAGCTGCAGGTTGTGGACAAAACTTATCTTTGTACAGCACATGTGACTCCCGGCTAGACTGTGAGGGACTGTAAGGCAAAATCAGTTAAAAAAGACAAGTTATGAACATCAAGATGAATGAACAAATTCTGCTTGAAGCATCTGCCTACAAAAAAACCCAGAATGTTTTGTATGTGATGTGATGTGATGTATTATATATAGGAATAAAATAAATACAAAGTAAACTAACTTTCTCTTTCATTTTTAAGGCTGATAATTCTTTTGCCTGCAACTTTTGATTTGTTGAAGTAGATGTATAATGTACAAACATTTTAGATTACCTTTTAACACTATTCAGCTAAGCCAAGAACACATAATTGTGAATGATGTTACGCAGAGATAAGGCTCTTCTTAAAGCTCTGGGTACAAACTAGTCAGGCTTTTGAGTCATGCTATGTCATTTTTTCCTTCATTTTTAATATACTTATTCCAGTATCTGTTTGATTCAATGACAATACCTTTAATTCTAGCAGTATAGAATTCCCTTTCACCAGGAACAATTGAAATTTGAGGATTTTCCAAAGCTTTGGGGAAGTTGCTGGGCGTGGAGCAAAGTGTCAGTTGCCAAACCTCAGATCTAGAACAGGAAATAGAAAGTTATGTTGAAAACTATCCAAAAGGAAGTCCTTGTCGTGATACATGGTTTCCTTCCTTATACGTTTTGTAGTGAATCATATTGTTAGCTGGTTAAAAAAAAACGAAAATCATATCATTATCTGATGGGCGGCTGCCTTGTTTGGGTTATGTTAGGTTCTATTGCAGGGATTAACGAGGGTGATTTCTGTGACGTTTATTCTCATGTTCATTGTATGGCCGTCTTATTGGATATGAGATCACTTTCAAAGGTCATCATCAAATTGTCTGATTTTTTCACATACTCTTTGCAATCTTGTCTATTTTTTCAGATATTTTAGATTCTCTTGCAGGAATTAACGAGGGTGACTTCTGTGATGTTAATTCTTATGTTCATGGTATGGCCGTCTTATTGGATATGAGATCACTTTCAAAGGTCATCATCAAATTGTCTGATTTTCTCACAAACTCTTTGCAATCTTGTCTATTTTTTCAGAAATCTTAGGTTCTCTTGCTGGGATTAACTTTAGTGATTCATCAAACGTTAATTCCCATGTTTATTGTATGGCCGTCTTATTGGATATGAGATCACTTTCAGAGGTCACCATCAATGTTTCTGTATTTTTCACAAATTATTTGCAATCTTCTCTTTATTTTCAGAAATTCTTCCACCTCAGATGCGAAGGCTGACCAATATACAGACGCTGATCTTCAACAACAATCCACTACTCCATTCACAACTCAGGTAAGAAACATTCATTGTGTTTGATTGAAAGTGAATTTAATCAGAAGTTACCGGGGTCAAGTGGTTACATCACTGGACCTTGGATCACAAGGTACTAGGTTCACATTCCTGTCACGGTACTCTTTTCTGTTGGCAAGAGACTTGTCTACATTCGCCACACCTGACCCACGTGAGATAATCTGGTACTTACAAGGAAATATATCAGATGCTACAGCCCCTTCTATCAGTATAGTTGTGCTTTAGCTGGGTAATAATTTCTAAGGAAGCTCAGAGAGATGTATAATCTGGGGTCCGTCTTATAAAGAGTTGATATTGATTGCAACTTATTTGCGATTGATATCAACTGCAACTATGTACATAAGAGATAGGAGACTGCAAACTTGTGATTGATTTGGATCAAGCGCAACTCTTTATAAGACGGGGCCCTAATATGCGCTATAAAAGAATTAAATATAATTACATTAAAGGTAATACAAAGTTTTGGGAAATTTCGAAAATTGGGTGGATAGTGAATCTTTACAATTTTGACGTATTTGGATGCCCCTGTGGATGAATTATAATGTAAAATTAACCCCGAAAAACATTTCTGTTTTCGAGAAAAATTGAATATAAAAATTTACTGGTGCTCCCGGTAAATTTTGATAAATTTCAAATAGCGCCTACGGCCGTACAATGGTAGCTGCGACCATGAAAATCTCAGAATATGTAGTTGTGATATATAATTTCCAAACGGGAATAGCTAATCGGTCGATTTTAGTCAAGAAACATTGTTTCATAGCTAAATTGGTATCTTGACCTTGAGAGGGAGCTATACAACATAAAGGGTTTATTATTTATAATTTCATAACTTTAGACTCAATTTCAATCGGGGTAACGATCAATGAATATTGTAGGAACGCATATGCTTCCAATATGTTAATTTGAACCAAATTCATGACCCCATACCAAAACTTTGTAATACCTTTAAAAATTTGCTTTAGTGACCACCTGCATAGAAAGACCATATTTCTGTAATCACTTCAATACTCTTTCTCATTTGTAGGAACTTGTACATAAAAACCACCTGCTTATAATGACCACTTGTCTTGTCTCCTTTGAGCAGTCTTTAAATACGGGTTTCATGGTATTGTTACTCATTTTACCTTCTGTCAGGCAATTGACGTCTATGACCCAGCTCCAGACCCTTCATCTGCGCAACACCCAGCGGAACCTGACCAACATCCCGCCCCAGCTGGATGCCCTGGTTAACCTGGCCGATGTTGACCTCTCATACAACGATCTAGAGAGCGTGCCTGATGCCTTCTATTCCCTATCGTCTCTCAAGCGACTCAACCTGAGCAATAACTGCATCACACAGCTGTCTGCGATTGGTAAGGGATCATGCCTTTGGCCAGATTTATCTTTCATTTTAGAGGTGTCGTGGACGAGTGAATATGTCACCGGACTGTGGATCACAAGGTCCGCGGTTCAAGTCCCACGTGGCACTAATGTCCTTTGGCAAGACATTGATCTACATTTGCCACTCTCAACCCAGGTGTTAAATGGGTACCCGGTAGGATGCGAAAGCTAATGTGCTTAGATTAGCAAGTGTGCACTTGTAAAAAATGACGCTGGGCTGGAATGCTCCCCAGACAGTGGAGAATGTGCATACATTGTGTGCGGGTAAGCCTGAATCCGATGACCGGGGTAATAATATATATCTGTAAAGCGCTTTGAGAGGGCCTTCGGTCCTGAAAAGCGCTTTATAAGAACTAGCTATTTTTATTATTATTTTCAATTGTCTCATGTTTCTAAGCAGGATGACATTGAATGTACGTCATTTTCCACATATGGTGGTTATCGTTTGGACATGGTGTATAATGTGACATTCTCTTCTCCAAATTACCAACCCCACCATTGTTCACTTCAAACAGTTCTCTCTTCAGTTTGCTCCCCAATGGCATGAGCCCTATAAATATTGAAAAAGCATTTCCAGCCATCTCATGACGTGTTTCGCTCCTTCTTTTAGCCCGCATCAGACTCTTGAATCTGACCGAAAAATGTCAACTTTTCTAGCATGATTGCATGTTTACCCACAGCTAGTGCTTTTATTGTAATCTCTGTCTGTCACTGTCTATTGCTACGGTCACAAAGGTTCGTACGAACGATAATTTTGTACGAATCTCCCTGTTTTTCCATTGTTTTCCCGAATTTCCATTGTCTGAAAATCGTTCGTACGGCGTTCGTAGCAGTTCGTAATGGCATTTTTGACCAAGGCTTTTCTCTCTCTCTCTCATTCTCTCTCCACCTCTACCGGATGTTACAGACTCCTGGACGAGACTGGAAACCCTCAATGTTGCCCGCAACAAGCTGACCTCCCTCCCTCCAACTCTGTGCAAGCTCATCTCCCTGAAGCGCCTCATCATCAGCGGCAACCAGATAGACTTTGACGGCCTCCCCACAGGCATCAGCAAGCTGGTCGCCCTGGAGCAGTTCATCGCTGCGGACAATCGCCTGGAGTCGGTCCCTGAGGGCATCTGTCGTTGCCCCAAGATTAAGAAGCTGATTCTGACCAAGAATCGTCTCTATACTCTCCCTGAGGCGATACACTTCATCACAGATCTTGAAGTGAGTGTCTTTTGAAGGACGTTGTGTGCTTTTTATTACAGAGAAAGCTTACAGATCCATGGTTCGTTTGTTTCAAACTTCATTTTGCCTTACAGAAGGGTCTGAAGAATAATTTTTAATATTACCTACATGTAGTTGTTTCCTCTTTGATATGCCAGGAACAAAGATGTAGAAGAAGCTAAACTTACCAAGTAGATTGAGGAATAGCAATACATTATGCTTGCATTCTTTTAGTAAAACATGCCATGATGTTTAGCTATTTATTTAGAATTCTAGGCTATTTGTATATGACAAGCCATTTAGTGATTTTGTGATGGTGGTGTATTTTTCTGAATATTTTGATATATCTTACTGCTCAATGTACATTCTCTCTGACTGAAGAAGAGAGGTAATTTAGCTAAATATGTCTTTCCTAATGAAAACATTTCTGTTAAAGGTACTATGTTCCATTTGCAGGCCCAAAATATGAAAAGGTTAAATTCCAACAGCATTTGAAAGACAATACTAAGTTACAACATCCCTCAAAACAAAAGGGCTTGAAAAAAACGACCATTAGTTGTCAAATCGACTTAAGTGATTGCAATCAGCTAAGTAATCGTCTGATTTTCAGACCCTTTTACTGAATGGTCTTATGTTTTTATTTTGATGACAGACACTGGATGTCAGGGACAACCCTGACCTGGTGATGCCCCCGAAGCCCATCCCACAGCAGATAGGAAGCGGAGCAGAGTACTACAACATCGACTTCTCCTTGAGCCATCAGCTCAGACTGGTAGGCGTAGTGCCTCCTTCACAGGCAAGCTCACCGAGTAAGCAACGCTTTGTTTCTGTAGTTGATTATAGCCAAATGTAAACACATTTTTTGTATAAGATGGGTAGGTGTGGTGCCTTTTTCATAGACACAAAGCTCACCAGGTAAACAACGCTTTCATATGTAGTTGGAACATGATTTTAACCAAGTGAACACTCACTTTCTTATGAGATTTGTAGTATTCAGCAGGTACAAGTAGCATTAAATGTCTGTAGTTAAAACATTATTGAGTTAAGTGTAAACTCACTTTCATGTGAGATGTGTAATAGGGCCTCCATTGCAGGCAGGATGCTTGCCAGGTAGGCAACGTTTTGTTTCTGTAGTTTGAACGTTATAGCCAAGTGCAAACTCATTTTGTAGATTTTAGATTTGTAGTAGTGCCTCCATCACACACAGGAAGTTCACCAGGCCAGCAATGTTTTGTTTTTATGTAAATTTGTTGTCAACTAATTCAGAAGTAATGCCTCTTTTCAATTCTGAAAGTCACCAAGTATGCGGCATCTCATGTTATTTAGTTTATATAATTCATTAAATGATTCTACCTACAAAATTAATCTTTTGGGTTAGGGTTAGGGTTAAGGATATTTTAACCCATCACGTACATGTAGATTACTGTGATACTAAGTCGCTCTGAGATGGCCTCCATGACTTCTCAGAGTTTCAAACACAGAGGACCTTGTTCACAGAGGGTTTTTGTGGTGTTGCAAAAAACTGATTCATAATCCTAATCGATGTGAGATTATACCGGTACATGTAATTTTGTCCCTGGATTATGATGGGAATAAGAAAAGACACCCCAAATCAAAAGACTTTGCTTTGAGAAGCAAAATGGTGTCAAAATGCTGCTCAGGAAGTAGAGGAATATGATTGGGGGAAATAAAAGTATTTCATGTTGCATATCAATCTTACATGTTCATGATCTGTACTTTGTTATGTTAGATAAAACCTAAACAGGAAATGTAATGTCTTGGTTTTAAAAGCATGTTTGCAGACTTTCATAAAGATTCTGCAGTGGATCTGTGGTCAATTCAGCTACAGAACAAGACTTTCAAACAAATTGAAGGGTGTCTTTTAGACATCCATCACAGGCACATTAACCATTCCACATCAAGACTAGTATTAAAGCCCCACTGCACTACTTATAGCTACTTGCGCCCTCTATATAGCAAACAATGCCTAATCGGTGCCTGTTGGTCCCTCGTGATCCCCTTTTTCTTAATATGTTTAATTGAGAGCTGAGTTGATGAGATAACCACCTGTTACTGACCTTGCAGGGAGGTCTAGTCCAGGGGGCCAAACTAGTTCAGACGGGCTTTAAAGCTGTAGTTATCTTTTGTCAATGTTCTGGTACTATGTTGCAGGTGCTAAGGACGCCCTTGCACGCAAGCGTAGACTGAGGGAAAAGAGGATGCAGATGCAGACTGCCAAGGCACAAGCAGCAAAGGCAGGACAGGACAAACAGGATCAGGTGCTCAAGGTAAGTACTGGTTGGATGATGAGGGTGGTGGTGGTAGTAGAGGTGGTGGTGGTGGTTGTGGTGGTGGTGGGCGAGGTGGTGATGGTAGTGGTGGTGATGGTAGTGGTGGTGATGATGATTGTGGTGATGAGGATGATGATGATGGAGTGATGATAGTGTCCATGATGCAGTGGTGATGGTGATGATGATGATGATGATGGTTATTTGCTGTATGCAATGGTGGTGATGGTGCTTTTACTGCCAATGATTGTGATTCTGTTGCTGGTGATTGTAATACATATGGTTAGGGTTATGAGTAAATCCTGTTCAATTATTATTATTTATTAATTATTATTATTACCGGTATTATTTTTCATGTTCCATAATTGAACATGAAAAAATCTACTTGTAATCTTCCTGAATAAAATGTCAGGGAATTTTGTTTAAAGCTACACGTTAGATACAACTGTTTTTGTTTATGATGTAGCAATATAAATAATGAATCAAATGTCAGAAACTTGAATCTCAGAAGTTCATTTTGAACAGTAATGCAGTGAACACAAGAGGGCTTGGAGGGTTTGGCATTGTAATCATCATTGGCATAACCTTTGACCTTTGACCTTTGTATGTTGTACTTGTAGGGTATGAGTGACCTTGCCAAGGAGAAGAATGAAGGGCCAGCAGCAGACGAAGATGAATCAGAAGTAAAGTGAGTTCAATCCGTCTTTCCATTTCTTTACATTTTGAAGAATCATATGAACTTACGTATACCCAGATCAAAGTTTTCTAGGTAGTTTACTTGCGACTTATTTTAACAATCATCCAGATTTCAATCAATTGCTTGGCAGGAGAAATTCTGGGACTGAAATTACCATAAGAGATGAATTTAACATGGAACTTAAATGGAATTTAGTGGGTTACAGAGTGCTTGAATCTGTAAAACAAAGTTCCATGTATGTGGTTTACACTCGTTGTCACTGAAGTTCTAAAGACTTATGACATTTCCCCTTTTTTCCCCTTGATGTATTTTAAATTAGCAGACATTTTATAAGGATGTGTGTGGATATTCCAACCAATAAACAAACATTAATTTGTTCCTTTATTTTTGCTGTTAATTAAATTTGATTATTGAAATGTCGACAGCTCTACTATTTAAAAAAAAATTGTCAGCTTTGCATAATTGTGGAAATGTAAGGGCATTCAAACTTTTTTTCAAAGGTTATGGGTGTGTGTGATACTTTCTGTAACTCTTTAATTTGAGTTATTATTTTTGAGACATTGTTTTGTGATGAATTTATTGCTGTAATTCTGTCAATTTTTGAAATAATCTACCGACTCTTCATAAGGATGAGAAGAAGACGCTCAGAGCAGATTGTAGTGTTCAGAAGGTAACTAACATGCATGAAATGTGTTTAGATGGATCCAAAATACATATTCTGCATAGCTGCACAACTATATTGCGTATGATTTTATGTATCGTATGTAATAATGAGGAAAAAATATATGTAAGACCTACTTGTAAATTTATTTGTGCTTTGTTCTGTTTGTATATTGTGTCTTGTACATGTCATTTTCGTTTGATTATTACGTAAGAACTTTAAAAAAAAAATATTTAATGTACTTTTATATCTTAATGTTGTTCCTTCAGATGAGTCAGTAGTACTGTACCTTATTATTTTTGTACATGTACATTCAATTTAAGATGTCCTGACAGTACTGTTAATTACAATACTGCATATACAGTTACATATCTGTGCCACTATATTTTGTAAATATCTAATCTTTACATGTATTTTGCCTTGGTAAAGTGTTTTTGTGTACTTACACGATAGTAGTGTTTCATGTACCAACTGCATGCCATATATGTATTATGATTTAAGCATTCATGTCGTTATCTGAGGAACCTATTTTGCTTTAAAAGATGATTAGGGCAAGCAACACATCTGTGATATTTCTCAGTATCTTGATATAAAAAAGATAATACAGTTGGTGAGTTCTTGTAAAGCGCTCATGTCTATGGACAGACTTGACTCTCTTTGCGCTCTGCAATTCGTACCCTCGCTTTAGCATGGCTGCCATTACGGCGCTCTTCCATTTCAAGGAAACCATTAACATCACCTGGGTCGATTGTGGCACATGTAGATTAATATCTTGCCAAAGGACATTAGTGCCTCGGTGGGACTCGAACCGGGACCTTGTGATCCACAGTCTGGTGACGTATCCACTAAGGTTGATTCAATGAATCGGTGTACTTTCCCAGTACCTCAGGGACATCATTGAGCATGTGCTGTATACAAATGATCTCTTTATAATCATATGTAATGATTATTATTTGTAGTTTTTTTTTTTTACATTCTTTAATCACAAAGTTTCAAGCTGATTTATTATTGGTAGTTTGTACAGGACAAATGTCCTCCCTCTTTTTTTTGTAATAAACTGATTGGCTGATCTTGCCCAGATTGTTGCTAGATTTATATATAAATTCATGGGAGGTGGGGGGGGGGGGTATTGCATGTCTTGTTGCTTTTGTTAGGGTGTCTTGTCTTTCCATCATCTTTCTAACCATCACATTGTGGACACATCCAGCACTATTTCCATTTGAGTATCAAAAAAACCTTTAACTCCTAACTCTTTCTGTTTCACCTTGTACATCTTCTCATTCTCCTATAGACCCAAGAGCTGGATCGACGCTCTAGAAAGGCCCCAACTAGACTACGCAGACTTTTTTGCAGCGAATTGCGGGACTGAACCAGGTCTTCATATCTGGCAGATAGAGAATTTTATCCCTATACAGGTGGAGGAGGGTACGTTCTATATGTATATCAAAAGAGTTATGATATCAAAATATACCACAATACGTAGATCAGGCCATGTACTACAGGGAATAATTTCCAGCCAAAAATTTGCATAGCAAATCTGCTACACAAAATAATTTTTGCATAGCAGTTGGATGAACTTGTATAGCAATTTTTTTTCATGTTATAAATTACAGTGCAAAAACAATGACGTCACAACATCTGGTCATGAATGCATACTTACTACATTTTATGTTATGTACATTGATTCTGGTGTAACTGTTGACTCACCTTTAGTCATCAAGTGGATATGGCCGCTTGTTGCTACCTTGGTATAGGTAGGGTTGCACATTTGGTTTGCGAGGTGTACAGAAGAAATTCTTAACAGCACATTGTGGATTAAAGTCAGTGGAAGATGGTCCCTCGATGCTGATCCTCATGAGATGATCTAGAGTGCGAGCATTTAGTCTACATCTCCAGTCTGTCTTAATTCGGCGCATTGTACTAAATCCCCTCTCCACCTTGGCATTACTGATGGGAAAGGTGAGTAAGACCCTGATGAGAAGACCAAGGTTGGGGTACTTGCTTGTTGAAACCTTGACAAATGCTCTCCAAACATCAGAGCTTTGCAAGTCCATCAGACTTGAATTCCAGTATGACTTGAAGGAGTTCCATTCCATCTGGATGGACTCTGGCTGGACTTCCTGGAGCAACCCCTTGAAATGCTCAAACACTGTGTTAAGCTCCTTGTGACCAAACTGGTCAAGAGAAGGCTTGTCCCTTGGCCAGGCATTAGTGTCCAACACCTTGAATGCTTGGAAAAGCTGTGAATTAAAGTCAGAGAATCTTGCATCGACACACTCTCTGATCTTCTTAACATATATCTTTCTAGAGTTCTGAAAAGCAGTGAAAACATCGCTTCTCACGTTGATCAGCCTGACATTCTTGTATTCCACTTCGGCCTTGCCATCTTGAAAGGTGATGTCACGGAGGAACTTTGACAGTTCTGAGGCATCCTCTATGTCCTCGTGCTCTGATTCAAGGTTTTGCATGGAAGTGTGGAATGACTCAAGACTTGCCATGGCAAACATAAGGTCCACTGACTCTCCCTGGAGATTGCAGGAAAGGGCTGCCAAAGGCTGCAACATAACATAGAATAGCAGACAGTGCATCACAAACTTGAAGCTAGTCAAGACCTGCAGGTATCCACGAAATCTAGCGCCATCTGCTGCTGACGATTCACTGGCCATAGATTCAAGATGTGCAATGATGACTGGATATGACCGCAGAAGGGTGGCAAGTGCCCTGGACTTGTGCTGTAGCCATCTTGTCCCATGAGCCTTCTCTGGCTTAGTTACAACTTCCTCCATGACTTCTCCCAGAGTCCTTAACTCTCGCAGGCGTTTTGGGCTCTTCTGGTATACATAATACATGGACAGAAGCATTTCACTGATCTCATCCATGTAAGTTTTCTCAAAGGCATTTTTTGCTGCCAGTTCCAATCTGTGATTCAGACAGTGCATTCCAATTAACCAGGGCATTTCATGATCTTTCCGTAGAAGAGCAATCAGACCTTTATTTACTCCCATGTTCACTGCAGCACCATCAGCACAAACGCAGACTAACTTTCCTTTCAGTGACATATCTGCATCAGCGAATATTTCATCCAGCCCATCTTTCAAGCCTTGTGCTGTAGCATGCTTAACATCAGTAATACAAAAGAAGTTTGACTGGACCTCACCAGTTTTATCATTCACAAAATGAACATACACAAGTTCTTGCTCCTTAACACTGGCATCTGTAGAACCATCAACCATGATGGAAAAATACTGGGCTTCCTTCAAAGCAGTGAGCATTTCACTCTTCATTGTATCACCGATGACACCAATAAACTCACTGCACTTTGCTTCATGTGTGTATGTGTTGCCTAATGGAACTCCATGTTTCTTCTCTAACTCGACGAAAACAGGGTACTTGGTAAAAGGCAGTTCTTCTTTTGCGATAGCATATGCAATGTCAAAGAGTTTACTTACTCGTTTCTCTTCCTCACTTGATGCTCCAGCTAACGCTTTCCCTATAGGCGTTGTCTTGAAGATTGCATCGAGCGTCAGTTTAGGCCTTGAAGAAAGAGCAATTGCTTTCTTATGCATTTCACTGCGAGAATGTTTCACAACATTGTCCTTTTTCAGGGCCGACCCCGTAACTCCATTGATAAATGCCTGGTTGAAATTACGTAGCGATCTCAGTTTCGCTTGATGTGCTACACACATCTTGCACCTAATGCAGTTTAATCTCCCAGCACTTTCTTCGTACTCGATCCATTCCCTTTTCTGGTCTAAATCCTTAATCCAACCTTCCACAGTAACTACACGAATTGACACCATGTTTTGAAAATGACAAAAATATCGGTCCAACAATAAATCCAGAGACGAGTCGAGTCTTAAATCCAAATAAATCCAGTAACTTTGAATCGTGTCGAGGGTAAACAACAACACGTAGTATTAGCTCGCACATGAGCGCGATTGAGCCTGCCCTGGATATATAATTAGTTCACCACGTGCGTGCATTGTTGTCTGCATCGCAACAACACTCACGGCTAAAAGGTGACCGTAGACACTCATCGCCGATAGTGCGCTATGTAGGTGTGTGTAGCTTCACGGTTAGAAAGTGACTGTAGTACGCTAATATCGTTCAGTGCAGGCTGCGCTGGCCTAGCCTGCTGTACATGCAATGTGTGGATTGGCGGTCTGTGTGTGAGTACAGTACATAGCTCGTGCATTGTTGATGCATGCACTGCATTGTATGTACATGTAGTTTGTGGATTGGCGGTCTGTGTATATGAATGTACGTTTCGCTTGCATCGCAGCAATTGCGATTCATGAAAAAAGATGCGTCGCAAATGGCTGAAAATACATCGCGAATTGCGATGCGATACCGGGAAAATTATTCCCTGTACTAATCAATCGTAGCATTAGTAGTAAAAATAATATTTACCTAGTGATACTGTTCTCGATGAAGACCCTGCAATCATATGATATTATTTTGAGCAAGAAGGGCATTAACTCTGTATGGGAGTTTATACCCTTCTGCCTCTTCTACCTTTCTGACTGGACAAGTTGTGTGACACTACATCACAGTGATTTAACCACTTTGAGGTTCCCATATGTTTAGTGATTACGACATTATAAAATTCATAACTTTATTATTTTATGCCCTAGTCTGCTTTTCTAATTTTTCTGCTTTATTACTCTTGTATAGTTTTTTACAAAAGTTATACTTTCATTTAATGTATTTGCTGGACTATGACATCATATCTATCCTTTCAAAGGGAATAGTGTCCTGAAACTGATTCACAAGTTTGGCATGGATCTTTTTGTTCTTCAAAGTTTCATGGATGTTTCCTCTTTTACATTTCATACTTATTTATGTACTTGTATGACTGTTTCAAAATGTTAGATAGTATCTGTACCATACATTATAATCAGAGTCTTCCCTCCTCCTTCCTCTCCCTGCCATAGCCTTGTATGGCAAGTTTTACGAGGCTGACTGCTACATCATTCTCCAGACATTCTGGGACAGCTCCCAGAACCTAAACTGGCAGATCTTCTACTGGATTGGACAATCCTCATCGGTCAGTTGAAAATCAGTTTCTTCCATTTGGTTTGGTATGGTTTAGTTTGATAGTTTGTTTTACCTGCTAAGAAAGTATGTGTATGCTTGTAGGCAGCTAACCAGGGGACCAACGGCTTTAAGTCCTTGCCGAGGGCCTAATGTCTAACAAAAAGGACAATAGCGCATCAACTTGGTTTCAAACCAGGGACCTCGCAGTTACAAGATCACTGCTCTATCACTGATCCATCGTGTCTCCTTTAATAATTTTAATCTCGGTCACCTGAATATCTTCCTTGAAAAAAAATTGAAACCATTTATGAAGTCAGATGACCACTTCAAAAAACAAAATGCAGACACTTCATATATTCAGAGCCCATAACAAAATTTCATATTGAAAGAAAATTTTGGTACAATAAAACCTTTGTATGCTACAAGTGTAATTAAAATAATTAAGTCGACAAGTGGCCCAAATTGTAACCCACATGGAGGTGGGGGATATAATGTGGCCTTCGATATTGTGTCATTTTATTCTTTTAAAAAAGATGTTCAGCAAAATGGTATTGTCCATTAAAGGCATCGTTTAACAATGTGAAATCTGAGATGCATGGCCCTACGTGTTATCAGTGTCTGTGATATGGTGTAATATTGAAGCCCTAAAAAATGGAGTTTCAAACTGATCATGTAGTGCCTCATAAAAGTAAAAAATCTTTTGAGTGGCAGGTTTTACCATACTCATTTTCCCCAATAGACTGTAGTGTTATAAGAACCGTTAGGAAAACGAGAAATGAAATTTTGATTTCCAATCATAAATATCTTGATAATCAGACAGGCGATTGGCAAGGTTTATAATTATGATTGAAGCATGAGCTAAATCCAGGATTTTGTTTCAGAGTCTGAGACAAAGTTACCCGATCCCTTTAAGCAAAATGGTATTGTTGTCAATTTATATTTTATTACAATTTAGTTGTTTCATTTTGATTCTCCCACCTATAGCTGGACAAGAAGGCATGCTCGGCGATGCACGCTGTCAACCTCCGCAACATGCTGGCGACTAGGACGCGATCCATCCGAGAGGAGATGGGGGATGAGAGCGACGAGTTCATGGAGCTCTTCGACCATGACATTGCCTACATAGAGGGCGGTACAGCCAGTGGCTTCTATTCGGTGGAAGAGAATACATACACTGCCAGGATGTACCGGGCATCGGGCACACAGAGTCTGCACCTTGAAGCTGTAAGAGAAACAATCATTGACAAATGTTTCCTTTTTTTGTTGGTAGTTTCCCCTTATTTCCCCTCGCCGATGAAACGTTGTTTAATTATCATACCACCCCTAACCCACGATGAGACAGTAATAGAGTACGAGGGCACCTAGCCGTCTGGAATAGAAAATGATCCCTTCAATGTGAATGATCATTCACTTCAGAAATATATTGTGAGAAGTCCCCCTTCTTTTTATATATTCTTAAAATACATCCTTATGTATCTCCCTATCAAAAATGGAAAATCTTCTACATGTTTAATATGTAGATACTCAACATACACATACCGGTACACTAATTACGAAGTCAACACCATAAATCTACTCCAGAAAAATATGACAGTTTTAATGTGTTGTAGTTTGGGGGTTATCAATGAAAAGCATCATTTATTTAAAAATTTCTTGTAGTGTGTATATCATGTTATTGATAATGTCTGCCTTTGTCACTATGTACCCTAACAGGTTCCAATGGATCATGAATCGTTGGACCCTAAGTATGTGTTTGTGCTGGATAATGGGATGGACATCTTCATCTGGTATGGACAGAAGTCAAATCCCATCACAAGGTCGAAGGCCAGGTATGTCACGTCCGAGGTACATTACTTCCATTTTGCTGGTAACCAACGAAAATGCCTACATTTCACAAACATGTCTAGTACAATGCTCCATAGACTTTCTACAGGTGACGAAAGTCTACTTGTTCGTTCGTGTCTCCTTAGATCAAGATTAATGTAAAGTTCCTACATTAAATTTAATTAAATCAAGTTCTTCTATCCTGATGGCTGCGATGGCCATCTCATTTACAAGGGTCAGGTCTTCATCTAAAAGTCAACTGAAATGGTCTGTTGCCTGTTGTTATGCAGAGTAAGATTTGGACATGACACAGACGTTCTTAACATTACTAATACAAGAAAGATATGTCAGTCATCAAAGCATTGATGTTATACGAATAGGCCTGTAAATTATCATCTTGTATTGGAAATTTCCGTTATTTATATTATATCTTATATATTTTGGGGTCATTTGTAATTTAGATACAGATTAACTTAGATAGATTCACCTATTTCTTGGTTGCCGTGCAAAAAGATCAACGGGGTGAAGCATAAGGGACACTGCCTGAATTACAGTGGTTGTAAAATGATGGTGGAAAAGCTGTTTTCCATACAGGGATTGAATAGTAACATATTTGCAACACTTTTATTTAGGGTGCATGTATAATTGACTATTTTCTTGAGGAAAAAGAAAAATTTCTGATTTTTGTTAGTACATAGCAAATGAGAGGGGAGCTCACAGGATATGTCATAGAGTTGCCAATTTGTGTTAGATCGATCGCAAATCCAAAAATTCATAACTTTCTTATTGTTAATCAGAATTTGCTCAAACTTTCACTGACCTGTTCCTCTCATTTTTCTGCTTCTACCATTAAACACCAACCTAATATCAGGTTGGACTTCACCTTTAAATCTATCACAACTCTTCACGTCTTCAATCACAACATCTAAGGCCTTCTAATCCATCTCCACTCTGTATTTCTCTTTATCTAGGTTGATGTGTGAGAAGATCAACAAGATGGAGCGTAAGAACAATGCTAAGATCACCATGATGTACCAGGGTAGTGAGGTGGAGGAGTTCTGGGAGCCTATTGGAGGCTACCGAGAAGACTTTGTACCACAGGTAAGGACTAAGGATAAGTCTCCAAGTCATTGTCATGCCATTTGTGGGAAATCTTGCCTTGAGACCTATGCAGACAGATGCTTGTTTTCTGCTTTCTATAATTGAATTGATTACTAGGCAAAGATTGAAATGTATAAATAAACAGAGACAATAAGATATACCTCCGACTAGTATCTGAGGATACTATATAAAATTATTCCTGTTAAAAAGATACTTGATGGTGTTTAAGTCATAGAAACTATGTTCGCGATCTTCTTATCAGGCAGTCCATTGTCCCATTCAGGAGATTACAAAAAATTGTATTTGTATTATATTGTGTTTGTTTCTTGTGTTATGTTATGGTAGATGTACATGTGTATGTAGCATTTCTGAATAGGGAATGAAAACAGTAATGAATTTGGGTTATGAGATTTGATAATTTGACCAAAAGCACTACATTTTCTCACAGTGGTTTTAAGTGCAAGATTGGGCATTTGACTGTTTCTGTACATCAATGTTATTTTGAGAGAGTAAGAGTATTGAGAGGAAGGTATGGGTGGGGAGGGAGGAAGGCAAGAAGGGGGAGGAGTGGAGAGAGAAAGCGAGAGAGAGAGAGAGGGGGAGGAGAGAGAGAGAGACATTACATCTTCATTGAGACAGCATCAATGAGTTTATAGACATGACATATGTTTCGCTTTTTATTTAATTTAATTGCAGGACTGGTTGGAATCCTTCACCCCTGACAAACCAAGGCTCTACAAAGTTGGTCTAGGAACGGGATACCTAGAACTACCACAAGGTAAGTCCTGTTCATTGACAAACTCCTGTCAACATTTAGGTTTTGGTTTAAAGGGTCTATACATGCAGAGATGCCAACTCTCCTGATTTTCAGGGAGGATCCCTGAATTTTTGTTATGCCTCAGCTACAAAGTAGCCAGAGGCATTATGTTTTTCCTATTGTCCGTCCGTATGTCCCGTTCTCATGATCGCGTTATCTCAAAAACCGATTGATGGATTCCTGCCAAACTTAGGTCATGTATGTATCTTACAGAGCTAATGAATTGATTAGAGTTTGGGGTCATGGGGTCCAAGGTCATGGGGCTTGTTATGTATGCAAAAATAGATTGTGAACAAATTCTTTTTTTTAGAACTGATGGATGGATTACTATCAAACTCGGAACAAGTACATTATGTATCTTGCAGAGCTAATGAACTGATTAGATATTAGGGTCATGAGGTCAAAGGATCATACCTGCATATGAAAAATAGCTTGTAATCACGATATTCTAAGAACCTGTTAATGGATTACAATCAAACTTGAATTTTAAAAATTGCTTCTGTTTTGGTTTGTAAAATGGCTCTATGGCGGAAGCATAATTTTTTACTACGCGCAGTCGAAGATCGATCTAATTTTTTTAATACATCCTTCCTAATTTTTTTAAAGATTATTCCTATTATGCTGTATACAATTGATAGAAACCTCCCTGATTTCTGAATGAATCCTCCCTAAGGAGCAGAATGTAAAGGTTGGCATATCTGATACATGTATATTGTATGTGTTTGTAAAAGTATGTGCAATACGATATTATTATCAATTTTATTTATGGTCATTTTCATCTGTTACAGACAATTCTGCCTGCATTACCTGGGTAAAAAACGGTGCTGACCGGCAAGCAAATGAGAAGGGCTCATGCCCAATGGGGCGGTCAGAGATTTTGCTGTAAATACTTCAAGATAATTTGATACGGTACTAATTGTACCTTTGTGTATGAATAAACGTACATGTAAACACCTGTTAATCTAATTCATATGTTCTATTTGTTTCTCTTTAGTGGAACTACCCAAAGGGAAGCCTCACCAAACAGTACTAGAAACCAAGAATGTGTACATCTTAGATTGCAATGCTGATGTCTTTATATGGTAAGTAATGGGACTAATGCTTCAATGCAAGTACATGTAGATGTCATTTCATAAAAGAAAAGATAAGATAAGACAATGTCAGAAATTTCTCAGGACACATCCTCAGGAATATTTATTCCCTTTGCATTCTATAATACCAGAACAATTAAGAAAGAGGCAAAACAAATTCTACTCTATGGAATGTTGAAAAATTGGATTTGTACGAATTAAGAATCAACAATTTCAACATAGCATTAAAACTCTTTATTACCATAGGTCCTGTGGTTGCCTTACCTTCTTGCCTTTGTCGTGTTTCATAACCCATGTTAGTAACAAGGTTGTGTAATTACTGAATTCTGTTCCTTTGGAAAGAGCGAATTTGCCATATAATAATAATAATAGTGTAAACTTATAGAGCGCGCACACCGTCCAAGGACACTCATGGCGTTAGCCCAGCAACAGTTCTCTTTAATACAAGTAAAGTAAATGTTTTAAAAGTAACTGAAGCAGTCATAATTATACAGAGCTATATTGCCTCCTCCCCATCAGCAGAGGAGTGATATTTGTAAACATTGCATGCTTTTGATTGCAGGATTGGAAGGAAGTCCAGTCGTCTGTGGCGTGCGGCCGCCCTGAAGCTGTCCCAGGAGCTGTGCTCTATGCTCAACAGACCTACCAATGCTACCGTCATCAGGATACTAGAAGGGTAGGTACAAATCATAGCATATTGAGAGAGAGATAGTTGTGACATGTGCATCTACTCATACACGAGATGGGTCATAGGTCAAATTTTGTTGCTCCACATTTTCTCCTCCCACGTACAATCTCTATGGGAGGGAACTATTCTGGAGCTTCATGAGATGCCTGACCAATCAGTAGCGAATTCCGGTGACCTAACTATCCCTCTCAAGTAGCTCTGGTACAAACCTTTAAAGTTGCTCAAGGGTGGGTATATAGAGGGCAGCACACGTACGTACGCACCAGATCCATGTATAGATGGCTCTGGTACGCACAGGAGCGTAATACCCATTGGCTTAGAGTTATTTAGTGATCGGGAGTGATCGTCAAGTTGCCTACTTCACAGACGACTATATACCCAGGCTTGAGCAACTTTAAATAGAACATGCCTCTCTTTTGTGTGAAGTGTGAGAGAGATCATTCATACCAGTTTCTTTTTTCATTGTAGTAGGATAGGATGTGTTAGGTGACCCTCGACCTTCTTATCTTTAAGATGCCGCCAGGAACATTCTGCAGTTAGAGACTCGGTTTTCCTTTATTCTTGTATCCTCTTGAAATTCATTAATCCTATAATGTGTAAATATCTTGCTGTTGCCAAATGAGCATGGAAAATGATATTTTGTTTCATCTTCTCTAAGTCATGATATTTGTTAGGCTTTTCTATTGCAGTTAAGGAATTTGATAGCTTTAAAATAGATATTGAGACATTACCTATGTGTAACTTCTGAATGAATGCCTTTAGGATAACGCCCTTGAAACCCACTGCATAAGACTTAAAATTCATGTAAGATATGTTTGTGCCCCATTGAACTCTCTTATGAACCAATATGTTGATATGCATGCATTTATTTGAGCTCAGTGTATACATAATGCTATTTAGTAACGAATGAGTTCAAGAGGTCCTTTAAAAAAAAGGTCGCTCACTTAATAATGACCACTTTTATACACTGAAACCTGTGTATTAAGACCACTCAAGAGGGAAAAGATCATTAGTCTTCATAGGCAGGTGGTCTTTATGTACAGGGTCCTTCAATAATGTTTGAATGAAGAATAAACCTTTTTCACAGGAAACAGTTTTATTGAAATCGGGTCCTTCTATACAGGTCGCTAAAGTAGGTTTCTTAGTATTCAGTTTCCTTCCAAAATTGTGTACAGCGTCATCAAAGTTCCAATTTCATCTTTCTATTTTTTCTCTTAGTGTTCTTATTTGGATTATGCACTGTTTTGTTTCATTTGCACTGTCCCTGTGTGCATTCATTAGATGTTTTCTATAAAGCTTCCATTTCAGTTTCAAACCACTTCAATAAAAATTGCACACAATACGACATTGTATAATTAATTGATCCATGTGTATGAGGATTTGAAATTCAATATTTCGTACATTGTAAACAGGAATATTTATGGACAACATTTGGTATTACCCTATATTTTTAGGATTAAAAAAAAAAAAAAAGTGTTATATTTAAATTACAAAATGCAAAATTTTGTTTAACTTGTTTGGAATAAAGATTTTAAAAGTCTAGACATTTCAATACTTAAGGAATGATTCAGAATGGGATTAATTTTCTTTCATTTTCATTGCTTTATTGTGTGCTGTCGGTTCATTTGCATACCTCAGTGATTTTTGTTTGATTTCTTTGAAGTGATGTTGGCAGGCAGCACCCAATCATTTCTTCTAAGGCAAATAAATAAACGTTCTTAAAATACAGAAGACTAGACCCTGTATTTTCATAGTTTGTTGATTGCAATTATGCCAATGTCATCAATTTTGTATTTCGTGTTTCACTCATCTGCTGGAAGCCACCTATATTCAGCTCACTGACCCTACTCTGTGCTGACAGAAGTTTGTGAGGACTCTTGTGTAGTTCTAGCCAGCATTGCTACAGCCCATTGTCATTAAACGGCTGGCGTTACGTCTAATATCAGGCAGCCAATCACAGCCCATTATGTTTTTCGCGCCCGCATTGTTCCTGTAGCTTACGTTTATATGGGCTGATTTTCGACTTTCTGTTCATTCTTACGATTTTTACTCCGATGAGTGCAAGATGGAAAGCTTCCGTATAACTGTTTTTGTTGCTATTCTTTTTTTTAAATTTTGGTTACATTTTGATAGTGATTATATAATTTTATGAAAGCACTGCACTTCATTGCTACCTTATTTCTTGTACTTTAAAAAAAAAAAAATTATAATAGAGTCATAGTGCATTATACATGTACATTTATTTCTTTTTTATAATACTTTGGCTATACATGTTCAGTACATTTTGATATGTGAGGTACATGTATGGAGTTGAAAATCTTCTTTACTTTATCATATGCCAATTAGTTATATTGATTATCGTTTCTTTTCTTTAACCTTTTTTTAATTGAAGGTTTTTCTCTTTTTTTTGCTTGACAAGTTTTTTTTATTGTACATGCAATGGTTTCGATGGTGTGCAGGTTTTAAAGTACCAGGCTGTACATTTCTTATGACTTGGCTTCAAGAAAAATTCAGACATCACCAAAATATTACATATTTGATTTTGTTGTGACATGTTAAATGTAGTAGATTTGTAGCAGAAATGTAAAGAGATTTTTTTCGGTCATGTTGTACATTTTTTGGCACAGGAGCCTTTTTGGTAAATCAATGTCAAACACCAATGACTCCAATGCATGCTCAGCTGCATGTTAATGCACCTATGCTTATTAGGACATTTGTTGAAATTTGATGCAGTAACGGATATATGCAACTTCAATTTTAAGAATTCCATGGACAAAACGCTGTGTGTATCAACCTATATGTACATGAAGGCCCCCGTACTAAAAAAAAAAGATTTTCTTCCCCTCCAAAGTTACGAGCCGCAGATGTTCAAACAGCACTTTGAGTCGTGGGACGAGATCCTGGCCGTGGATTACACTCGCACTGCCGAGGTGGTCATCAAGCGGATGATCACGCAGTATGGGCAGCACCACGGCCCGGGGTCGCCTCGACGCGGGTCACGTACGGCGTCACCCTGTCGCTTGCCACCAGGAGGAGGTCAGGGGTAAGGCAGAGGTCACGAGGGGTCGTGACAAGACTAAAACATTTTACTATAAAGCATCCCGGTTGTGATATCTGTGTTATTGTTGAGGAAGAGAATGTCTGCTGCCTGCCAATGTTTGCTATTGTTGCATCGTCATCAGCATCGCCAGGGGTTTCGCATCTTTCATGCTCGTTTGTCTGTTTGTTTATAAAAAAATATATCTACCTGTTCATTATCTTGTGATGCATCCATTTTGTAAACTTCTACACATGTATCTATTACAAAATAAACAAAGTGACGGAATGACAGAGTATGCCTATTATCCTGCCAGTTTAATTGTCTGTATATTGTCAACATGTACTAAAAACAAATTTCTTTGTTAGTTTGTTGGTATCACTGGTGTATTCCAGTATGTTTTCCTCTTGTTCCTTCATCTTGTGAATCTGCTTGCGTGTCTTTATAGGTGTACATGTATGTCTTCTAGTCAACTGTACATGTATGTCTTCTAGTCAACTGTACATGTATTTCAGTCACCATGTACATTGTGGCCCGAATTCACAAAGGAGGTTTGTTGACAAACCGAGGTTTATGTACGTCATATGACACGTTTTTTACAAACCTTGTTTGTAAAAAACAAAAGGAGGTTTGTTGAAACAAAACGGGCTGTTATGTACATGTACATTGTTTATGGCACTCACGTTCCTCTCATATCCATAGTGCAGTCTATTCAAGATCTATTTCATGTTGTCATTACCAGTCTATTACACATTAATCCTTTCTATTCCCATTCCAGTCATATACAGACTGATGTTTCATTATTTCTTGCACTAATCCATTCTGTTTTTGTTCCTGTTAACCCATATCCCTGTTGATATATCTTCATGTATATCCCTGTAATTCCAATTCTCACCAATCCTTTTCATTTTATCCTTGTTCATTAATCCATTTCACATATCACCCTAAGCCCTTCATATCTATCTTGACTCAATCCATCCTTGTCCACATCACTCTAGTTTAATCTAGTTCTCCACATATCTGTCCATTCCGTTCCTGTACATATCGATGAGAGTTATATTCACATGACCAGGTTCCTGTATCTTAAAACTTTTGATGCAAAAATTTGCCCTCAGCTAGTGAAATTCAATTATTTCAGTAGCTTGAAACAGTTACTGTAAGTTGTTATTGATAATAATTTTTTTTTAAATGGGGCCCTGATCAATGAACTTATAGGAATTTCACCTACATGTACATGTATGTCAATTCATATCCATCCAGTCATTTAGTTTGTGCAACAAACTTGAGGTACTCTGTAGGTACCTGGTGTACTCTTGTTATACTGTGATCCGATTTAACTGCTTGAACACTCCTAGTGTGTGCCCTTACTTTGGGAATGATGAAAAAAAAAGAATTATGTGCTGCTAAGTTGTTTTCTTTTTGTTGCCTCTGCACAAGGACCTGGTGCACAGATTGAAGTATTTTAGATCTTTAATGATTTGCCAGGATTTGGCAGCAGGAGGCATACAGAAGGTTCTCATCATTGCTTTGCCTGAGCAGCATTTGAAGGATTGGTACCCATACTTCTGCATTATGAACCTGATCACATAATCTATTGAATCTGCCTTGGGTTTTGGTTATGGTGGATTTCCCGTGTTCTTAAAACGAAACAGTCTGTAAATCTAGTGGTGTATGGTGTTGTACATTGTGTAACATACAACGTGCAGACGAGATCAAACAAATATTTCTTCTTCAGGAATGGTCACGATGCCATTAATCTGCTGATTGCTATCAAATATGTTAGCCCATTTTGCGTGGTCAGATCATTCCTTCTGATGCATTGCAGGATCGTGTGACATCTTTCTAGATTTCACTTGAAAAGGAATCCAATATTGTGCTTCTCGCTCCGGTTTAACATGTGTCAATACTGTATACAGGGTGTCTATGTACATGGAAGAATATTTAAGGAATGTTCAGTTATTTTCATGAATGTCATATAATATTTGTGATAATTATTAAGCAGATTGTTGTGATTTTTAGTCAATTGTTTGTTGTGATTAATTCTGTGAAAGGAACGTGACATACAGAGAGTACAGAATTACACATTAATCTTACTTTTGTGTGTGTTTGATCCAGTCTTCAATTAATACATTTGTTTGTCCATTGAAGAAAAAAAATATTTTTGCATGGAACAAAAACATTGAATTCCTTTCTTTGAACAACGGTATTTGTTTAAAAGTTTGCTGTGTATTAACTGAATCGAATGGATAGAGTGCTTCCAACACATGAACATAATTTTGTATAAATATTCAAAAATGAAAACATCACCATGTACGGTACTTGGTTTTCCCTTTAAAAATATTGAGAACACCGACAAATATTTAAAATATTGTAAAAGCTGTTTACTTTGTATTACATATTTTTGCAAAATACATGTAGTGCAGTAGTTCATGTACACCTTTGTTCCCATTTATTGTCTCCCTTTGATGAGTCCTTTTACCTTTATTCCCACATATTCACATTTAGTCACATTTAGTCCAATTAATGCCATGGGTCATAATCAGTTGGCAATACCTTGATCAGATTTGATATGACACCGTTTACAACTTACATTTAGTAACACATGATCAGTTATTGTACATGCCATGGCAAATTGTGATCTTTGTGATACATTAATGTTTTATTATCCCACTTAACTTTAACAGTTTTTACATTTTTATCCCACTAACCTTTAACAGTTTTACATTTTTATCCCACTAACCTTTAACAGTTTTTACATTTTTATCCGCAGGAATCTTGTATTAATCTTGCTGTGCTCCTTCTAACATCTTTCATCTTAGTTTGTAAAATTATGAAAAATTGTGTATTTATATTTAATCTTTTATTCACTTGTGGTTCATCAGTCTTTGTATAGTGCTTTTTTTAAACAAATTGTTTTGAAAGTGCACTAATATGAGTAGTAATACTCTATCAGCAATTTTGTGAGAGAGTTTATATGAAACAGGTTCTGGCAGCTGGTACCTATCACATTGGGTCTTATCTTCATAGAGAAATGAAGAAAAAAAAAAACTTGTTTGTTTACTGTCCACATGTATATTGTTGTACTGTACTCACATTAGAAATAGCAATATTTTGACAATGTTTTTAAAGTGTAGTCTCTTACAGAAGACCAAATTTTGAGAAATATTTATTTTTCTTACCCTATGACTGTCTTTAAGACTGTCTTTGAAAATTATACACAATATTCAAAACAAATAGTACATGTACAAGTATATCACATAACGCAAGTAAAAGTGAATGATTTCCCTAACTTGTTTTTTTTTCTTCTCCTTCATCTCTTTCTTCTCATCCTTTAAACACTTCTCTGCTTCTTATTTCTTTCCATCTGATTCTTCTCCTTTTTCTTCTTCTCTTCTCCTTTTTCTTCTTCTCTTCTCCTTTTTCTTCTTCATCCTCTCTTTATTTTATCTTCTTTTCCCCTTCTTACTCTTCTCCCCCTTTTCTCCTTCCTTTTCTCCTTCCTTTTCTTTCCCTCCCTTTTCTTCTTCCTTTTCTTCCCCTCCCTTTTCTTCTTATTCTTCTGTTGTTTTCTTCCCCTCTCTTTTCTTTTCCTTATTCTCCTTCCTCCTTCTCTCGCCTCAGAAATGAGAGTCAAGTGTTCAAGTCTAAGTTCCCTGGTTGGGATGATGTATTAGCTGTGGATTACACAAAGAGAGCAGATCAAATATACAAGAAACCTGCAATTCAGAAGGTGAGTTTGATTAAAAGGTGCTTACTACCAAAACAGTAATTGGATGGGAGAAGGTTTCTTTTTTTTAAAGGCATTGCAAATTTGAATGTCATTGCTGTTTAAGTTTCTTTCAAAAGTTGAAAAGTGACCCTTTTGCCTCAATTTTCCTTGATGTTTAACTCTTTTTGGTGCAAAGTCAATTTAAAGTGCCCATTTTTTATTTGTTTAAATTACTATAATCTTTTTAATACGTGTATAGCATTTTCCATTATTTGACTGAGAAAGACAAGTCATTTAGAAATTCAAAATTGGTAAAAAGGTGTGAAGGCACATGTTCACGTATTTATACATATATGAATAAATAATCACATGAACACTGAAAGTAGCTGCTGCCCTTATTGTTAAGTACCTGTACATGTTTCATAACGGTTTCTCTATCATAAATTTGTGTAAATTGGGTAAATTTTCAGTGGATAAGAACAAGTTTTCATAGGCTCTGCCTTCAACAGCTTAAGTCTGTATTATCCTGAGGTACCTTTTCTAGTCACTGAAGACATTCCTATTAAGTTGTTTGGACAATCATTGAAAGTTAATTTACATGTGTGTATCATTAGCAAGCTTTCGTGTGCTGCTGTTCTTCAAGCCTCTTCAGAACGTTACTGTAATGTCAAGGACAGTCGTTTCCTACCAGATTGATCTACCAGTTTGATCTACGAGTATAAAATCATGCTTGTCAACTTCATGAGTATGATATTATCCTTGTTTTTGTGTTTGTTTTGATAGGATTTACAAGACAAGGAAGAGTTGAAGACTGATCTCTCTGCTCTCTTCATGCCCCGGCAGCCGTCCATGGCACTCACAGAAGCTGTAAGTCCATGATGGTTTTATGTGCTGTCAAAGTGCTCTGCAAACCCTCTTTTATCTGTATTCCCTCCTTTGATACTGCATTAATGACTAAGGCGCCAATCATTTAGTTCAGTCTTTTATTTTACTTTAGAAATATGTATGATAAAGACTAAAATTCTGACCCCTCAGTTTTAATTTTGGGAAGTCTATTTTAAAAAAGGTAAGATACATGTAGTTCAGAATTTGGCCGAAAGTGTCCTTTTAGACAGTAACATTGTCTATAAGAAGTGTTTTTAAGGTAGCACATAGACAATTTATCACCTGTTTAATATTATAATGCTATGTGATATATACATATATATATATATATATATATATATATATATATATATATATATATTAATTTTTGAAGACTTAAAATATTGAGTATGTGATGAATTCCCTCTTTCACTTCAAGTTAAGCAGAAATGTCTGATATGCTAACATAGATATACATGAATCTTGAGAAAATCATAGGCTTTTTTTTGATGAGTGTACAATAAAATTCATCATTCACATTTCTGTGGGCAGGATTGGTCACTCTTGCTATGTAGACCTAGGTTTGTACATACATGTATAATAAAAAAACATTTGTATAAAAAACAATTAAATAAATAAAAAGATAAATAAACAATAGTCACTCTCCTTCTATTTCTGTCATATAGGATCAGTTGATGGAGGAGTGGAATGATGATCTAGATGGTATGGAGGCATTTGTCTTGGAGGGACGCAAATTTGCTAGACTTCCTGAGCACGAGAAAGGTAAAGCATTCATTGCATCTTTAGTACACATTACAGTTAAGATGGTGGATGTACATGTACAGAATAAACCAGTTCCCAAATATTAAGTTGAGTTCTGGACCCCATCTTATAAAGAGTTGCGATTGATCCAAATCAATGGCAAGTCCTCTAATCAATCACAAGTTTGCAGACCTCTATCTCTCATGTACATAGTTTTGATTGATATTAACTGCAAATAAGTTGTGATTGATCGTAACTATTTTTAAGATTGGGCCCTCGTCATGCACTTTCATTGTGAAGAAACCATGTAGAAGTTATCAAGTTAATTATGTAGTAATATGTATGTGAACATTGTTGTATATTGTGAGGTTTCTGTACCGTCAAACTCATAACAAATTGGGCAAATCTTGCTAGAAGTCACATGGGTACAAATTTGGTAGAATTGTTGAATACAGTGTATTTCTAGGGGTATTTAAAGAGGTAAGGGTAGTTCAAGATAGAGTTCTTTTAAATGTCTGTTCTGTAGCTTCGTAATATTCTTCCATACAGGGCTGAAAAGAATGTGAAAGGTTTCCCAAAAATATTCATCTTTACCTAAACTAAATGTAGGTCTTCTCTTTAAATATGATATCTCAAATTCACCTGAACTACAGGCCACTTCTACAGTGGGGACTGCTACGTGTTCCTCTGCCGTTACTGGGTGCCCCGTGACCTCCCGGAGGGTGAGGAGGGGGAGAACGGAGAGGGGGAAGCCGAGGAGGAGGAGGAGAATGCAGAGGAGGACTTCCAATGCACTGTCTATTTCTGGCAGGGGCGTGATGCCAGTAACATGGGCTGGCTGACGTTCACCTTCAGTCTTCAGAAGAAGTTTGAATCGCTGTTTGGTGATAAGCTAGAGGTGGTTCGACTGTGTCAGGTATGATAATGATAGAGAGGGGGAGAGAGGGTGGGGGGGAGGGAAAGAAGGGAAAGAAGGAGGGGGAGGGTGGGGAGGGTGGGAATGGGAGGGACGGACAAGTGAAGGAGATTGAATTGCTGTTTGGAGATAAGCTGGAGGTATATAAATTTTGTAGTGTCAGGTATTCAGAAATAGAAAGGGAGAGGGAGAGATAGGGAGGGACGGAAGGAAAGAGGGAGAGGGAAGGGAGGAGGTTGGTGATAGAGGGAGGGGGAGGGAGGAAGAGGGAGGAAATTTTATTCGCTGTTTGGACATAAGCTGGAGGTAGTTAAATTGTGCCATGTCAGGTATGCAATGATAGTAAGGGAGGGAGAGAGATAGTGGAGGAGGGAAGAGGGGTGGAAGGAGGGAGGGAGTTAGGGAAGAAATGTGAAGCTTGCGTCAGGTCAAGTCAGGTAGACATACATGTAAATAGCTAGTGTAGAAGGGAAATGAGAGAGAGAGAGAGAAAGATTGAATCAGAAATAAAGTTCCATTTAAATTGCTATTTGAACGGACCTGTTAATCTATCGCACACTTCACATCTCATTGTCCATCATCAGCAACAAGAGAATCTCAAGTTCCTTTCCCACTTCAAGAAGAAGTTCACCATCTACCGCGGGCGTCGCCCTCTCCCCAATGCTCCGCCAGAGTCACAGCAGCCCAAGGACTTGAACCCCAAACTCTACCACGTCCGAGCCAATGGAGGCCCTCTCTGCACCCGCTGCATACAGGTCCATCCCACCGCACAGTGGCTCAACCCAGAATTCTGGTAAATGCCTCCTTCAGTTTTGCTGGTATTTCATTACCAAACATTGCTTCATGATTGTGAACATTTCCAGAAAATCAACCAGGGGGGTGTTTTCACAAAGATCCTAAGTTGAACTTATCCCTAAGTTTGATTTAAAAATTATGGAAAGCAGTTAGCATCTTTGAAAGTATTTTGTAAAAGTTATTTTAAAAGGCATAGAATGTTGATTCAAGTCATTCATATTTTCTATTATCAAGGAAATTTCATGTTCTTGATGTTGAATTTATGAAAAGTCTAAGATACCTTATTTTTTTGCTTTGAATATACTATATTTTTTTGCTTTGAATATACTATATTTTAAGGTTACAAATGGATCTCCATAATGTTTAAGTTCAACTTGGAGTTAAGTTTGACTTAGGATCTTTGTGAAAAACCCCCCAGTCGTGGTATACAGTATCCTTGAGCATTGCCTATTGAAATGGTGCCTAATGAGCTCAGCACCAATTCTGTAGAAAAATATGATTAGGTATTGAAATTTTCCAAGAGAAAATGTATTTAAATTTTTAACAGAAACCAGACAAAGATTCTATGCTTTATACATTCTAAATACTTCCATTTAAGATTTCTATTATTACTTTTGTTGAGTTGTTCATCCCCACTTCTCTCTTGCATGCTTCCTCTATATTTTTCTCACTAATTCTTGCTTTTCTCTCTTTATCATTCTCTCCCGTATTCCTTGTGTATGCAATTACGTCTTTCTCCTCTATCTTTTGCCTTACTCTCTTCTCATTCTTAAGATTCCCTTTAAATGTCTTGTCCTAGTAACATTTGGGAGATACCATTTCACAATTTTTAGCCTCCTTCAAACTAAAATCCATGAAGATTAATGTATTTATTTTATTTTGTCTTTGTTCCAGCTACTTATTGGAGGTACCGTTTGATAGTCAGGATAGTAAAGGTATCGTCTACACATGGATTGGATCAAGGAGCGATGCGGACATGGCCAGGGTAGCAGAGGAGCTCGCATATGAGATGTTCGATGTAAGACAAATGTTCATTATCAAGTTCATCTTTCTGAGGGCATGTGTTTTCCTGCTTTTCTACCTTCTCATTTTCATGTATTAACTGCATCTGCATATTAGTCTTTCTATTCTTATTGTACTTAGCCTCTCCATCTATTTTCTGTTCTTTTTTTCTGTCTTTCCTGTCCGTCTGATAATTCTGCCCGCCCTCGCTCTCTCTCTCTTTCTCTTCCTCTCCCTCTCCCGCTCTTTCCCTCTCTCTCTTAATCTCCTCTCTCTCTCTCTCTCTTAATCTCCTCTCTCTCTCTTTTAATCTCTTCTCTCTCTCTCTCTCTTTCTTAATCCCTCTATCTCTATCTCTCTTTGCTATTTTTTGTCAGTCTACCTAAGAACGTTGCATCACTTATTTTTAGTTATTATTCTTTTGATTTTTAATAAGTTCATCATTAAGTACATGAATCCACTCAACCAAAAAGTTGTCATTTATAATACTTTATTAAAGATTGCTTGGTCAAGCAGAGAAATGTAGATATTGGTGATACTTGACACTATTCAATTCAATTCAAAAATGGTTTTTATTACAGCACAAACATTATTCATACAAATACACTATTGTTTTAATTAATAGCTAATTCATCACTTTTACCATGTATCTCCTCTATAATTGTTATTACCATCTCTCACATCATTTTATTCATGTTTCTGTCCATCAGGACATGTACAGCCATCAGCTGCTCTCAGAAGGGTCCGAGCCAGAGAACTTCTGGTGGGTAGCTCTGGGCGGTAAGAGAACCTATGACCAAGAGGCTGACTTCATGAACAATGCTAGACTCTTCAGATGCTCCAATGAGAAGGGCTTCTTCACCGTGTCGGAGAAGTGCTCCGACTTTTGCCAAGTAAGTTCAAGTTGTGCGTTGAAACATTGCTTTTGTGGATCAGTTTCTTTATAAGGCCTATACAAAAAAAAAGATGTTGTATTGCCCTTTGGGTGCTTAAACATAGGTTGGTTGGTCAGAATTTTTGTTTTTCTCCCTCTTTGGGCTGATATTTCTCAGTTTTGAGTGCTTTAGTATTTTTTGTAAAGCCGACCGTTGATTTCAAGATTTTTGGGTCGGTCGCAAAGGGCAATACAACATTTTTTATTTTTTAAAGACCTAATTCCTCTTGGTTTCTTTAGGTTTGCTTTATTTTGTTTTGTTCTGTTTGTTTTGTTTTTTGTTTTGTTTTGTTTTGTTTCGATGGGGGAAGGGAAGGTGGTTATTTATTTTGTGCAATCACCTGTTCACAGTCGGTCATGTTAGCAGTCCTTGTTGAGTTGAAAGTTTTGGAAGTAAATAATTCTTCAGGTTGATGTGCTGGTGGTAAAATGATGTTTTTTTTCCCAGTTCTAGAAAGTGTGTTATTTAAGAAATCTGGTTAAAGTTATTCTAAGCAATGACACACTTTTCCCCCCAACAAAGCATTTTCAGGCTGTGGCTTTATTATTATTTTGTATTACCCTGTTTTATCAGGAAAGACAAAATCAAGAAAACAGAGAATACAAAACAAAAGTAAGGTTTGAAGTGAGTCACTTGGATGCCGGGGAAAAAAAAGATTACGTAACTATCTATAACACGAAGGCCTTCTTCTCTTACCCATTTGACTTTACGTAAACAAATAGCCAAGAATAACAAGATACAACAAATAATGAATTGCATAAGAGAAAAAGAAAAAGAAAACAATTAATGTCATATTGCGTACATTCATATGACTGCCTAAATATTACTTCTTAACATAAAATGTAACTGTGAGGGTGAATACTATGACCTATTTTATTTTATTATTAATTTATTACAACATGTGGTGTGGATTACCCTTTCAACTTAAGTTAGTATTCAAAGGGGTCCATGCACATCTAAAAGCAGTTTGTTGACATGATGTATACATCATGTCAACAAACAAGCAAAGAAATAAACAATTAAATACATGAAATATACAAGAGATAAACAAATAACAATTAAATACATGAGATATACAAGAAAAGTCAATATGGGTACATTTGGGTAATAATATCTTTATTCATTTAGGATGATCTTGCTGATGACGATGTGATGATCTTGGATACCGGACATGAAGTCTACCTATGGATAGGACCAAGCTGCAGTGATGTGGAGAAGAAGCTTGCCTACAAGAGCTCACAGGTCAGTTTAAATCGGGGTAGAAAGTTTGAAAGTTATTGATTGCAGTCTGATTTTTGTTGTCGTACTTTAGTTCAAAGGAGAATCACGCAGGTAGGAAACTGAATGTTAAATTTCTGATAAACTTTCTGTTTGTTATTTGTTTGTTTTTGTTATTAAGATAATGATACTAATAATAGTGGGTTCTTGTATAGCGCTCATGTCTGTCACATCTGACACTCCTGGCACTCCCGATCATTACCCTGGCTTTAGCAAGGCTGTCATGGCGCTTTAGCAGACTGAAGTGAGCCACAGATTTTCTGATCGCCAGTAGTTGTTGTTGTTTTCGCGATTACTGCATCGTATCTAACAGACAGCTGAAAAGCCCCTCCGTCCCGGTTCATGTAGTCGGACAAGCGCTTTTATCGAAATAGCTTCCCGCATCCTCCTACCCAAATCTTGGTTCTCTCTCGCTAACCAGTATTGCAACCATCCTGATGAAACTTTTTAAAGTGACTCTGTAACATTGCCTCAGATTCTGAAACAAAATCCTGGATTTAGCTCATGCTGCAATCATAATTATAAACCTTTAGGTCAGTCAGGAATCCCATGACTTTTACAAGCCGATCAGCTGTCTGATTATCAAGATATTTATGATTGGAAATCAAAATCAAATTTTTTCATTTTCCTAACGGTTTTTATAACACTACAGTCTATTGGGGAAGATGAGTATGGTAAAACTGGTCACTCAAAGATTTTTACTTTTTTGAGGCACTTCATGATCATCTTGAAGCGCAATATTACACAATATCACAAACACTGATAACACGTAGGGCCATGCATCTCAGATTTAACATTGTTAAACGTTGCATTTAATAATGTATTCCATCCTTTATTTTGTTGACAGGTATACGTCCAGCATATGAAGAACAAGGAGCCAGACGCCCCTCGTAAGTTCTCTGCCGTCAAGAAGGGCAAAGAGCCCTGGAAGTTCATCCGCTGCTTCCACGGATGGGGTCTCTTCAAGCCTGGTGCAAAGTACTAGAGAATGGCTTTAGAGTAATAGCAGCGAAAGAAGGACAACCAAAGATATAAGTGTGGTAATAACATGCCCTTTTTTCACTCAGTTCCGTCATCAGCTCCCCTTCTGTCTCTCGACAGAACTATCTGGAAGACCATCATCGACCATCTTCACAGATGAGCATAAATAAATCATTTTGTTCTTATCAGGGGAAAAATATCTGGGCCTCCTTTCTTCTTCTTGTAATGGTCAAAGGCCAATGCAGCCTTTTACTAAGCGGATGAAGAGCCTGATGCCCCTCGAAGATGATAATCCTGGATCTGCCTCTCCAGTGGATCTCAATCTGGCCATTCTCATGATTAGAATTTTGCCAGTTGATAAGAAGTGTGCAGGATAATCTCATTTGTGTAATTCCCAACATTGATTTTTGAGACATAGACATTATCTATTACACAGCATTGTGTGCTTTGCAGTTTGGACATCACAAGCTTTTTTAATATGCTATTTTCTAGGAACAGTACATATTTCCTGATCTAGCTTCTTTTAAAGTAATATTTATTTCTTCAATTGTCAAGGAAGGATGTGTGATTGACATTTTGAAAAACAAAAAAGATTCTGCGACTTTCTCGGTGCTTGAATTTTGTATAGTGAATTGAGAATTTGGAAGTCTGTAGGTGCAATAATATAGTGTAGTTTTCTTGCATGGCAAATTGATGATGTTGTAAAAATAGAAAATGTAGTATATTACGCGATTGTGACTATTCTTTGTGATTGCAGTGAGAAAACTTCACAAAATTGTTCAATATTTGTATAACAAAATGGAAAGGGGAATAAGCAGTAATAGAAATTGAATAATTAAAGAGTAATTACAAAAAATTATAGAGTTGAATGTAAATACATGTAGCAATTATATAAGCTCTAGACAACCAAAATTGTCACCTTTTATTTTGAACTGTATTCCTATGTTTTCTTATAATTTTGTAATTCGCAAGAGGTAACATATTATTTTAGACTCAAACAGTTTTTAAATTTTGTTTTAAAAAATGGTATTCATGCCTATCTATCTACCTTTTCCCATTATTTAGGCCATTTTTGAAAGGGTGATAATGATGAAGCTAAAACTCTTCTTTTATTTGATATATAATTATTTATTGAGAGAGCAACTCGCATTTTGTACTATTAAAGGGCTTTGTGTATGTTATTGCATTTTTTTTTTATAACAGGCCTTGAGAAAAGTGCTGTGGAATTCAGATTGAGTCTGGATCAAGTTTAGAGCGCTTTCTTGCTCTGTAGTTGTATAAGGTGTACAAAAAGAATGTAGGTGTACAAAGAAGAATGTAGGTTCACCCACTTACAATTTGACATTTAGAAAAATGTTCTTGTTATCTTATTTTTGTGTTTTATTCCTTTTTTTTAAATCTTGCTACCTTATGTTATGACTTGAAAGTGGATGCTGAGCATTCTTGCATATAATTTATGTCTTTAAAAGCTTGATAATTATGATGCTAAACTATCCTTGGTCTTAACATCTTCCAGTACCTGTTAGCCAAATTATATTCTTATTTCTAAGGGTATAGATTTTTGTTGTTTGTTATTTATTGAAGATGTCAGATATAATGTACATAATCATTGGTTGTTTATTAGTGGATATAATGAATGATGCTATTAAGATAAATGAACTATATTGAAATTCTAGTGGCATCCAAAATGCTTTCATATTTGATTTCAATATTGAAAATTGTGGGAAGACCAAGCTTTGGGAATTATATCGGGACAGTAATTAGTCCCTTTCCGAGACTTTTCTTTTTCAAAGTAGATGATGCAAGCAAGTGCCAAAGCTTGATATTCATGAACAAACAAGTCTTCTACACCTAAAAATGCACTTGACAAAAGTACTTTCTTTTTAACAGTAAAAGGCATGTTTGATTGTGTTTTATACTTTTTGTGATGGATTATTATGAATGAGATCATAGAGTGATTATATTGACATTAAGGCTATGCTCTGTTACAAGTTTTCTTCCCCTTGGTTATACAACATGCTATATTTACAGTTATTTGAAAATCGCAATAAATTCCACAGTGTGGATTTTGATTTCTATATCCTGCTTTGAGATGTTTTTGTGTTTTGTTTTTGTTGTGGTCCTTCTTATACTTATAACTTCAAAGGGCTATGCAGCCTATCCCAAAGATCTGTATGTTGATTACCAGTTGTGAATGTCAAGCGTCATAGACATTGGGATTACATTCTACTCTTTGCAAAAAGTGTAGGAAATTAACGTTTATAGGGCATGACTTTCCTACACATGGGAGCTCCAGTTAAAAACTGTCTTTCTGCGGAAAGGAGTGTTGTCCCCTAAACCTGAGCCTTCATCGAGAACAGAGGGGAGAGGCATGCTTACACTCAACACAGTGACAGTCACATTTGTCTGATTAGCGTAGGACTTGAATTCTCGAACCCCTATGTATCTGTATGATGGAAGTTATATTGAGGTACCACATGATGATTTGAATTTGCCAAACTGCCTCCTGTTTTCTTTTCTTTCTTATTTTCATGTTTAAATATATTTGCATGCATAATTATATTTTTTTAAAACCCAATGTCACTTCCACCCCATCATACAATAAAATGGCAACATGCATGTACCATAGAAGTAAAAAGTGCCTCGATCTAGCTGTGCTTAAGAATGATCAATAATGATGATGATGATGATGATGATGAAGATGGTGATGATGATGACGATGATGATGATGAGGATGATGATAATAATAATGGTCATTTATACTGCGCCATACAAGAAGTACCGTACCATAGCTTCAAATGTAACAGAACAACAAAAAGGGGAAATGGTACCCCATCGGAGGCTGCATTGAAAGGGGCTTCCCCTGGTCTATGACGTCAAATAGCGGAAGTAACTGCCGCGCGCACAATGTGACGTACGTACGGACTCTCAGAACAGCTGGGCAGCACAATCATTGAAATCGACGATCGTGAAAAGAATAACAAACAACTGTTTGTTTGCTGCTCTACGATCTAACCATAACAATTCAGTAAGTCTTTAGAAATTAATTGATATTATTTACTTTCATGTCCCAGGCTTTGTGTAATCTTTAACTATAAAATGTCTACTGTGTAAAGTAGTTTTTAAAAGGCACTCCAGATCCAGCTAGCGCCGCGTACACATGCTGTACGCGTCCGAACAGCTACAGGGCCGGGTACGGCATGAGCGGCAGGCAGATAAGGCCGCGGCCGCGGGGAGCTTAACCGATGCAATGGATGGGGAATTTAAGTGTCACACCGATATGGACAGCATTTCCAAAAGGTGTTGTCACTTTGATCGTCTGTGTAAAACTAATGTAACTATTGTAATAAAGCCAACTTTATTTATTTTTTATTTTTATTTTTATATTTTTATTTTAACCGCACATTCACTAAACAATGTGTAGACCAGACTATATCTGCGTAGACTGTGCGCACCAACCCACAGTGCGTTAATCTTCATTTCATGAAGCCTGCACTTTTTAGGAAGAAGAAGAAGAAGAAAGCCAAAGGTAAGATTTATTTGGCCTAGAGGGATCTATATTATTATTGAAAGTCGTCCCAATAAAAGGTTTCTAATTCTTACTATTTTGATTGCCAAGTATGAAGCCTAGATCTTACCCTTTCTAAACATTATGTTCCATCAATTTTGTAGGTGCTGCCCGAAGTGTTCATCAGTTAACTTAAGACATCTAGCATCATGCCGGGGCCGGGGCTAATACTTCACGACACAATCTCTGTCAAGTCGCAGGGAGGTGATTGCAAAATTGAGCTCTGTTTTGGGGACATCACAAAACTCAAGAAAAAGGACAAAGTGGATGTCATCTTTGTGTCTTCTTTTGGGAGTGAGTAATTTTTACAGTTTTACAATATTCTTTCTGTCTCTCTCTCTTTCTCTCTTGCCAGTCTGTGTCTTTCTTTCTCTTTAAGTGTCTCCCTGTTGTCAATCTTGTTATAATATATCTCTTATATCTATAGTTTTCTCATTCTATGTTTATCCCCCTCCCCCCCCCCCCCCCCCCACTCCGTGGACTGCATTTGTGTCATTCCCAAAATATCCGGTAAAGGGGTACTTTTCACCCAACAAAGTCCGGCCCATATTGACTTAAACACCAGAGATAGGGGAGTGCTTTAAAAAATCTGGCCGTATTGACTTTACACACCAGAGATAGGGGGTGCTTTCAAGGGGAGGGAACATGCATACATTGTACTTGTAAGCGTACCCTAAATAACAGTAATACTGAGTGGGGGGGGGGGGGGGGGGGGGAGGGGGTGGGCCCGAATGTTAATGTCGTTATATTGTGTGTCTTTCTCAAAATACACGTTCACTGTATGTCTTCTTCATCCATTTCACTTTCATTTGTATTTTACCATTATAATATTAACAATACCTAAATATATTTATCAGTACATTTCTCTCTCTAGTATTTCTCCACTCTCGATCTGATCATCTAAATATTAATAAATGTACATATTTTATGTATCAACATGATGATTTACATCTATGTGTTGTAGAATACACGTCAGTGTCCACCAATTTTCTCCCTCCCTCTGTCTCAAGCCCCCCCCCCCCCTCTCTCTCTCTCTCTCTTCTCCCCTCCCCCTTCTCCCCCTCTCCTTCTCCTCCATAGTATTGTATGACTGTTGACTACAGCGTCATGTACACAGTAAGCATAAATGTTGGTTCAGCCAGCTAGTATCTTGTTTCTGTGCTTGTACTTACATGTACATGTAGTTAATAAAAATCCACTTTGGAGATTTGTACAAAACTGTATAACCCATCATAACGAACGCTAGATACGCGTGTTCATGAAAGGTATACATTTAAATGCACTGGTTGTACATTATCTGAAACACAGGTATTGTTTTAGAACAAAAGGTATTCATGAAGCATCTTCATCAGTTTGGACGTGATAATTCTGAAAAATGTGCAAAGTCTCCTTGTGTAAAAGATCTGTGGATATATGGGGGTCATTCATACAAGTGCTACCCTTGAAGTGTCTTATTTAGCCCTTATGTGGACTTTAAAGAATACCATTCTAATTCGAATCAATTTGAACGAATAACTGAACCGTACTGAAAAACTAAAACCCTTCTTAAGCTTTTATTGGCTATTGAAACAACCAGTTAGTTGCCATAGTAGGCTTTTATCCCACCTATAATGTGTATAATGTGTATGAGATATTCCAAGCGATGTGGAAGTCTAAGGTTTAAGAAAAAGTGAATAAAAGAGATAAGTTATAAAATGAATATAAATCTTTTTTTTTTCTCAATCTTAATCTGTCTTTAATATTTCTCACAATTACATATCTATCCAGATAACTATGACAAGATGCCAGGCACAGTGATCGGCGCTCTGCATGAGAACTTGGGCGTGGACGTCAAAGAGCTATCTCTAGATAAGGAAGAGGATCTCCGCTCTCTCTACTCGTGCTGGTGGTCCAAGCCGCTACCTTCCAAGATACCTTATCACAGACTACTCTGCTTCGAAAGTAGAAGGTAAGAAGTACTATGTGTTATAATTCATTTTGTGGTTGCAAGTGACTGATAAAAGCGTATTCTTCATCTTCTTCTTCTTCTTCCTCTTCTTCTCCCTCTTCTTCTTTTTTTAATGACTAATATTCATCTGACATCATCATCATAATTATTATTATTATCATTATTACTATGAATATATATATATTTTCAGATATGTTTTCACACTGTTTTCAATGCATGTCAGATTAAACTTATGTATTTTGTGGAGGAAATAAAATACCATATTGCACTACATGTAGATCTTACATATATGGTTCATGAATTTACTGCATCTAATGTTTCACTTATTAAGACTTTTTCCTATTCATTTCAAGCATTACAGTGTTTTCCTGTTTATAAACATCAGAAAATGCTCCTGTTGTTTTAATACAAACATAACCAAATTTGCCCAAGACATATATTGTTTGAAGTTTGAAGTTTATTTGTTCCACATTTACATACAAAAAACAATTTAATTTTTTTGTTTTGTTTAAACAAGTGTATAAGCGTAGATTACACCAAAAATTTAAGATTTCAGTTTCAAAATATATCGATATGATAGACAAGATAATAAAAATATGTGACATATTCAACAAATCATTAACCACTGGAGTGTTTCCAGATGCTTTTAAAATAGCAAAAGTAGTGCCGTTATATAAGAAAAACTGTAAACAAAATATAGATAATTATAGACCGGTTGCAATTTTACCTATATTTTCCAAATTGTTGGAGAGACTTATGTATAATAGATTGTATAGTTTTCTTACCAAATATAAGATATTAATTAATGAACAATTTGGATTTAGGAAAGGTCATTCGACCGCTCATGGTGTATTGAATATGTCAGATTATGTAATAAATGCATTAGATAATGGTAATTTTTGTTTAGGGCTATTTATGGATCTTTCAAAAGCATTCGACACCATCGACCACGACATTCTTCTTGATAAATTGTTTTATTATGGCGTAAGAGGAGTAGCCTTAAACTGGTTTAGATCATATTTGATGGGTAGAAAGCAATATGTGGTGGTCGATGGTGTCGAGTCCAACTTCAAAGAACTATCATGTGGGGTACCGCAAGGGTCTGTACTGGGACCTCTCCTGTTCTTGTTATATGTTAATGATGTTGTCAACAGTTCTAGTGTCTTTCGGTTTTCATTATTCGCAGATGACACCGTAGTTGTCATATCCCATAAAAATGCACACAGACTGATTGCGCTGGTGAATGAAGAATTAAGTAAATTGCTTTTATGGTTTCAGAGTAATAAATTACTTCTCAATCACGAGAAAACAAACTACATCATATTTCGTTCAAAGAATAAGAGAGTTCCCGGAGACATTAATGACATTTCTGTTAACAACATAGTCCTTAAACGTGTACATTCACTATCCTTTCTTGGTGTTACTATAGACGAATTCCTGGACTGGAAGACCCACATTAAAAATGTAACTTTGAAAGTATCTAGAAGCATTGGAGTATTATCAAAATTAAAATTTACCGTTCCCCAAAATGTTCTTATGTTATTATACAACTCGATAGTATTACCCCATTTGTCTTACTGCAATATAGTGTGGGGAAATTCATATTCATCTCATCTAAACAAAATGAAAATACTTCAAAAGAGAGCAATTCGAATTTTAACATATTCAATGTATAATTCTCATACGAAACTATTATTTAGCAGAATGAAGGTTCTTCCTGTCCAAGAACTAATATTACTTAATACTTGTATATTTATGTATCATTTCCACACTGGTAATCTTCCGCACATTTTTCAAAACATGTTTATTAGTAATTCATCCGTTCATTCACATAACACAAGGCAAACAAAGTTATTACACAAACCCCCTGTACGTACAACCCATGCACTGAAATCATTTAGAAATGTGGGAATAAGTAAATGGAATGATTTAAACGAGGATATAAGATCAAGTTCAACTTTGTCTAGGTTTAAAGTTTTGTGCAAAAGGGAACTATTTATTAATTTGTAAAACTGGGTAGGAGTATAAGTTTTAATCTCATATTTCGCATTTTTCATGTGTTTCCTCTTCTTCCTTTTTCTTTTAAATATTCTACTCTCTTCTTCTTCTTCTCTCTCTCTCTCTCTCTCTCTCTCCCTCTCTCTTATAATATGCTTTAAAGTACATTGCATTGTGTGTGTGTGTGTGTGTGTGTGTGAGTGGGTATGGCTGAGTGTGTTTGCACGATATTTGTAATTGTTTTGTAATAAGTAGGAATATACATGTATCTCTTTTTTGTTTTGCTTGTTATTGCATGTTTTTATTATATTTGTATTTAATTCTATGTTAATGGGCCCCATTTACAAGCTCTGCTTCTCAGGGGTCCATAGCCTGTCATCATGTTATAATTATTGTTCCAGTACCAGTGTCATTGTAAATTGTTTTTAATGATTGGCTGAATAAATTGAAAAATTGAATTGAAAGCAAAATGTGGGGAGCCTAAATAAAAAGCATAGCTTGTATGTGAATAGGCTCCATACTGAGTAACAAATAGTAGGTCTGAATTTAAAAGATATTATATGAGGCGAAGAAGGAGTAGTATGAGATTTTAAGGACGTACAAGGAGAGTGAATTTGAGAGAAAAAAATAATAAAGAGTAAAGAAAATATGTAAAATGATAAGTAGGAGACTATCATGGTTTTGCTCAGAGGTATATATGCATTACGTCACCTTTTGCTTCTTGGTTATTTAACAGGCATCGGTCAGGTCGCCCTCAGGAGTTGGTCGGCCACGCCTTCAGATGCCTCGTGCCCATCCTAAAGAACAAGGATGCCAGCGTCATCACACCATTACTCAGCACAGGCAATCAGGTATGAGTCTAGCCATGTTGTGCATTTTTCCTTTGGCCATTGTTAATTGAATAACTTTTTAAAAACGTATATGTTAACTTTATAAGTTGTAAAAGTAATTTTATTTTTGTGGTTTAAAAAGTTTTAGTACATAGTTGTACATGTATGTATGTGCAGTCTGTTTTTTTAATGATTTGACAAGAAAATCATTGACTATATTTGATAGTGGAATATTGTTTACAATGTACAGTTCACTGTATCGAAGCTGTTGAATCACATAGAGAGAGAGAGATTATATCACACTGGGATATATAATATCAGAATGGTGTACTAGTATCATTATTTTATGCAGGCTGGTACAAATGTGGTGGGTTTTTTTTTTTTGGGGGGGGGGGGGGTGGGGGGGATTTAAGTGATTCAATTTCAATGTATCGTATATGATCATGATTTTTTTAGATGGTCCTGCTGTGGCCTATCCAGTCCGTACAGCGCATTAGTAGGGAAATTATATTGATAATATTCCAGAATAGATGTCATCTTTTACTCCACATAAAATTGAGACCAAATAAGTACTGTTTGCCTTACCGGTGCTCTGGATTAACTTCCTTTAATGATTTGAGGGATAACGGATGTCCTTGTGGGTGGCATCGGTTTCCTGATTTGCTTCCTGATCAAATCAGGCTACCGATAATGATTGGATACATTCATTATTAAACGGGAAATCAAACCTTAAAGTATACCAATCACCAAAGCATGTTTTTCTCTTGATGCAAGGGGTGTATTTGGAATATGAGCTTTTGAATATTACTTCTACAAAGAGATGTTGCAGTTTAAAGACACTGTTAGTTACCGTAAAATAAAATGATAAGGCATGCATGAAACCCACGTTGAAGGTGTTATGTTGTCCTATTTTCCTCATACCGCTTAACCGTTAAGCTATATTCTAGGTAAAGTTTTTGTTTGGTTGCTTTCTAGGTATGCAGTGTACACAGATTATTTTTTCAAGTGATTGGTACTCTATACTTTATCAGGTTGCCGTAAATAGTCAGAAAAAATCAAGAGAAGAGCAATGTGTCATGTATAACTTATATCCTTTATTCATTTATTTGATTCTAAAATGGAAAATCTTTTCATTGTCATTGACATTGACTTGACTAAAGAATCATAAGTCAAATCAAAAGATCTTCTTATTTGGATGAATTAAAAGGATAAAACCATATGCTCAATTGGCAGGACACGTCTCACAGAATCGCCTACAGGTAGAAGCAGTTGGGTGAAAGTTTTACTGAATTCTGACAAATATTAAGAATGTTATGACGTTATTAAAAGTTGTTATCACTGCAGTGTTGTATACATGTATATACATGTATATCAAATTTTGAATCCCGTATGTATGTAAAGCGATTATGGCTTTCAAAAATTCATATAAGCTTTTCAATGTTTGTCTGAATTTGCTCAATTTTTTACCAATTTGCTTGTCTGATATTTCTGCTTTCTTTCCAAGCATTTTAATAGCTATTACAATGGACACACCAGATACTTTTGATCATTTACTTCTTTTTTATTTAATCAAAAGATTATCTTTTTTTTTTCCAATTCATTGAATTATTCATAGGGCAAGGCCTGATTTTGTCCATCTACATGTAGGCCTACATGTATGTGATATATAAAATAAGGGTTGCTTTGAATACAATGTACATGCATTAATTGTCCAATAATGAGAGAAAATAAGAATGAAAAATAGATATATAGACAATTTGCTGTTTTCATTTAAAAGCTTTGCCAGTAGTGATCATTCAAACAGCTTTGATACACTCAACATTTATGCCCAGCAATTTTTTATTCAGGCCTTGTCTTACAAAGAGCTGTGATTAGTGATCAAAGTCAGAACTTTGCAAGTCCTTGATCAATCACAAATTTATTATTATTATTATCATTTATTCGGCAAAAACAGAAAATCAGTGAATACAAAACAAGAGTACATTTGTAAAAAGAGTCGCATGGATACCGGGAAAAAGAAAAAAACATACTTAAGAACTATAACCTGAAGGTCTTCTTTTCCAATCCATGTTGTACTTTACAAAAATTATAAAAATAAAATGGTGAGGTATAACAATTTATGAATCACTGTGTAATCAACAATAATCATTGACAAGATTACAATCTCCAATCCCAAAGTACACAGATCTTTGTGATTGAAACGAAGTTGTGATCGATTTCAATCAGTCGCTATTCTTTGCAAAACATGGCCCAAGGCTCGAAATTGCAGTTGCCATGGTGCTATTGACAACCTGCAGTCGTACATAGGTTGAAATGACAATGAAAATAATACATGTGTACTTTGTACAAATCCATCCAATGTTGAAATGACCTGCAAAAGTTGAATATTTGCAATCTAGTTGTCTAGATTGCCTGGCTTGCAAACCAAAGAACGGCATATTACAGTGTAACCTGGTTTTAAGAGTGACCACCTTTATAGAAAGATGATAGGAAATCTTATTAGAATCCACATTTTGGGGTTTTCCTTGAATATAGTTTTCATTGAAATGTGTACTATAAAGGATGCAAACCAACCGTCTTCCTGAAGTGATCTGTACATGCATGACTATATATTAGAACCATGCAGTACAGAATATATGCATGCAGCATTTGTCATGCACTGTCCATGTATGCATCCCATTAGGAGCTGTGTATTCCCTCTCTTGGAAAAGAAATTTGCGGTCATGCAATCTTGACAAGGAAGCCGTATTGACTCATTAGGTGAAGGTCATATGATTGTGCCTCCGTCATGATGTCATTATATATTGCACAAGCGACTGTAATATAACTGCTCCTTATTACATGGTGATATTTTCAGTACTGAGTCTTCACATGCATTGACATGTACCTGTTCTAGGTGGGTATTAATATAAGCATTGTTTAGGTCAGTAATGATGAACAGATAGTTTTATATTCTTTGAATTTGTATGTTTAATATATAATGTCAAATTATAGTGCATTTTCTGTGCTCTCTCTCTTTCTGTTTCTTCCCCTTCTTTCTTTTAGACTCCCCCCCCCCCCCCAGCCTCTCTATCCCCCCCCCCTCTTTTTCTCTTTCTTTCTATATCAGCCTCTATATCTATAAACCATTTTAATGCAAGACAGATGATTTGAATCATAATGTTTATTTGTAATCATAAATGTAATCTATAATACATATGTTAATGTAGATCAGGCTATGATGATTTTATTAGCTTGTCATATTCCAATAATACACAGGCAGGCTTCCTAACAGGAATTACCCTTTTTTTTAATTTAGTTAAATATGGCCTATACAGCATCTCAGGGAGTGGCTAATTGGAAGGACCAACATAATTTTGCATCCTCAAAGTTTAGTTTAAGTTGTTGGTCTTTTTTTACCTGACTGCTATTGCTTTAATATAGGATGCAACCCCATGCAACTAGGCTACAAAACGTTGTAAGTCCTCTCCAAGTAACTTGGGAATGTAGATTATATCAAAGTGAACCAGCAGAACAAGTTTGTTTGAACCTAGGACCAACTGGTTGAAATTCCGCTGCTCTACCACTTAGCTGTATATTTAGTGTAAATAAATTCCTGCCCAGAAGCCTGATTATATGCGTTAACATATTCATTACCATTGTTTGTACCCTTTTTTAGTGTGTGGTACAATTTGGTCGAATAAATAATAATAATAATAATATTAATTTGTTCTTGGTATGTTTCCTGAAGTCAATAGTACAGTGCTCTGGTGATAACCCTGTATACACTTCCCCCTCTTACATCACCTGACAGGGCATCGACCCTAAGGTCATGTTGGAGGGCATGGTCCACGCAGCGATCAGCTGGGTCAAGGCTGGCCTTCCCATCAGGCTCCTGAAGATCGTCATCTATGCAAACATCAAAGACGGACAGGCCACTAATTTCTTTCGAGGTGTAGATAATAACATCCTGGAAAATTTTGCAGAGCTCAAGTCGAGATACGAGTCGGCTAATCTTATTCCTCAGGTATGCCTTTATTTATGAAGTAAACCATTGGAAATGAATCTCTCCTGGACATCTAAACCCCTACCCCTTCCTCGCTCTCTCCCCCCCCCCCCCCCCCCCCCCCCCCCCCCCCCTCCCCACACCCTCTTTGCTCCTCCAATTCTCGACATGTCTGCAGAGCTCAAGTCCAGATACGAATCGACCAATCTCAGGTCAGGTCAGGTTCAGATTTGAATGTTCTAATCTCATTCCCAGTTATGATTTGGATTATAATTTACATTTTACCCTTATGTTCCCCCTCAGTAATTACCCCCCCCCCCCCCCCCCCCATCTCTTGTTCTGCACATCCTGAATCACACATTTATCACTATGATGCTAAAGCTCAGCAACAACTAATGTGTAGGTCATATATCTAAATTTATGTATTTCATTTGATTGAGCACAATATTATTATAGGCCTAGGAAATAATCATAAGTGTATACAAAAATTACATACCAGGGGGTGTTTCACAAAACTTGTCATCTGAAATGCTTGCTCTGATTGCATTGTTATCAGCAGATTTGTCACTGATATTTGTCATTGTAAAAAGGCTTTGTGAAACGGGTCCCTAGTATGTATATAAAATATTTGTTCTTTGATTTTTTTTTTTAAAATTAATCATTATAATCAAAAGAGAGTGATCACTGAAAGTTTGCAAATAATGAATTTAAAATATAACTTTTCCATCAATGCATGCAGGAGGTAACCCTGGAATACGACGTCTACCTCTCGTTCAGCGACAAGGACCAGGAGATCGCAGACAAGATCCAGGCCCAGCTCCAGGAGGAGAAATCTGACATCCGCATCTTCACCGCCAGACAGAAGGTGGATACGGAGGCCTTCTGGCAGGACCAGATGTATGACGTGGTCTCCAAGTCGGCCAGAGTCGTCACAGGTAGCTTGAATGAAAGGAGGGTTTTATCAAGATGGTGGTCCATCTACTTGCTTTAAAAATGAGGTTGAGTACTGGGGGGGGGGGCATTTTACAAAACTTGACATCTGTGACAAATGACAAATTTTGTTATAAGCTACTGAAATCCTTGCTTCTGATTGGTTATCAGCAGATTTGTTACTGATTTTAGTCATTTGTCATTGGAAAAAGGCTTTGTGAAATGGGTCCCAGGTCGCGCAATTATGTTGTCAAAGCAATAGTCTAGAAGCAATTGGAAAATGGCTGATTACAGAGCTGCCAACCAGTATGATTTTATCTTATTTTGTACGATTTTAATAAGTAAATAGGACAGTACGATTTAATTTTTTTTTTTTTTTAATTTGAACAAATTAAATGTGCTTGTGTATTTTGTGTGTGTGTGCTATTTTCAATGGCAAATTGCCCATTCTCTCCTGGAAACTATCCTACAAGCATCTCACATTGGCAATTTTGGGATGTTCATTGGTTCATCAAACACACCAGTCATGACAAAATCATGCATATCAACCAATGGTCCATAAAAATACATTTACATGCTGTTCATTTGTTCATTGAATGATCATTCATGACGCACTCTAATATATTCAACAAAATATTTGTAAAATATGCTCATGCATAATTCTTCAAAATGTTGATGAACACAGTCTAACATTTAAAAAAGTACTTATCGATCAAATTTATTTTATTTATTTATTTTTTTTTTTGGGGGGGGGAAGGATAAGATTTTTGTTCAGTTGGGGTAATTGGCAACTCTGTGATTAAGCAAACAATTATGCAAACAAAAATGAGTATATGGGACTACATCCAAAATGTATGGACCAAATTTTTCATTCATTTTATCATCATTTTTCAAATACAAGGGCATTTGCAGAGGAAAGCCTTTCAGGTGACATTTCTTTGATCATATTATTCTAAAATAGCATACAGAGGATGAGAAATCTTCCGAGTATAAAGTGTTCTTATCCTTTTCTAGAGCTCAACCTTCTTTTCAAACAAGGGTTCTGCCTGATGTCAAGAAAACTTAAGCGTAGCTAGTATACACTTCACATTATGGTATCACCAATATGTACAACAAACCACCTGACCCTGGGTCGAAATGCAGACTTTACAAAAGGACAGAATTTAGAGTAAAACAAGTAGCAAGGCTAGTGTAGGGGACAGCAAGCTAGGTCACAAACAGACAAGAATAAGATTTTCAAGCTGTAAAAACACCTTGTATTTGGCTAGAAAGCAATTGATACCAGCATATTCACTTATTAAACTGAAATATAATATTTAAAATGGGCCTTGGAAAATCTTTGAGAGCTCCTTGAATTTCAACCCTGTTATTTGATCTTTATGCAGAAAGTGATGGTTTTTGCTGGTACTTTAAAGGGATCCGGTAACTTTGTCTCAGATTCTGAAACAAAATTCTGGATTTAGCTCATGATGCAATGATAATTATAAACCTTTAGGTCAGTCAGGAGCCCCATGACTTTTACAAGCCGATCGCCTGTTTGATTATCAAGATATTTATGATTGGAATTACAAATTTTGAAAACCGTTCGCCTGACGGTTTTCATAACACTACAGTCTATTGGGGAAAACGAGTATGGTAAAACCGGTCACTCAAAGATTTTTACTTTTTTGAGGCACTTCTTGATCATTTTGAAGCGCAATTTTTTTAGGGCTTCAATATTACACCATATCACAGACACTGATAACACTTAGGGCTGTGTATCTCAGATTTAACATTGTTAAACGATCCCTTTAATTCAAGATTGTCAAAACATATACAAATACACATACATTTAGCAGACAGATACTGGTATATAGATGATAATAATATTAATAGTAATATGTCTTGTTTACCCAGGACATGGGTAAAACTGTTGGCCCTGCAATCATTAAAAACAATAAAAACAATTCCACACTAAACTTTTGAGCCCATTTTGATGTTCAAAAAGAAAAACAATCTTTTCATTGTCAAAAGTATATTAGAACTATTTAGCTTTTGGATGTTTGGATTGTTAGAATCACCAGCCACACTGAGAGAGTTAGGAATAGTAACCTCCATCTCAAAACTTTAATAGTAAGTTGTCAAACTCTATGCCCTGCAATGTCTGGTTACCTTTTCAGTCATTTTCCATCGTTACAAACAAATATTTAAAATGTTGTGGAAATAGTGGACTTTTGCCATAATCATCACCTTCATAGTAAGATTTGCTTTTGACAGATTTAGTTTTAAAAATTTACTACTTGAGGCTGCTTATGTACATTACCCGTAGTTAATGTATATTATTGGCTTTTATACAGTGTTTTTTTTTCTTTTCTTCTTTCTTTCTTTCCCTCTTTTATATAATATGTTTGTATCTTTTCCCTGGTGCTCTTCCAGGAGTTGGAGGGAAACGCCCAATGGGTCATAGGAATTCCACATTTCTTTTTCTTTCTTCCAGGCAATTTCGGGAAGCGCAACAGGGGAAGCTGAATAATTTTTTCTTTGATAATTTATACCTCATGTCTTCTTTGTCTTGTATCTTGTCATGATAATGATGATATTCACCGCAGTGCACTCAGTTTTCTTAATATGTACCTCATGTGTCTTTAATACATTCATGTACTTGACACAATGCAAGGTATAGGGATATTGATTTCTGTTTCTCATGATCCTGATTCTTAGAAAGAAACAAACAAATATAGTGTAGTTTATATTATAATGTTTTAAAATTGAAATTTTTATTTGTTTTCATCTACCTTTATGGGAATATGATAATTGAGCAACCATGTTGTACATAAGCTATATCAACTTTGCAGCTCAAGCTATTCACTATAATTTGCTTGCATGCTACTTTTCACACCAGGGAAAAAATACACGGCGGCTTGTAGCGAATGCCCGCAAAATGCAAAAAAGGGCCCCCGAAATTCATAAAAAAGCCCCCAAAATGTGCATAGACTTCAATGCAACACAAATTAAAGAGTGTTAATTTCATGCAATTAAGCAAGCTTGAAAAGTAGCCCCCCAAATTTTTTTAATTTTTTTTTCTCCCCTGTTTCACCCCAAAGTCCTCAGCTCCAACTACCTGGCTTCGGAATCCTGTCTGGAACAGTACAACATCGCCCTCTGTTGTAACAGACAGGCACATCGTAATGTGCTGGCGCCCTTTTTTGTGGAGACAGTGACCCTTCCAACATATATGGGTCTTGTGCAGTATGCAGACTGCAGGTACTTTCGCTTTACTATCCAAGCAGATTTTTGCAAACTTTTTTGTTTTTTTAAAGTAGCTTAGTGAAATCTAGCCACAAAAAGCTGGTCTACAAAGCATGATTAATTTCATTTTAGCTATCTTCTGGTACGGGTCGATGGTATCCCTTACTGCCTTTGTCTCTGAGTTTTTGTTTTTGTTGAACTTTGCCTGAAAGTTAAATAAACAAATTAAATAAATGTAACTTGTAAATTTATATATAATGATTTTCACAACATAGATCATGTCCCTTTTGGCAGCACAATATCTTGATAATCAAGAGAAGAAGATAGATCAAGAAAATGCACCAGTCTAGTGGGGATTTTATTACCCCTCTCCAGGACATATTGTTGATATTTGCCAATTAAAAGAAAATGAGACTGTAGCTCTCATTTTATTCTATTGGAAAAGCAGGACCTATTAAATTAATGGTTGTTCTAACTATTTCCTTTGAAATGTTTGCAATACTTAAGCTGTTCTCTGCAATATGCGGCACCAACAGCCAACAATACCTATTTCCCTCCAAAACTGTTTATTTTTATTTCTTGGCCTGCATATGATATTGACTCAAACAGGGAGAACATGGATGCTAGCATAGCCCAGGCCTGTGGTCAGTTGGTCAAATCCCTCACTGCCACAGACAAAGTGGTCAAGGTTGCCACCACAGATCCCAACCACTACGATGTCTTTGTGTCGTATTGCCATGCCGACGCAGACCAGGCCACGCCCATTGTCAGCCAGCTGCAGAAGCTAAACCCTGAGCTGAAGATATTTTATGACATACAGGAACTTAAGACTGGTGAGAGTCACTTCTCTGCACTTTCTACTCTACCCTATATAACACAGCACATCTCACAGTTGCATTCACAATTCTAGTTCAGTCTATACAGTGGCATTATAGTTCATTTTACATATTTCTGTTTCCTTAGCATGCTGAGCATATTTGTTGAGCTTTTGTATTACTGGTCTTATAGTGTTGTGGCAACTCATTCTGATGTTTTGAACACTGGTGAGCACATCTTCTCCGCAATCTCTGCTTTTCTTCTTAACAAAGCACCCTCTGCAATTCTAGTTTAGTCTTCTGCGTACTGGCATTTACATGTATAGATCTTCTCTATGGTTTTTGTTGCCTTTTACTTCTGCTGGCATACATGTTCACATTTGTGTTGCACATAGTTTATAGAGCCTTTTGTGTTTCTGTTGTCATGGCATTACATTAAGCTTTTTATCACAGTAATGATCTCTTTTCTTCTTCTTGTCTCTTAGCTCATTATATACAGGTATCTCTGGTATACTAATTATGACTAACATGTACAGTACCAGTAGTTGGAGCCATATTCCAACCATTCTCATAATTATATTTTGTGTTTGGAGCCAGAAGGGTTTTGACTCATATTCTTTAACGCCCTTCTGGTTCCAAACAGACAAAAGATGAACATTCATACATAATCTATACACTGTATAGACCCTGTCTGTCAGACAACTTTAATAATAATCTGGTGAAAAATTGAATACAAGAAACATTTATTTATTTGTTTGTTATGTAGAAGAAATAAAACATTAAAGATACAAACTCATTGTTGAATATTAAGACTGATGAAGCTGACATAATTTGCACCTTTGATAATGCATCATTTGTCTATTAATGGTTTTGAAATGGAGACTAATCTTATTCATTTTCAATTGGTGCCATAATACCAATTACAAAGTATGAAAATTGGAGGTGTACAGTTGAATGCCTACGGTATAATGCACCATTAAACCATTTTGTCATGAGATATAATTATTCATGTGTTAGAATCATTTTGAACGTTATGAAATATTTTTCCGGGGTATTATAGTGTAATTGATATGTATTTTGAAAAATGGCATTTCTGTTAAATTATGTTAAAAGTCCCTGCAGTTGTTGAGAAATCATTTTCTCCTATCCCTCTTTAATACACTATACCATGCAAGTTGTCACTGTATAATGCTTTCCCTAGTCAAAATAAAATAGTCTAAAGCTAAGTCTCTACATATATTTTTCATTTATCTTATGTTCTAAATCCCTAGCATAGAAATTTTTTTTCTTTTTTTTTTTTCTTCATTTTTTCCATATGAAAATAGAAGAAAAAAAGTCCAAGTTTTCTAGGAAATACCATAAAAATAGAGAGAAAATAGCCCCCCAAATATATATATGTGCATGTAAAAAACAACGAGATGTTTTTTCTTCTAATTTCTCATCCACTTTGTCCAATACGTGATGTATTCACTATCTTTCTCAAAATAAGTAATAATTGAGTCTGCAAAGTCTTTCTTGTCTTTATAACTTTATTCCAGTATCCAATATCTTATTAAAATTTTGTAAAAGTAAAATAAATTTACAGAGTTTCATGTTCCTTAAAGGGATTGGGTCACTTTGTCTTAGATTCTTAAACAAAATCCTGGATTTAGCTCATGCTGCAATGATAATTATAAACCTTAAGATCAGTCAGGAACCCCATGACTTTTACAAGCTGATCACCTGTCTGATTATCAAGATATTTATGATTGGAAATCGAAATCAAATTTTGAGTTTTCCTAGTGGTTTTCATAAAACTACAGTCTATTGGGGAAACTAGCTCGGTAAAACCGGTCGCTCAAAGATTTTTACTTTTTTGAGGCACTTCATGATCATTTTGAAGCGCCAGTTTTTTTAGGGCTTCAATATTACACTATATCAAAGACACTGATAACATGTAGGGCCATGCATCTCAGATTTAACATTGTTAAACGATGCCTTTAAAAATCATTCTTGAAATTTGGTGAAAACAAAGTAAATTTACAAAGTTACATGTTCGTTAAAGGAATCTCTAGATTCATGTAGGTTTTACAGGAGCTTGAAATCCTCAAGGCAAGGGATAAATCTGACATCTTCATGTTTCTTGAATAACTTTGATATTGTTGTTGATCATTTACAGGGCATGAATGGCAGCGTACCTTGTATCATTCAATCGACGGGACATCCTGTATGATAGCTCTCATATCACCCAACTATCTCAAATCAGCTGTGTGTATGGAGGAGTATAGCCTGGCACAAACTAAACATCTCTCTCAAGTAAGTTGTTCGTTTGGAGTCAAGCAAAGGTCAAGTCTTTGATTAAAATTTAAATTGGCTCACTAACACTGGGAAAAAATTGCCATTATTATTATTATCATTAGGACTTAACCAATCAACTTTATAACTACACATTTAGGATGATTTAAGATAAGAAGTACATGTATTCATCAGGATACTGGTGATTTTCATATTAAAAGCACTTTATAGAAACATTTAACCTCTTAAAGACTTTCCAAAAGCAGGGGGAAAAATATTTTACAAATTGGGGGGAGGGGGGGGGGCTACTTTTCAAGCTTGCTTGCATGAAATTACACTCTTTAATTTGTTTTGCATTGAACTTTGCAAATTTTTGGGGGGCTCTTTTTGGCATTTCGAGCGCAAATTTGCCCGAGCCCCCGTGAATTTTTCCCTGTCCAAAAAGTGCTCATAAACATTAAACAATTATCGCTATCACTATAGGACACCCTGCACCTGATCCCAGTCTGCATCTCTGATGGCATCGAGCAGGACTTTGCCCAGGTATCCCACATCCCCATGCTGGACGCTCGTCCTGGAGCTTACGCCGGGGCGGTCAGCAGCATCTGCTCTGCGGTTGTGTCCTGGCTGGAGACAAACTCCTTCGCTCATCTGGACAAACTGCTCAAGAAGAATCTGGTAAGTACTCTCTAGTAGATTATTTCAGTGACCCAGTCTGAAAACTTATCTAATGGGCAACTTTAACTAATATCATCTTTTTTACCATGTATAATAGCATAATTGTATCTAAGTATAGTTTATATGTAGCTCGTTGTAAGTGCCTTGAGCACCCTCTGAGTGGATATGTTGCGCATTATACATGTCTTTATTATTATTATTAAGTAGAGGTCTTTACCTTTTCAACCTCATGGATAATTAAGCAATGAAATAGAAAATCATATTGTACAACTTGTCTCTGAAAATCTGGACAAACTGCTGAAGAAGAACCTGGTAAGTGCTCTCCAGATAGTGTGTCACTTCGAAGGGCAATCCAACTTCTGTAATAATTGTGTGAAAGAAGAAAAATTAAGACAAAGAGGATGGTGCGAATGTGAAAGATACTGGACAAATGATAAGTTATGGAAGTTATGAATGTTTGAAAGATAAGATCACTAGCTCTATGTGAATCTCTGTTTGGTCATTTTTCTAGGATAATCAAGTGGATGTCCCGGATATGATGGAGAAACTCAGAGCAGTGAGGTTCTGGGCAGAATATGCGAAAACCTTTATATCTGTTAAGACCTTTCCACCCACATTTGAAAAGTTAGAGGATGCAGAAGGTAAGGCTGAAACCACAGGAAAGGATCAGAATGGAGCAGAAGAAGCCAAAGAAGGAGAGAAGGAGATGAAGGAAGGGTCAGAGGGGGCAGGAAGTGATGTCAAAGGTGATAGTGGTGTTGCGGAAGTACAGACGGAGACGGGAAAGGAAGATGAAGCGAAAGAAGATATCGGTAAATCAGGTGAAGTGGGTACAGATGGTAAAGAGGATGTTGGACAGATAACTGAAGATCAGAAAGTGAAGACGAAAGAAGGAGAGAAGGAAGAACCAAAAGATGGAGAGGAGAAGCCAACTTCTGAACCTGAATGCCCACATAAAGATGGCGGAAGTGCGACACAGTCTGAGAAGACTTTCAAGTCAGCCACTGTAGTCTTCAGCTACCACCAGACCGACGTCAAGTTCGTCTACTTCCTCAAGCAACTCATCAGCGCCTATGCCCCTCATCTTGTCCTCAAGTCCGAGTTCAAGACAGACCAGGCGCGACTGGACAGCCTGGAGGCAGCGGACAGCATCATCGCTCTCCTCTCGCCGAACTACATCGAGTCTCCTCAGCATGTCGAGGAGTTCCACATGGGTCTCTGGAGGCAGCGTGTGAGCCCTGAGGAAGCCCCTCTCCTGGTGCCGGTCCAGGTGGCCCTCCTGCCCAAGCGGCCCACCTACTTCCAGCTGATGGGATATCCAGTGAACTCCTGGGATGCCATGTGGGCCGACCTCTTGGGAGTGCAGAACATCAGGTCACCCGCAGAGATCGACAACTTCCGCCATTCTCTAGTGAAGAAGAAGCTGCCAGCGATCTCTCCAGATGAATTGCATCCGATGACAGAGGTTGCTCAGGTTGTGATTTCTTCCATCAAAGCTAGAAGGTTAGTAGATTTGAAGGATGGTAGTTCTTTAAAAGCACATTGCGTTTCTAATGTTTTACAATTTCACTAGTATGATAATGACTTACATCATTAGGAATTAGTTTTACGATTGAAAAACTGGCAACTTACTTCAAGTTGCCAGTACTTATCTGATAAAGATAAACCATAGACATCGAAACTATATAGGGTCAGTATCTTTTGGACATGTCATAAAACTAATTCCTGATCATAAGTTGTTTTGCTTTTCAATGGATGTGAAGTAAATGTCTCTTCTAGTTCTTTTCAACTACATTGAAGAATTATATGTGTTTCTATGAATGAAAACTAGATGAAAGTTTGGTAGAAGAATGAAGATGATGACTCTGTTCAGTCTTGAATTAGCTCTTTTGAAAGAAATCCTAAAATGATTTTACAGGGCAGATTGAGAGCAATCGTGTTGTCCTTGAACTTGATTTGTATGTAGAGTTAGATGGAATTGTCTGCAAGAGAGAAAAAAGACTCTTTGTAAAAGCGAACAGGTTATCATCCCTCCTGCTCTTAAGGAAAGGTGTATGTTAACCCATTGCCTACTGGAACTGGGTGGCTCCTGCATTAAAGCCTATGGGAATGATAGAATTTAATAGTTGATGGGTTAAGATGAATTCTGAAGTATTTTACCTGCAGTGTCCTTATCTACATTGTATGTCTGAGTGAAGATATTTGGTTTCATATTTCTGGAGAAGGGTTGTATACATATCAGTGATGTAACACCAATTTTACATGTATTTGATTGTCTGTTGTACTCTACCATAGGACAATCATCGTAGAGGATCCGCCTCGTGTGCGACCAGCTCTTGTCAACACTGTCGTACTTCAGAAAGAGCTTGCGACACTCACACAGAAAACTGCACCATCATTAGATCAGGTTAGTCAAGAACTTGCTACAAAGACTTTATTTGATTCCAATCACAGTAAAAACGACCTCATACATTTTTGTAAAACATAGGCAAAGAAAAATACATTGAAATATATATATATACAGTGTGTCCCAGAAAAAACAAAACCGAGAGTTATCGATGTTTTATCATAACTTAATCAAAACTATAATGAATAAATGACACATATTTGTAAAGCTTAGATCCTCTTCTTTCATCTGAGGCAACTCACAAAGAAGATGAAAGACTTGATGCATGGCTGATCGTCAACGAAACGGAGTTAAGTTTTTTGTCAACTCTGTTTTTTGCTACGGCAGGCAGCCAGTGAAAATAAATTTGTTTCATTGAATGATGGAAATGCAAGCATTACTTTAAACACACATAACTTTGTTATTCCAAGCTCATTTTTCCTGATTGAGGTGTCAAATGAAAGGGCAGAAAATGAACTTTTTAGAAATGTGATTTTTACTTTGAAATTCAGATACCGTCCATCAAATGACTTTTTGGTTTCCTCTCTTCAAATTGTTTTAATCACTCATACACGAAATATGCATCATATGAGTTCAAATGAAAGAAGAGGATCTAAGATTTACAAATATGTGTCATTTATTAATTATAATTGTGATTAAGTTATGATAAAACATCAATAATTCTTGGTTTTGTTTTTTTCTGGGACGCACTGTATACCGGTAAATTGGAAAAAGAAAGAAAAAGAAGACATGTTTGAATCTATTAAAAGTATAGGATGGAAAAAGGTGCATCCGTAAAAGACACAGGTGCTTGACGAATGGGCACACCCTGAGCGCATCACAATTTGATTAACAATAAAAAGCTCAATCTGCTGGAGAAGAGTAAAGGGATCAACAACCCTTACAAGATATCATTTAAGAAGAACTATACAATGACAAGAAGTGCTGCTAAGTTTACGTTTAAACGATTTGTTGAACTTAATTGGTTGTAAAGAATGTGGCAATGTGTTCCAAACTTTAGGACCATTATGACGAAGAGAAATTCCTGAAGATTCTTGAGTTTCTGTTAGGCATTTCCTAATGAGTTTGATCATTCTTTCTATTATGCCATGCTCGTAAAGGTCTGTTAGTGTTCCTCCTCTGTATATGAAGGCAGATATCTTCTGAAGAATATTCAATTTTGTGAGATATAATCTGTATTGATGTGTTCTTTTTCATTGGGAAAGCTTAAAAGTATGTACAATGTATGTACATGTATATTCACCAACACTTCCAGTGATGGAGAGTGAAAATGCAATCAGATACATTCTTAAATACATAGATCTCTAATTTATAAATAATCACTGCTATATTGTCTTTACATAGTGTCTGGTTGCTGTACCAACACCTGAGGAAGGAGCCTCAAAACCATGCTCTATCATGTAAACAAACATGATGACTCAAAGTTGTGCAGGAGGGGCACTCACTACACAACACTTGCTGTATAACATAGAACAAATAGAAATGAATGACAAAATGAGGAGAAGAGGGATTTTCAGGCAGAGCACTGATCTCGGTTAGCTGACTAGCTTGCCTTCTTCATTGTCAAGTGCTGGAAATTATAAATCAATTAGGATGAAATTGTTGTTTTTCATACTATTTTTATTGATAATGTATTACCGGTATACATAGAAGTGGATCTCAATGAATTTCAGGGGGAGAAGGAGAGGGAGAAAGAGGATGAAGAAGAGGAGGAGCAGCTTGAGGATGAGGGGAAAGAGAAGGTGGAGGGGGAAGTGGATCAGGAGGGAGGAGGGGGATAAGAAAGAAGAGGAGGAGATGGAGATGGATGAGACAGGGAAGAATGTAATGTAGAAAAATGAAACTCCATTGTTACCACTATGCCAAAACATATACAGGTCTGAGCCAGTAAAAGGTGCCTAGATGAAATAAAACTGAAATTACCTCATTTTTGATCAAATTAGACTTCCATTTTATATCAATTTTATTCAATTGAATCCTAGATTGTATCTCGCATGGATTTTCATTCCATCGTATATTGGAAATGGGTGTAGGTATATTTAACATGACTGAAATAGTTTTATTATAGATCTTTATCATCATTTATGCAAAAGTGACACATATCAAATGTTATAAAAATCTCAGATCATGTAGCACACTGCCAAGTTATTTGAATTATATGGCAAGAAAACTACGTTATAAGGAATTCAATTAATGTTGATTTTAATCTGAGAGTATAAAGTGAGAGAGATAGAGAGAGAGAGAGAGAATGGGATGGGATGTGGAGGATTCAAGAGAATTAGAGATACTGAGGCGACCAAATTTGACCAAAAACTTTAGTGTAACTGATTCCAATCTTGCTTGACCAAATCTTGAAAACTAATTATTTAATAATTGTGACCAAACAAGTTTAATTATAGATCTCTATCATCATTTTTGCAAAAGTGATACATATCAATGTTATAAAAATCACAGAACATGTAGCACACTGCCAAGTTATTTGAATCATATGGTAGGAAAACTATAAGGAATTCAATTAATGTTGATTTTAATCCGAGATTATGAAGTGTGAGAGAGAGAGAGAGAGAGAAAGAGAAAGAGAGAGAGAGAGAGAATTTTGACCAAATATCAGTGTAACTAATTCCAATGTTTTTATTGACCAAATCTTGACAACAAATTTTCAAATAAGTGTGACCAAATCTACAGGTATATGTAGGATCATATGAGCAATACCGGTACTGCCAATAGAGGTAATCATGATATTCACATGGAATTTTAGTCATTTAGATTTATCTTCATAATTTTTTTATTTTTTATTGAAGTGCTGTATGGATCTGAAATCAGGCCATTTCTTATTTTACAAAACATAAAACCTTCATTATGTTTGTGAGTTATTCATGTAAAATGTATGTTTACATGAAGAATACTGTGTTTCAATTAGGTATTTCAATATCAGGACTGTACAGTATATACATTTTTGAAACAATTTATCAATTTACAATGTAGTCTTTAAAGACAGGTAATTACTTACTTGTTGTGAAGAAAAGAATGATTTTCTCAATGAATATTCCATCACCAAGTAGATGAACCTCTTCCGTGATACAGTGGAGCCTGTATTTAAATACCACTCAAGGAGACTTGAAAGTGGTCTTTATAGGCAGGTGATCTTTAAGTACAGGACTACAGGTTCCTTCAGTACATTTGTCAGTGGCAAATGCTGATCAGGGGTAACAGAAGAAATTGATCTTTTTAGGCAGGTGGTCTTTCTATACAGGTGGACACTATAGCACATTTGACTGTAATAATCTTCTGTTTGTTCAGTATTGGAAGTATTCTACAAGAAGATTAATTGGGATAAGGCATAGTAGAAGTCCAGTTCATGCTTCCAAGGTGTAATATGACTTGTGTTCCATGTCATATTATTCAAATAATTCATGTTTGCAAGTGCATTAGTGAACATGCACTACACGCAAGTTAAGTCACATCAGATAATCAAGATTAACCAAGTACAATGTATCACTAATATACAAGCTTCAAAACATTAATTATTTTTTAATAAAACGGGTATAAAATATCAATGTAAAGTAGAGAAATAAGCATGTAATGCCAAGAATGGCACTGTCAGAAATGTGTACTGCATGTATCTGTTACACTTCTTTCTTTTCTATTAAAACTCTTTCAGTTTAGTGCAATATGATTTTAGACTTAACTAGTCTTCCAAAGTAGAAGTCTAGCTAAAAGAACATTACGAATGTACTTATTTTTAAAGCATCTTATTATTGTATAAACATGTTATGTCATGATAAATGAGTATAATCTATATGAAGGTCACTATTAATGTCAGTATCATCATAGGAAGCATTACAATTTTAAAGGTGTATTTAGTATTAATGGTTGATATCAGATGAATGTCTTCCTATCTTGTAACCTATTCTAAAAACTTTATATCTACAAGTATTATGAGATGTTACTTTTCGAATATCTAAAGTAGTTCCTACTATGAAATTAATATGATTGTTAAACACTCTTTGACATCAGTTTATGACATAAAAACAATTTGTTTGTATTAATCATACACTCTTTGAAGTGGATATCTTCTGACATCAGTTTATGACATAGAAACAATGTGTTTGTATCAATCATACACTCTTTGAAGTGGATATCTTCTGACATAAGTTTATGACATAGAAACAATTTGTTTGTATTAATCATACACTCTTTGAAGTGGATATCTTTCGACATAAGTTTATGACATAGAAACAATTTGTTTGTATTAATCATACACTCTTTGAAGTGGATATCTTCTGACATAAGTTTATGACATAGAAACAATTTGTTTGTATTAATCATACACTCTTTGAAGTGGATATCTTCTGACATCAGTTTATGACATAGAAACAATTTGTTTTCATTAATCATACACTCTAGATGGACAATGTAATTATAGAGTTTAAAAGTTGTTAAGTGTTTTATAGCTTTATTTGTGTGTCTGGTAGTTATTTTTTACGATTTGTTAATTTGTTATGTCTGGTTTATAAATGTGTTTATAACTACTTGTGATGTGCGCATGATTAAAAAAAAGTTTAAATGGCATTATTAATGAGGTTAATGTATTTTACATGTTTCTATTGTGAATAAGTACCCTGGGGGTTGTTTCACCAAGATCCTAAGTCGATCTTAACTTGGTTGGACTTAAACATTTTGGAGAGCCATTTGAAGTCTTATAATAATATATATTCAATTGCACAAATTTAAGTATTTTAGACTTTTCATAAATTCCACATCAAGAACATGAGATCTCCTTGATAATAGATGAAATGAATGGTTTGAATCAACATTTTATGCCTTTAAACAAACTTTTACAAAACATTTTCTAAGATGCTAACGCCCCACATAATTGTTAAGTCCAACTTAGAGATAAGTTCATCTTAGGATCTCTGTGAAACACCCCCTGGTCTTTAATGTAATCTTATTAAAAACCAAGGTAGCCACATCACTGAGTATCATACTGCTCTGTTGATCCTGCTGACCCTGCAACAACATTGCCAGGTACCCATTTACACCTGTATCGAGAGGGGGAAATATGGGCAAAATATGGGCAAAATTCACACACCTCGTGAAAGAATGTGAGCACCAAACAGGAATTGAACCTAGAACCTGCCATGTGAGAGTCACAAGCCTCACCAATAAAACAAAGTGCTCCCACTCCCTCTTTAATGGAAATTAATCAACTCTTTTAAGAATAAATAAATGTGGATGATCAAGAGCAAGTATATGGCACTGGTTTTTTTAACTTATACCAAATGTGTCCACAAATGGGTCCAAAATGAAATTATGTTTACTCACTTCAAACTTGTATTTCTAGGATCAGGACTAATCATATTTTTGAGAAATGCAAATTCTGGACCTTAATCTATCTCTTTATTTATTCACCAGATATGAATACTTTGAGTTTTTACAATTTTATTGTGAACTATAGCATATCTAATAACTGTGATATAAAACTCATTTGCTATTAACTACACCTTTAAATATGTTGGGTCTTTAAGAATATGTTTCAGAGATTATTCATGCAAATTGTTGAGTTTCTATCTTGAAAAATACAGATTTTGTATCCCTTGAAAGTGAAAAATAGCTCTAAATTAGGGTTTTGACAATAACAAGTTTTTATTTCAATAGGTAAAATGTTTTTTTCTTAGGTCAAACTTATTTTAATATAACAACTGATGATATAAGGTAAATACATGCAAACAAATTGGGAACCAGTGCATTGCCTAATAATTTTCATATGGCACACCACTGATGTTTCGGACGTTACACACTGTTAACATTATAACTTTATTCAAGTTAATTGCTTTTCTTTAGGTATTATTGACCTCAGTTACATTAATTGTTTGCAGAAAAATACTTCTGTAACATTTATGGAAAAAAAATTGTGCAGTTTTAATTAGTTTAGCACATACATGTATACCAAGTTTGTCTTCATCGACCACTCAATTTATGTAAGGTATATTATTCATTTCAAGAATGTGTACCGGTAGTTAAAAATGCTTATGTGATCTAACAGAGTGAAATATGAAGCTAATAGCAATTGTAGTCATCAAAACTCCTTAGAAAATTCACTTAGAAACATACCTGTACTCTTTATTGCATGTTATGAACAACAGTGTGAAATGTATACTATGGTTTGTTTCGGATGTTACACGATGTTAACATTTCAATGAGATCATCAATTTCTACAAACTCTACAATATAGATGTTTAATCAGCTTGCTAATGTTCTTTGCCTTCAACTATATAGTGTGTCATTCAATAATATCACTAACACATACATGTATGTAAGCATTGAAACATTGACAAATCTTTAAAAAAATAAAACTATAAAAAAGTACCCCCAGTCATGTACGGTATTTTTTACGGTAATACGAAATAAGTGAATCCTAATGTATGTACATCTCGAGAATGACACATTTTTGATGTATTTTAAAATTGTGTATGTTTTAGGTTATAATACTACTGTAGTAACAATCATCCTTTACCACTATTTGTATTAGGAGGCTGTTTCAAACGACAATATGTTTTAATGCTCTTAAATAAGTATTCATTTATTTATTTAATTGACGACCGATTGATGAATGGATGGATTGATTGGTTGGTCGGTTGGTTGAATGGTTGGTTGATAGATCTTAACTCTTGCTGTGCTTATATTACAGGTGACAAACAATATACAGTGTACGTTAAACATGTACTGTATTTGCCAGCGATAAAGCCGCAGCGCCGCACCCCCAAATTTGACATTTCGTAGAGGAAAAAAAAAACGGACAGCCCATTTATATTTTACACTAGTGTAGGGTTGCGGTTCTAACAGATAATTACTAGCACTCTTAACACAGAGGCAGCCAAGCAGACATGTTGTAGGATTGATAACTACTAGCTAACTGACCAGGTTTTAATGTGTAAAAGCATTACAGCATTCTATGTAGCATTCCACATACATTCCATGCAAAGTAGAATAAATCAATAAATATTCATATAGTCCCATACAAATATAAATCAACATCACAAAGTATTCCTGAATATTCAAACATAAACAAAGGGTATATATTGAATATTCATAGTATATGTAAATTATACTACATAAGCTTGACTGCATCAGGTGAACATTGAAACCAATGAGAGAGAGAGATAGACAGATGAAAGGATGGTGGATGAAAAGGGTGAATGTGAATGAGGGATGACCTATTAATATGAAAGGGATGAATCATGGATAAGAAGGGGAGTTTCAGAAGTTCAAAATAAATCCCTACACTAGCTTATACATTTTGTATGTATGCATACATTTGAGGAAGATACTACATGTATATGTTTAGGATCATTAAATAAGGTATTACTGGTAATGCCCTTTTCTTTTATACATGTATGTACTTTTTACACAGATTAGTTACGTGTACTGAGTGCCCTTTTTAAAAGGTATTTTTAAATGAAAATCCATATTTCCCATACATTTTTAGAAAAACATTTTAATTTGCTTGATTTTATTAACTTCATATACCTGTATCATATCCATGTCATGACCATGCACACTGGGTATTGCGTAAGTGGGTGATTTTGATTTTTGTAACCTACCAGATAGTTTAGATTGACCATACAATCTTTGGTTATATGACATAATTTGGAACAACCTCTGTAAAAATGAAAACGTGATGATTTGCAAAGACACAGCAATGTATTATAGCAAAAGGAGAGGTTGAACAAATAAAATTTGCTATTCTCACATCTATCTTTGCCCCTCATTTGAACTAGTTAAAGTATGAAAATGTCTGTTAACAGTTTAATGTAACATCCGAAACGTGCTACAGCATAACAGAAAGTGCTGTTAAAATGGCTGGAAAATTTTATGAGTCACTTTTATTGAGATTGTTTCTGATAAATTACAATTAAGGATATACTAAAGCAGCCAGGAATGCCTTGCACCACAAAGAGTGGCTTCAATATTTATGTTTTATAAGTCAATTTTGCAGAAAATTTAGATATTTTACGGAAAATTTGATTTTTTGCATCATATTTCTTCATATTTTTATATTTAGATCTAAATGAAATTATCAAAATAGT